CCATCACCATCTCAAACAATGTGACAGAATCTAAACACATCTCCCTTTGAAACCCAGTTTTCCCCCAGGACTTCCCACTACTCTATAAAGGGACCCCATCTCTAGGCTTCCAGTCTCTCAGCCACCATGACCCTTCTGCCCTCTTCCTCTACCCCTAGACAATCACTGTGTCCTGTTGGCTTCCTCTTTTCCAGCTGGGCTCATACATCTTCAGCCACCAAGCCCAACCCGACATCCCCCAGTCAAATCTGTCTCATCCCCACGGTGGGGAAGGAAAGTGGGCTTCCTGGCGTACGGTACCTCTGACCTTTTGTTTGCACTGTGTTAAGAATGATGCTGTGGACACATGTGGGTTTGGCTGGGTAATGTATTAGAACCACGGAGCCCTTCCTTCAGCAGGCCGGAAGGAGTGGTCTGCGGAGGGGCAGCAAGCCAAGATCATGAGCTGTGCCTCCCTCTCCTTATCTCTGAGGGCCACCTCTGTAGTGTCTACACCCTTGAATACTTAGTTCTTGTGTTATAGAACACCCCTCTTTCTTCTCTCAATACCCCTCAAGTCTAGGGGCTTCTCTGAAGCCCTACATCCATCTCCAGCATCTTGAGGCTCTGCCTTATCCCTCAAAGCTGGGTATGGGTATCTCTCTCAGTTGGGAACCCTTGAGGCTCTGAAACTCCCACTTCTCAGTAACCCCAAGGCCAACACTCAGCTGTGAGGTGGTGGGGACATCTCTTCCCAACACTTATAGACTGTTACCAGGAGAAGGAATTTCTTCACTGTGTGCCTACTGTGCACAGGGCATTCTGCACTCATGCTGGACCAGCTGAGTCGCCCCACTCCAGCCTTCCTCCAGCCTCACCACAAGCATCTTTAAGTCACTATTGAGCTGGCACTGAGGAGACTCCCAACTTCCTTCTCTAGGATGACAGATCCTACCACCTCTCTATGTAGGGAATCCCCCATTCCTGATATCCACCAAGCAAGATATGTTGAGCAGGCACCTGAATTCACACTGCCCAGACAGGTGCTACATTTTTTTCCCAATACTAAGAATCAAACCCAGAACCCACAGATACTAGGCAAGCACGCTATAGCTGAACTATGTTCTCTAGTTCCTCTTAGTTTTTATTTTGAGACAGGGCCTTGCCGGGTTACACAGGCTGGCCTTAAATTCTCTGTCTTCTTGCTTCAATCCCCCCTTCCCCCAAAGCAGCAATGATAACAGGCTTGCAGCACCTAGCCTAGCTCTGGTGATGACTTTTTGGTTGGGGGGCGGGGGTTGTTATTTAGACAGGGTCTCCTACAGCCCAAGCTGACCTTGAACTCAGTATATAGCTGAGGATAGCCTTGAACCCCCAATCTTCCTACCTCATGCATTCTGGGATGACAATGTGCCACCATGCCCAGTTGTTGTTTTGAGACAGAATCTCACTATATAGCCCTGGCTGTCCTAGAACTCACTTTGTAGACTGGGCTGGCCTCGAACTCACAGAGCTTCACCTGCCTCTGCCTCCCAGGTGCTGGGATTAAAGGCTCGAGCCACCATGTCCACTACCATGCCCTATCTCTGCTCCTGCTTCCAGCTACCATGTTGGAAATTGAACCCAGAGTTCTTGCATGTAGGCAAACACTCTACCCATTGAGCTATGTCCCAAGCCCCAGGTAATGATTTTTATTCCCCCTTTATCCCTGAGAAATCAGAGACTAGGTAGAATAGAGTAGCCTGTCTAGGTCTCAGTCTCTCTCTCTCTCTCTCTCTCTCTCTCTCTCTCTCTCTCTCTCTCTCTCTCTCTCTCTCTCTCTCTCTCACACACACACACACACACATACACACACACGTGTGTGCACCCTACCTGGGACAGAGCAAGCCTTAGGCCCAGGCCTATCCTCCTCCTCTCCCTGTACCAGGAGTCCTCAGCCACCATGGTTCACCTTCAGCCCTGTAGGCTGCTGCCTGGACCCGGCCACATGCTCCCAGGGTCTCAGTGTCGCACTAGCAGTCCTCATTATTTAATCTCTACCTCCCCGTAACTTGCCTTCCTCCAGGCTGTCTGTTTATCAGGCCAGCAGCCCCGGCTTGGACTCTAACAGTCTGTCTCCTCGGTGTGGCCCATTAATCTGGGCCATGGTACCTGCGCGCGGGCATGTAATAAACAACTTAGAGCACACGTTTATGGATTCAGCTATATCAGCAGCTTTCAATCCGATCGCACTTTACGGCACCTACATGAGGCTTTATATTGTTGCAATTACTCTGCTTTATATGCTGCCTTCTTGCCCCTTCATTTTACTTTATTTTTACATTTTATTCCTATTCTTCCTTGGCTGCTTCTAACAAGGCCTAGAGCTCAGCTAGGAAACCTGCCTAGGCTGGCCACAGTGGCTCACCATGGCTGCGAGGATCTGGTGTGCCCTCCTCCTGGCCCACAGAGGGTACCCCCATACCCACACCTGTGCAAGCGGTCACAGCCTGCTCCCTCTAAAGAGTCCTGGAAGGGGGCCAACTAGATAGATCTGTTGCATGAGAAAAGAAGTCCTCTTGGTGTATTTTAAGAGCTGGGAACAGGTGCGGAGTGGATGTTGAGGCTATGGGCAGTGCTGGGCCTGTGCTGACCCACAGAGAGGAGCCAGGCACCCCTGGAAGGGCCCAGAGTCCACAGAAAGGCTTTGATAGCACCCTGTCCGCACAGCAGGACTGCTTCTTTGCCTTTGGTTTCACAAGCCCACTCACGGAAGCTCTCTTTCATTTTCACCGTGTATTGAAAGTGGACAGTGACGATGGGTGTACAAGCTCATCAGTCACATGAGCGTGTTTGCACACCTACAGACCAGCATGTCCATGTTCCTTGCTGGCGACATGGTGGCTGCCAGGACTAAGCATCAGCTCGGGGGCCGGGACAAAGCCGTGTGTCCGGCCTTAAGCTCCATCCATTCATACTGTCACAGGTCTGCAGTTAGAGACCAAGGTCAGGGAGTTGCATGGCAGAGCCCATGAGGACATGATTCCTGACCGGGACTAATTGTCGGCTCATTCACTGTGTCCTCCTGTGGCTGAAGAAGAGAGGAAGGGAAAGGGGGAGAGAAAAAGAAACAGACAGAAGTAGGGAGTGGAGGGGGTAATACAACAGAGAAAGGTGACAGAGCTGAAGAAGAAAGAGGAAAGAAGTAAGAGATAGAGAGGAGAGAGGAGAGAAAGCGGGGAACAGAGAGACTGGAGGTACTAACCCCACGATGGTGGTCACGCCTTCACAACCCTAGCCAATCTCATCAGCTTCTACAGACTCACCTCCAAAGCCATCATATCAACATTAGGGCCCCAACATATGAGCCATCAAGGAGACACAGTTAGGCCCACAGCCAGCACCACCTCAGCTCCCGTGCCAATGCCTGGACAGGTCCCATGTAGTCACCATAACAACATGCCACCACATGGAGGCTTCTTAGCATAAGAACAGATTTCTGGTGGGTCTGGAGATAAAAATCAGAAACCAAGGGGTCGGTAGGTCCCCATTCTCCCTCAAGGGGCCCTAGGGACCGCCACAACCTCCTCCACTCCGTGCAGCTGGCATCCTTGGCATTCCCTTCTTGGCTCCAGTCTGTACCTCCACCTTTGCTGGGCCTCTCCCCTGTGGGTCTTGTATCTGGAGTCCCTGATTCCTGTGCAGAAAGATGCCGTTCACATTGGATGGAGGGCCTGCCCCAATATGATACTGTGATCTCAGCTGAACCAGTTACATCTACAAAGACCCTGTTTCCAAGTGAAGCCACATCCACAGCTGCTGGGTGGCCCTGAACCGGGGAGGAGACTACTGGGAGAATTTCTCCCCAGGAGAGATGTAAATGTCTCCCCCTTTATTATAAGGTGTCAATGACAAGCCAGAGTATAATTACACCAAAGTTCCCCCAGGTGGACTAGTTGTTTTTGTTGGTCTGGTAAAACACTTTTGACTTATGGTTTCACAGGGAGAGTCCATAATGGTAGGGAGGCAAGGCAGCAGGCAGCCAGAGCAGGGAGCTGAAAGATCATCACTCTTTACACTCAGACGTTAAGTAGAGCAAACTGAAAGGTGGGCAAGGCTATAAACTCTCAAAGCCCACCCTCGGTGACATACTTCCTTCAGCAAGGCTGCACCCCCTAAAAGTTCCGTAACTGGACAAGAAGCACCCCCAGTTGAGGACCAAGTGTTCAAACACATGTGCCTACGGAAGGCATCGCTCATTCAAACCACAGTACCGAGGAACTAATGGCTTACTTACAGAACAGAGATGAGGGTTGATTGACAGGAGCTTGGGGACCCCAAAGCAGCCATGTTGGACTGCCTTCACCCAGCATGGTCTTGGCTTCCCTATAGCCTTGTAGCCTCTTTTGGTTAATTTTCCCAAGCCTGTAGAGTAGACTCTAACACACCTGACCCTGAAGCCTCCTGAAATTAGGGCTTAACTGTATACAGATGGCTAGGAGGAGCAGCCAGAATCTTGGCCGAGGGTCCAGGGACCCTCCCCACCACTTCCTTCTCTGAGGGAGTGTCAGTTGTCCACAGCCGTGAGTCCAGTGGTCTCTTGTAAGCGGGTGCAGCTGATCCGAGGAAAATGGCAGCTGTTTTGCTTGGAGGACCGTGTTCTCTAACAGGGAGGAACACTGCTGTATTCAGTGTGGCGAGTGTGTGGTCTGGTGCAGGGCACAAGGATGAATGATGAAGTAGGTCAGTAAGGTAAACTTAGGCAGGAAGGAGTATTTTGAGGGTAGTGGGACAGGATATCGGTATGTGGAAGGGCATGGTTGACTTACAGGCCTCTGAGAACAGAGGACCTCCCCAAACTCCCCTGACACTTAGACTCATGAGCAGAGGAAGAGGACAGTCCCAGTCTGTCCAGAGGTGCAGCTGTGGGACTTCCCATATAGCATACTCCGTGCTCTGAGTACTGAAGTCTCCATGCACCGCGTGGGCAGGCAGAAATGAAATTTCTGACTCTACCCTCCTAATGCTTGACCTCTTCTCAGATGTTGGGGGACCTGCTGACCCCATTGCACCAACCATCATCATCCCACCCAAGAATACTAGTGTTGTGGCTGGGACCTCGGAGGTGACCATGGAGTGTGTGGCCAATGCCAGGTGGGTGGCACATGGTGATTGATTCCCAGCCAGAGCTGTAGCCAGGAGCAGTTGTCTTTGAGGAAGGGATAAGGACTGATGAGGGTGGGGGTGGGGGTGGACACTGAAAATCCAGAGCACTCTTGAGCATGCTCAACAGCGTTTCTTATTCTTGGATGTCCCAGGGGAAAGAGCTGCCCATGGGGAATTGGTGGAAAATAGATTTTGCCCAGGCTAGGGGCCAGAGGGTGGATTGATGTGCTCCTAACACAGAGCCATCCAGAGCAGGTAAGATAGTCCCTCAGAGTAGAGCCCTTCTGTCTGCAGGGTTCATGGAAGGGGACTGTGTGTATGGGAGATGACGCTCAGGGTGGGCACATGACTCTGTAAGGTACTCTCGTGTCTCTGCAGTCCCTCACAGAGGAGAGTGTTAGACTCTCCCTGAGCCACCTCCTAAGAGGAGGGCCTCTTTTTCCCCCAACATGAGAGCCTACAGCCCAGGGAAGGCAGGTAGTCTACACACAGTCACCCACATGGCCAATAGCAGTGCTGATCTGAAGCCGGCTCCCTGGAGGCCCAGCTCCCCGCACCACAATAAGGACAGATAGGACACAAGGGTAGACAGACAGACCCACTCTCACCTTTGAGAGGTCTGCTCATCTATAAAGTGAGTGTGACTAGGCACACACCTCACCATAAGACCTGCAAGGAGAATGCTGACCCCAGCCTGCCCTGCCTGGGTACTCTATGGAGGTAAAACCATGTTATGGCTGGGGTGTAAGACTGAGGGTCCAAGGCCTCCTGCAGCTGAGGATTCCAGGAGAGCTGGATCCTTTTAACAGTGTTTCTGAGAGCACATTTCACAGAGCCCAAATTTTTCATGAGGGTGGGAAACTTGACCAGGATGTGTTTTAATGGCCCTGAGAAGTCCTGTAGCCAAGAACCTACCAGAGCTTTCCATACTTACATACCCATGGAGATCCTTTTCTAGAAGATTCTGAGTGCCCCAAACAGCTAGTTCCACTCTACTTGGGGAGTTCCATCCTTAGGAACCACTAGGAGCTGGGAAGGAATGTCCACGCAAACCAGATCCCTAGAGTTTGAAGTACAAGGGCCCATGATGGTGGGAAGGGAGCCAAACTCTCCTTACCTCTCAAAAGTGAGAGTGGGTCTGTCTGTCTACCCTTGTGTCCTATCTGTCCTTATCAATTCCCCTCACCCTCCACTCCTCTCGAGTCACATATTCAAAGAAGGGAAGGTGTGGTACCCAGGGAGAGCTCAGCAAATAAGCTGCACCAGCTGCCAGTCTCTTCCAGAGCTGTGTGTGCAGTTACCACTGTGTCCCAACCCTGACAGGCTCACATGTCACCCAGGGCCAGCTGCCCCTATTCTACAGATGGGGAAACTGAGCTTCAAGGTGTTTTAAAAACTTGTCTTGACGCTTTGAGGGGGCGGGGCGGTGACAAAGTGCTAACAACCCCAAAGCCAGCTCTATCCTGTTCCTTCCCATACTTGCCCTGACCCCCATTGTCCTTCCAAAAGCCCTTGTCTGAGGGCAACTGCTTCCCTTACCCTGTAGGCCTCTGATCAAGCTGCACATTGTCTGGAAGAAAGACGGGGCCTTGCTCTCCAATGGTATCAGTGATTACAACCGCAGGCTCACCATCACCAACCCCACGGTCAGCGACGCCGGCTACTATGAGTGTGAGGCTGTGCTGCGCAGTAGCAGTGTGGCCCCTGTCACCCGGGGAGCCTACCTCTTGGTGCTGGGTAAGTCAGGACAAGTGTTGGGGCTCCTCTGCCGTGGGAGAAGGAAGGAACAGGGAGCGATCACAGCAGTGTGGCCAGTTGCCATCTCCACAGTGGCTGGATACAAAAGCAATGAGCCTCTAATCCTGTCTCCTGGTCCTTCCCCCCCACAGAGCCACCTCAGTTTGTCAGAGAGCCTGAGAGACACATCACAGCAGAGATGGAGAAGGTGGTGGACATCCCCTGTCGAGCCAAAGGTAACACAGAGGCACAGGTGTGGGGACAAGGACCACAGACCTTCAGCCTCTCTCATCCCTGCCAGGACATCTCTAAGCCCCCCCCCCCCACTCCAGACCACATCACTAAGCAGTGACAGGCTGGCTAGGCACTGGCACCCAGGAAACAAACAGCCAAATTACGGTAATCTCAGGCTGCAAATCAACCCACGTAACTCCAGGGTTACAAATGAGCCCAAATTACCGTAATTTCAGGACAGGTGACAGACCCAAATTGCCCATAATTTGAGAGTTGTAGACAATGCCGAATCACCATTTTGCCAGCATCTGCGGACCTGGTGTGTCCCACCTGAACAAGTGTCATCCACTCAGCCCGTTGGAGGTGGGGGTTGCCTGGCTCAGTCTTCTCCCCCTGCGGGTCCTACTTAACCCTCCATTACTGTTTCCCATGCTTACTGCCCCGTCCTGACAGAGTCAAGCCCAAAGGCAGCTATAGCCAGGGAATAGAGGGTTAAAAAGGTACTGTCGCGTGAAGTATGGGGACTGAAGCATCCTAGCATCCAGCAGCTGAGGCAGGAGGATTGCTGTGAGTTCCAGGCTGCCCAGAGAATAGAGATTCCTGAGCCAGGGAGGAGATATGGCCCCAGTAGCGTAGAGGAGTTTACAGAGCCACAGCTCTTCTGAGACCCTTGGGCAGAGGCAGAGATGAGGGCCCGTGGGAGCAGAGGGGTGGCAGGTGGACACTGCCGTCGCATAATCTCAGCAGGGTTGCTCATTCTTGGCCACCCAAGGGGAGTAAGCCAGGCTGGGTTCACAGATGAACCACATAGCCAAATCCCTCCTGTTTTCCAACTTACATATTTGCCCAGAGACGAAGAAACCAATAAACAAATAAAACTGCCTTATTTCATCTCATTCGAAATGCCATGAGCTGTGAGGTGCCCCATTATTTTATGTGCCACTAAGAAAGAAAAAAGGCTGCCAATTAAATCATGACATGCTGTCGATTGGAAGCCACACCCTGATCCCCCATCGTGTCGCCATGAATAGCCAAGAATTGGTGTCATCCAGTGCATGAAACACGGTGATGGCTGACTGCAGGGTGGAAGCGGGGAGGGGAGGCGGGGGCAGAGCTGTGGCTGCCTCTTGAGAGTGTAGGGTGCCTCTGGGGAAGTCAAGTTTGAGCAGAGTCAGAGAGGGAGGATGAAGGGGAGCACAGGAAAGCCGAGAGACATCTGTGAGGAGAGAGAACCAGGCCAAGGGTTGAGACATCCATCTTCCTCTGTGTGCAGACAAGAGATGGGACTTCTGGGGACCTCCCGTGGGACAGAGGCCCCTCTGCCTGCCTCTTCACCTGGGCTCCATTGTTGGGGGATGGGAACTGCACCTGGAGGTTAGCACAATACACAGAAGGCTGAGCCAAGCATTGCAGTAAAAAGTTAAAGACATACCTGCCATCTCTGCTCAGGAAGTGGAGGAAAGAAGGTTGACATGAGTTCAAGGCTAGCCTGGGCTATAGTGAGTTCCAAGACAACCTGGGCTATAGAGCAGGACCTTGTCTAAAATATATGATGACGATGATGATGATGATGATGATGATGATGATGATGATGATGATGTAGAAGCCAATGAAGAAGCCAGGGATGGAGAGTTAGCTCAGTTGATAGTGTTTGTGAGGCATGTGCAGAACCCTGGTTCAATCCCCAGCACTGTATGAACCAGGCATGGTGGCACAAACTCTTTGTACTACTAGCCCTTGGGGGCTCAAGGCAGGAGGATCAGAAAGTCAAGGTCATCTTCTGCTACACAGAGAGTTGAAGGCCAGCCTGGGATATGTAAACCTCTGTCTCAAAAATGACAATAGGGCCTGGAGAGATGACTAGCAGTTCAGAGCACTTGTTGCTCTTGCAGAGGACCCAGGTTCGACTCCCAGCACCCACATACATGGTAGTTCACAAGCACCCATAATTCCAGATGTCCTCTTCTGAACCCTGTGAGCACAAGACACATATGATACACATACATACATGTAGGAAGAATACTCATGCACATAAAATAAATACATTTAATAATAATAATAATGATAATGATAATGGTTCAGAGGTTAAAAGCTCATACTACTTATGCAGAGGACCTGAGTTCAGTTCTCAGCATCCACATCAGGATTCTTACCACCTTTGTCTCCAGCTGTGGGTGAAATGGATGCCTTTCGGCACCCACACACATGTACACACATACATGCACACATGTATACACACATATACACATGCACGCACGCACGCGAGTGTGCGCGCGCACACCCACACACACACACACACACACACAATTTAAAAGGTAATTCTTTATATAATAGGAGCAGATAGGATGTCTCTTTGGGCAAAGGTGCTTGCCAAAAAAACCTGACGTTCTGGGTTCAATCCCTGGAGCCCACATAAAGGTGGAATGGGAGAACTAACTCCACAAAGTTGTCTTCCGGCCTCCACATGCATGCAGTGGCACATGCATGCCCTCTCCCAACAATAATAAATAAAAATTTGAACAATAATAATAATAATAATGAACCTCCCCTCTAAAAATTGCCCAGTGAAGCATTTCTGTGGAAAACTGATTCTAGGAAATTTCCATTTTCCAAAAAAATCTCTACTCTATCTTGAAAGTCTTGAGACTTTTCAAAGAACGTACTCGATAAAAATCAATGTCTATGAGAAGGTTCTAGAAAGCAAAGCACCGTAGCGCCCCCCCTCCCCGCCCCGACTTCTGGCTGACGGTGGCCCTGGCCTCCTGCAGGGGTACCACCTCCCTCCATCACCTGGTACAAGGATGCTGCGCTGGTGGAGGTGGAAAAACTGACGCGCTTCAGGCAGCGCAGTGATGGCGGCCTGCAGATCAGCGGCCTGCTGCCCGACGACACTGGCATGCTCCAGTGCTTCGCCCACAATGCCGCTGGAGAGGCACAGACCTCCACCTACCTGGCTGTCACCAGTAAGTGTCCTCCCCTGGGCTGCCCCTGAGCCACCCCAGGAGGCACCGTATCCCTCCACACTGCTGAGGGGCGGGGTGGGGTGGGACTGCACTCTGGTGGGATTCCAGGAGGCTATCCCCTATGGCACCAGCTCGTGAAGTCCCTCAGCGCTGCATCTTGCCAGAGGAAAGGGAGCCCTGCTTCCTCATGATCCCCTTCAGGGGTCCTGGGGCCATTGATGCCCTTGGAGAAAAGCCAGTTCCAATTGCTGTGTCTGCTGACCTCAGGTCAGAGGAGTCACCTAGGGTTCTGGAGACCCAGCACAAAGGCAGTTCTCAGCTGTTCATCCTTAGACAAGCTAGTGCATGTTCTATAGAGGTCAAGTCCTACTGACTTTGTCACTGAGGGTGTGAGCTGCCCTCTGGGTCCTCAGTTTCCTCTCAGTGGAGTCCTGAGGTTCCAGAGGGCAGAACTGTCCTGACAGGTACCTCTGGACCTCTCACATGCCTCCCTGCAGAAGGCCCTGTAACACCAGGGCCAGTGGGCAGAGGGGAGGACCCGTCTTTTTTGTGGACTCAAAGCTCCTGGGCCCTGACCGGGGATCTTCCTAAGTGTCTAACAGACCCTGCTGTCTCCCTCTACAGGCATCGCCCCTAATATCACCAGGGGCCCCCTTGACAGTACAGTGATTGACGGGATGTCAGTGGTACTGGCGTGTGAGACCTCAGGAGCACCACGGCCTGCTATCACTTGGCAGAAAGGTAGATGGGATGAGCATAGCCATGTGACAGTCAGAGGAGAATCTTCAAATCTAATTTCGAAAGCTAGTCACATTGAGTTCCCCGTGTACAGTTGTAAAAGCTGTATACTGTGCCACACGTCTTTCACAAACCACATCACCCTATGTTTTCCTGTGTCTCTCTGTCTCTCCCAGGCCAGACCCAAGACCTCCTACATCCCACTGCAAGAGGTCTGTCCTGACCTGGTAGTATCTTTATCCATCTGTCTGTCTATCTGTCTGTCTGTCTGTCTATCAATCTATTATCTCTGTCTCTCTTTCACATCTCCCCTGCACTGTCCCGCTGCACCCCTCATCCATCCCTCTCCTCCTCAGCTCTCCTGAAGGTGACTGTCCCCAGAAGCATCCTGTCCTGTGCCAGGATGCCCATCATCACCTTGTCAGCCTGTCTCCTGCCTCCTCCTCCCAGCCCAAATGCAGCTGCCTCCCAGGCCGTGGCTGGCTGACGCTAGCAGCAATGACAGACAGAGCGTGGCCTCCTCTGGTGAAGGGCAGCCACGGTGGTGGGTGGAGGGTGGCAGAAAGGATGGCCTATAAAGGGTACTGCCACCCCGTGACCCTGTGAGCCTGAGCCTGTCACCAAGCCCCAGCTCAGGCCTGTTCCCAACCCATTTAACATTTCCAGAGTTGGGTGGGTACCTGAGACCTTCCAGAAGTGGAACATCTGGGGCCAGTATCAAGACTGCATCTGACACCCCAACGATCCCTATGTTACCTCAGGGGAGCGCATCTTAGCAAGCGGCTCTGTCCAGCTGCCTCGCTTCACGCTGCTGGAGTCTGGAAGCCTGCTCGTTAGCCCAACCCACATCTCTGACGCCGGTACCTACACCTGTCTGGCCACCAACTCTCGGGGAGTAGACGAGGCCTCGGCAGACCTGGTCGTATGGGGTGAGTGACCATCCGCGGGGCGGGCTGCCAGCATCTGTACTTTCAGACTGCGTTGCTGACACAGCCAAGGCTCTTCCTGTCACAGGGATGGTGACAAATTAACTTGGAAGCCAAGAACTGGAAGGTGACGGCTCTGCCAGCAAGGCCACAGGATGGGCAGGCTGTGCCATGCTTGGCTGAGTCCAGAGAACTGTAAAAAGCTGTCTTGTGTATTTTAGGGTAGAAATCAACACAGAGCCAGAGTGTAAATATTTTTGGCTCTGTGGGCCAGACAGTGTCCCTCTGAGCCCCTTAACTGCCCTTGTGCTGCTGAGAAAGCACTCGAGACATTAGCGCCATAGTGGTGAGGCCCATTCAGGTGAGCTTGTCTGCTCAGTACACCACCTGCCACACTCAGTCTCAGCCTGGAGAGATGTCCCCAGATGTCTCAAGCCTCTTCCACTTGGGGTGTACACCCTAGACATGCAGGTGTATGGCCACCTGTCCAGGCTGAGCCCCAGGGCCTGGGGTGAATGGCTAGACCCTGTCTGTCACCAACAAGCTGGCCTCGTGGCCCTGATCACTCTCAGCTTCCAGTTTCCATTCCCTACCGGGCACTCTGAGGCCTCACGATGTCTGTTTGTGGCTTCTGAGAATCACAGTGTCCCTGGGACACTTTGTCCTCTCCACTCTTCTGAGACTTCTATGTAGTCTACACACCTGTCTACACATGAGGTCATCCCTCATCCTCTCCCAACATCCAGAGGTACAGCCCCAGATCACCTGAGGAATGCCCCTCCTGTGCCAGGTCATACTAGGGTGCCAGCCCCACATCCCTGCTCGCTGCACTGTGTCTACCTTGTCTTACAGCCCGGACCCGCATCACCAAGCCACCCCAGGACCAGAGTGTCATCAAGGGCACCCAGGCCTCCATGGTGTGTGGAGTGACCCACGATCCTAGAGTGACTATCAGGTACTCCAGGCAAAGTGGGGGGGGGGGTTTGGAGGGGGTTGGGAGGGTGGATGCTTTTAAGTCAGGATGACATCATCGGGAGCTGATGCCATCTGTAAGGCCTTGGGAGCTATTCACAGAACTGGGTACGGGGCTAAGACGAAGAAGAGGCTGAGTGAGCATCTGGGGACTGTGCTGTGTTGACAGAATGGAAGGCAGAGAAGTAGAACAAGGAGAAGGACTTGGGAGATGACTCCGTGCTAAGAACACTTGCTGTGTGAGCACAAAGACCTGAGTTCAAATCCCGGCCCCCAAAAGTAGGGTGCAGCTGCATACGGATGTCAAAAGCAGAACATGACTGCATGGGTACCTGTAACCCTAGCACTGTGGAGAGGCAGAGCAGGACTGCTGGAGCTTGCTCCAGCCTATGCCAGGTTCAGGAGAGACACGGTCCAAAGGAGTAAGGAAGAGTGTTACAGCCAGGTCACCTGACATCCTCCTCTGGTTGCCATACACGTGCATATACACCCTGCCCATATTGTGCACACACACTCACACACACGTGTGCATATACACCCGGCCCATATTGTGCACACACACTCACACACACGTGCATATACACCCGGCCCATATTGTGCACATACACTGCACACACACACACACACACACGTACATATACACCCTTCTCATATTGTGCACACACACTCACACACACACATGTGCATATACACCCTGCCCATATTGTGCACATACACTACACACACGGAGCAGCAAAGGAGGAGGAAGGGAGGGAGGGAAGGAAAGAGAGGCATTTAAGATGAGATGGAGGACTCCAAGTGCACACTCCCCGCTTTTCAGACCCCAACTAACCTCATGTGAACTAATTAGTTTAAGCACCTATTGTAAGGTCTTTGTGTCTTATTTTAGCATCCATCATGGAGTGGTCTGGTTAAGAAGACAAGAGGGGGCTGGAGAAATGACTCAGAGGTTAAGAGCACTGGCTCTCTTCCAGAAGACCCAGGTTCAATTCCCAACACCCACATGGCAACTTACAACTGCCTATAATTCTATCTCCAGGGGACCTGACACCCTCACACAGACATACATGTAGGCAAAACACCAATGCACATAAAATTTAAAAAAAATAAATTTTTTAAAGAAGAAGATGATGATAAAGAGGTGAGCTTAGGGACAGGGCAGAAAGCGACCCCAGGGGATGACCAGGGAAGAAGGCTTATAAGGAAAATGCTTAAACTGAAGTCACCCCCTCCCCACTATGGGGGAGCTAGGACCTTGACCCTCAAGATACCTGGTCCCTCAAAAGCTCAGTGTGGCTCTGGAAGCCACTATAGAGGCTGAGAAAGTCATCTGTGTACCTAGGTTTCCAAATACCCGGACTTGAACAAGGACACCCAGTGTACCCCCAAACCGTAAGAAGACTGGGATGTACAACCAGGAGGGCTGTGTGGTGTCCCTTTGTGCTCTCCTGAGAGCTCCAGAAGGCTGGGGAGTCAGCATAACTGCTTCTTTAGAAGATTCTAGCATGTTACTGTCCCGCTAATGAGCAGTAACACTGTCACACAATTGGCATGGAGGCCAGGAGGGGTGGGCACTCCTGCCTCCCGCAGACATGGCCTCCCTGAGCCTCACAACTGTGTCCTGGGGTGCCACCTGGTGGTCACTGGGCAGAGGACCAGTGCAGAGTCAGTCAGTCACAGTTCTGAGGCGCCAGGATTGCAGGACACTAGGCCCAGCTAGGTCCTTAGAGAACACGGTGCCCACTCAGGCTGAGAAATGCCTCATGGAGTGTTCAGCATTGACTTTTGGAGCATTATTGCACGTCAGCATGAGCACAACCATGAGCCTGAAATCACGTAGAGCTAGTCGGAATGTAGACAGATCAATCTTAGGATCCTTAGTCATGACTTTATCAGATTTTTCTCTAAAAGAAAGCAAAAGTTAATAAAGCAACTGTGAACATGTCCTCAGAGAAGACCCACATCCATGCCACTGTGACTCACACTTTGGCATAACATGGTAGTGTCCTTTCTGTGTCTACTAGTTAAAAAATCTGTGTAACCACTGTGTTGACTCAGCAACTGTTTTCAATGTGTGTGTGTGTGTGTGTGTGTGTGTGTGTGTGTGTGTGTGTGTGTGTGTATGTGTGAATATGTGTGATGGCATGTGAGTGCATATATGCCTGTGTGTATGCACATGTGTATATGTGTGTATATGAATGTGTATGAATGTGTGTGAATATGTGTGTGTGCATACAAGTGCGTATGTATCTGTGTGTGTGTGTGTGTGTGTACGTGCATGGGTATGCAAACCAGAGGCAGATATCAGGCATCGCTCTCTATCAGTCTCTAAGCATCTCCCATTAAACCTGGAGCTCACAGCTTTACCAGGTCAGCATGCCAGTGAGTGCCAGACATCTCCATGCCCCAGCACTGAGATGGCACACATGTACAGCCTTGCCCAGCTTTTACATGGTACTGGGGAGCCAAATTCATGTTTGTATAGCAAGCACCGTGTCCACTGAGCCATCTGCCCAGTCCCTCTGTTGATATTTATATATTAAAATGTCACTTGTGCCGGGCGGTGGTGGCGCACGCCTTTAATCCCAGCACTCGGGAGGCAGAGGCAGGCGGATCGCTGTGAGTTCGAGGCCAGCCTGGGCTACCAAGTGAGTCCCAGGAAAGGCGCAAAGCTACACAGAGAAACCCTGTCTCGAAAAACCAAAAAAAAAAAAAAAAAAAAAAAAAAAAAAAAAAAAAAAAAAAAAAAAAAAAAAAATGTCACTTGTTAAAAAAATTTAAATTAAAATTAAAAAATGTCACTTATTTCTATTTCAGAAAGACCAGTTCATTTTATTACTCTTCTGGGTGGTTCCTAATGGAATAGAACCAGGAGTACCCATGCTTCTACAGACCCACTCTCTGGGTTCCCCAGCAACCTACAAACAGGAAATCCCTGCTGGCACTTTCCTAGAAGTCATCTGCACCTGAGGATGACATAGCCATGTCACACATTCCTCTTAAGATGAGAGGAGAAAGAAGTGAGCTCTCACCACACCCCCACCTCTGCAAATTGGCAGAGTGGATGCCCAAGGCTAGCTCTTCGTCTCTACTCCAAGCCTGTGTCCCTTGGGCAGGGGAGGCCCCTGCTGCCCTCTGCAGCCTTGAGATAAATAGGTGGTGAGGGCAGATCTCAGCATTTTTATAGCTCTCCAGTGATTCTGATGTTTTTTCCAGAAACAGAGTATTCTAGCTACAAAGCACAACGGGGTCCCCTGAGCAGGCTAGAAAGGGGTAAACCAACCGATCACATTCAAGCCTTGGTCGCTCAAATCCCAAGTGATGTGTTGTCAAGACAAAGCTGGGCCCCAGGGATGAGGCCCAGACAGCTAGCTGCAAGCTGCCAGCATGGAATGTCTCTAAAGCCATTCTAGAAGAATCTATTTGGTGTCTGGGTCTAGATCTAGACAGAACCTGAACGACATACTTTGAGACATTATTACTATTAATAATTTTTTTTTTACTTTTACTATGTAATGAATCGATTACATTTTAGGAGGAAAATGCAGATCAGCAGAAAAAAGTAAGATAGAGAAAAACACAGCGAACTGTTCCCCTTAATTAGACACCATCCATAATGATGTTTGAGTTCCATTAAGGAAGCCAGACATTTCTGTTCTCTAATCTTTTTCCCTTAAGGACCTACTGTGCCCGTGTGCCATGTCAATAAATATTTTTGCATCAACTCAATTACAGGACTGCTTGGAATCCATTGTGTGGGTGAAACATAGTTTACAAGTTCACAGTGGCTGCATTTTTTATTATTTCTAAATTTTTGCTAATATGGAGAAATCTCATTATGAGCATCCCAGAATCCAAATTGCTGACACATCTTTGATTTGCTCAGGATTGTCTATTGTGACCTAGAGCCAAGAGGGTCCCCAAAGGACCACTGGCCACACGATTTGGCAGCCAGTTGTATAACTAGATTAGTCTGAAAATTGTCCACACTAATGACTTGAAGAGACTTGGAGGTTATTTAATTTTTATTTATTTCAGCTTTGATTTGTGGAAAATAATGCTAAGAGTGTGATTTGGGTAGACAGATGTGTGTGTGTGTGTGTGTGTGTGTGTGTGTGTGTGTGTGTGTGTGTGCGTGTGCGTGTGCACACACACACATAGCTTTTTGAGATAGGGTCTTATTATGTAGCCCAAGGTGGGCTGAAACTTGTAGTCATTCTCCTGCTTCACCTTCCCAAGTGCTAAGATTACAGACAAGAGCCACCATGCCTGGCTAAGTATAGGTTTTATTTACTTTCGTAAGAAACCACCCAAGCCAGGATTGACAGCACACATCTTTAATCCCAGGACTCAGGCGGCAGAGGCAGAGGCAGGCAGATCTCTGTGAGCTAGAGGCCAGCCTGCTCCACAGAACAAGTTCCAGGCCATCCAGGGCTACATAATGGGAACCTGTGAAAAGGTGGGGATGGGGGGAAGTGCCCAGCTGTCTTCCAGAGGGGTGGTACACGTCTTGGAGGAGTGAGTATTCCCCTGCCTGGCACTGGGTGATTGATGTTGGCCATTCTTTTAGTTATGGTGTGGTTCTTGTTGCTGTTCTGAAGTGTTTTTTTTAATTATGTGCATATGTCTATGTGTCTGTGAGGGGTATGTGCCTGTGAATGCAGTTCCAATGGAGTCCAGAAGAGGGCGTCAGATTCTTTGGAGCTGAAGTTACAGGCGATTGTGAGCCTCCTGACATGGTGCTGGGAATGGAACTCCAGTCCTCTACAACAGCTGTATCCACTCTCAACTGCTGAGTCCATCGGCTGCTCTAATTTGCATTTCTCCATGACCTAGGAGGAGAACATCTCATTTCTGTCTCCCTCTGTGTGTGTCTTCATCGAGGAGGTGTCTGTCAAGGACTTCAGCCTAGTTTTTAATCAGGCATTTGTTTTCTTATGGTTGAATTTTAAGAAGTCTCTGTATATTTTGGATAACAGTGCCTTATCAGATATTTGTTATGCAAACATTTTCTCCCAGTCTGTGACTTCTCTTTTTATTCTCTTGGCAATATCTGTGGAAGAGCAGAAAATTTTAATTTTGACAGAGTCCATCTTATCAATCCTTTCTCCCAGGGATCAGGCCTTCGGTGTAGTATATGGAGCTAGCAACAAGGGCGAGGCCATGTAGATTTTACATTATCCCCTAGCAGTTGGGGGATTCTGCATCATACATTTAGATTTGGGACCAATTTTGAATTAACTTTTCTAACAGGCATGAGGCTTGTGACTACAGCTACATCTATTCTGCACGTGACGTCCAGTGGCGCCAGCATCATCTGTTGAAAGGACCTTTCCTTTTGTTTTGTTCTCGTCGGTCATTGGTGGGAGGGGATTTTTACGTTTTGTTATTGTGTGGGCATGCATGCATGTGGAGGTCAATGGCAGTGAGTTCTCTCTCCCCACCATGGGAGTTCCTGAGTCATCTGACGGTCAGCAAGCACCTTTGCCCACCAAGCCATCTCACCGGCTCTGGTTTTATTTTGGTTTTATGTCATTGAGTCATTGCAGAAACCAGATTTTATAACGCAGAGGTCAATAAACCATTTCTATAAAGGGCCAGAAGTAAATGGTTTAGCTTTGAGAGCCACGTTGTCTTTGTCACCACTACTCAACTCTATCTGTGATATGTCCACAAATGGGCTTGGCCATGTCACAATAAAACTTTTTTATACAGGGGCTGGAGAAGTGGCTCAGCAGTCACTGCTCTTGCAGAGGACCTGAGTTTGATCCCAGCATCTATATGGCAGCCCACAATTGTCTGTAACTCCAGTTGCAGGGGACCCAATACTCTTCTCTGCTCCACAAACAGTAGATGTGCACGCACACACACACACACACACACACACACACACACACACACACACACACACACACACAACACATAAACATGCATTCAAGCAAACACACAGATGCACAGAATAAAAATAATAAATCTTGGTTTCATTTTTAAAACTGTAGATATATAAGCATGTAATGGGCCATAGCTCACTGACCTCCTATAGAATATCTCCATTCTGGATTTGGCTACATACTATCATGTGCTGCTAACCTATTCTTCTATCCTTTGTGTTTCTAATTCGAATCAAGTACCTATTAATTAGATTTGAGTTTAGTAACACAATACTTCCCAGGCAGGGACTTATGTTCCCTGGAGCATCATGTCCTAAAGCGAAGAGCGTCTGCTTGCCATGGGTGTCTCTTAAGCAGCAGTAACTCTCTGCAAATAGATCTGCTTTTAAGGAAAAGCCTGCTCATTCCACGAACGCTAGCAAGGATGATTCTTTTCTGGGTAACAGGATGAATGGGAAGTGACTGCTATTGTCCATTCCTAAGCATATATTAAAAGCCTCTAAAATTAACTTGGCAGTTTCACTGCTTATCATTTATCTTTGAAGAAGTGGAGTGCAGGTAAACATTTTTCGATGAGGGTGTTCATCACATTATTAACTACAGTAGCGGGAAAGGAGGTAATAGTATGTCCAGCACTAGCAAGTCAGTGAAGTGACATGAGGACTGTATCCTAACACCCTGCATCTGATTGTTTCTAATTTTTAATGTATGGTTTAGCAATACCGCATGACAAGAGTATGTGATGCTTTGCTGAGAAAAGACAGTTTTAAAAACAGGATGTATGGAAATGTGGGTGGGTGGATGGATGAATGATGTGTGGATGGATTCTTAGATGGGTAAGTGAATGGATGATGGGTGGATGGAAGGATAGGTGGATGGATGGATGGATGGATGGATGGATGGATGGATGGATGGATGGATGTGTGGCTTGATGAGTGTATGGAAACTCAAAGGTAGATATGTGAGTGGGTAAATAAAAGCTCCTATAGATAGATGAGTGGATAGGTAAATAAGTGGTAGGTAAATAGATGTGTGAATGGATAGATTGATCACTAGAAATCATTGATATAAATACTCTTTGATGAAAACCTCAATGGCTGACTTTCACTGACCATTTGCCATGTTTGGTAACCCCTGAAGTATTCCATATTGGCTCCACAGTCTTTATAATTTTATGAAGTAAGTGGGTTCCACATGCTCCAGATGGCTGAGTCACAGACAGTTAAATAAACCTACCCAAGATCACATCACAAGCTGCTGGTGGCACGGGCAGCCTTGGGCCTGAGCTTCTCACTCCAGGACACAGTATCCCTGCAGTCCACCAGCAGTGCGTAGGCGAAGAATCTAGAAACAGAGATTTATGTTCTCATGTTGATCGCAGGCTCCCAGTACTGAAAAATGTTTCCTTTCTATGTCCTTCTTTTCCTTGTTTGTTTGTTTGTTTGTGGTTTTTTGTTTTTGTTTTTTTCTTGCCAGTAGTTAACACCTCTGTTGATTTTTCTATTTAAACTCGGGGTTAAAATATCACAGACATACTCTCACTGGCAGTCTTTCATTCTCTGAACTTCAGATAACTTTAGAACCCTGAGGCTGACCCACTTCTGTCCCCAGGTGACATCTTGCCCTTTTTGAGCCCTTTTGAGGACTACAGCCCCCTTCCCTGGAGGGCACTCACTGTGCGTGCCACCTCCACAGAGCTAGTTCTTGGAGTCTGTCCATGACGGTGATAATGGCTGTGTTCTCTCCCTAACAACTCTAGAGGAGGTATTTTGTACTGTCATGCACCAGTGTGGATGTCATTTCTCAAGTCTCCCTTCGTTCCGACTGGCCACAGCTAAAGTGATTTTTTTTTTTGGACACTGAAGTCAATTTGTCACAGTGATGCATCGATCTAATGATTCCCCTCATAGAACTAATTCCAAAATGTAGTCGACTCGGAAACTTTGATTCCTTCTCCAGCCATAATCTTTTAACATCTTCAGAGGAATTCCTCGGGCTGGCTCTTTCCCAGGGCTGTTTTGCGATGGCTTCTGGCCAAAAGTAACAACATTTTGACCCAGATCTGAACCCAGGGTGTAAATGGCCAGTAATGGCCTGCTGCTTGAATGGTGCTCCTGGACCCAGCACCTGCCCCAGGAGTGATGGAGTTCCAGGCTCTCCCCAGGGAACAACCTCCTCCCAGGCCCTGCTCCCTGCCCACAAACCCAGTCCCACAGGCCACACATATGAGGCCTGTAATGGCCTCCTGCCTGCTTTGGGCTCATTCTTTGCAGGAGGAGGCTTGGGTGTAGCCCACCCTGGAAAATTTCTGACCTCCTTTCACTGACCCGCCTGTCCTCCCCTTCCATAGGTATGTGTGGGAGAAGGACGGGGCCACCCTGGCTGTGGAGACCAATCCCCGGGTCCGTCTGGACAGAAACGGCTCCCTACACATCTCGCAGACATGGTCAGGGGACATTGGTACATACACCTGCCGGGTGCTCTCAGCTGGTGGCAATGACTCTCGAAACGCCCACCTGCGAGTCAGGTAAGGACAAAGGAGGCACAGGTAATGGGGGCAGTGGGGTATTCAGAGCCAACCAGCTCCTTTAGTCATGACCAAAAGCCATGTACGTCTACGACTAGACCCACCCACGTTCCCTAAGATACCTCCTGAGCATCCTGCTAGGCCTGTCCCTCAGCTCAGGGACACCCTGTGAGAAGCAGAAGTCTGTGTAGGCCTTAAATGGGGCTCTAGTTCCAGAGAGGAGAATCTGCAGGTACAAATGTCTACTCACTCCAGATAGGTCACCAAGACAGCAAAGGAATGATTCCACCTATGTCACTGGCCACTCATGGCATGCCAATGAGTTTGTTGGGCTTACTTGCAGGTGTATGGGTGACCCCCAAGGCAGCTGCATCACCAAAATGTCCCACTCCAGTGTGGATGGTGACTTCCTCGGAGTTGCAGAGATGGAGTTCCCTCTTCAGTTAGCCTTCTGCCCTGTATTTGCACTAGCCCCGCTTGAGAGCACATGCAGCTAGAACAGGGTTACATGCCACACGTCCTGGGGACGAAGGGCAAGAGGGATTGGTGGGACTCTCAGGTGACAGTCTAATGACCAACCTCCCCACCCCCTCCCATGAGGAAACATCAATAGGCAATCTTTGTTTTTACTGTTTGAGGATTTCATACATGCCTGTTACGTATTTTGATCAAATCTACCCGCATCCTTCCCCCCGCCCAACTCCTCCCCACACCCCACCACGTCTCCCTCTCCACTTCATGTACTTGGTTTTAAAACCCAGAGTTCACTTATGCCGCCTGTACGGGCATGGGTGGAGAACCATCTACCGGAGCGTGGAGAGCTTTTCTGGGATCACATCCCTGAAGAAAATGAATTCTTTCTCAGCCGGCCATTTCCAGCCAGATATTTAGCTATGGGTAGGACTCATGAGCCCTCCCCCTTCCATGTGGAGAGTGTGGCTGATTTGGTCTTGAGCATACAGCCACAGACACTGTGAGTTCATGTGTACAGCGTCCCTGTCACCCAGCAAACCCAGTTTCTGTGTAGATGTTCACCACCTCTGACTCTTACGGTCTCTCTACCCCTTCTTCCGAGATGATCGCTAAGCCCTGGTGGGGGGACAGGGGGGGATGTAGATGTGTCGTTTATAACTGAGTACTTCACAGTCTCTCCCTCTGCACATCGACCAGCCGTGGGTCTCTGTGTCTGTCACCCTTTACTGCAGGGACCAGCTTCTCTGGCGAGGACTGAAAGATGCCCTAATCGAAAAGTAGAAGGATAAAAACTTAGGAGGTGGTTACTTTCTATGTCTACTTAGGACAATGATGGTGTTAGAGTCTCCCCTATGACCATAGGCTTTAGGCCCATCTAATGGCATCTGACCTGAATTCCGTCTTGTGAAGCAGGCCTTGAACCCATGCAGAGAGTGGTTGGTTACCCCCATGATGTTTGTGCCACCGATGCACCAGTGAGTGTAGCTTGTCAGGGTTGTTGTTACTATAGCTTACAGGATTCACAGCTGGGTGGGACTGTGGATGACTTTTCTCCCCCAATAGCATGTATTGAACCTTCTAGAAATATAAAGGCAAGGCAGTAGGGATGAAGCTTCAGATTGGTACCAGCTTGATTTCTCCATGTCCTGTGACACTAGTATATGGTATTTTCAGCAGTAAGGTCTTACCATCAAGCTCTGGAAGTAGCAACAGCCTATAATGTTGGAGAGACAGTTTTGGGATCCCACCCAACAACACTGGGCTTTTTTGTTGGCTAGCCTATAAAATTATAAGCTGGTATCTAGGAGAGCCATTGTGCCCCTATTAGAGAGTAACTCCATCTGAACTCCTTTTATTTATTTTTTAAATATTTATTTATTTATTATGGATACAGTGTTCTGTCTGCATATCAGAAGAGGGCACCAGATCCCATTGTAGATGGTTGTGAGCCACCATGTGGTTGCTGGGAATTGAACTCAGGACCTCTGGGAGAGCAGCCAGTGCTCTTAACCTCTGAGCCATCTCTCCTAGCCCCTGAACTCCTTTTATATATGCCTATGAGTACATATTTTAGGAAGTTTCTACAGTAGTAGGTTTCCATATGGTGATCTTGTTGAGGGTCCTCTGTGGGTAATCACAGCTACTTAGATGAAGGTGGTAATGGCTGCTAGGCAGCAAATGCCTATAATCTAAGTATTTGGAAGGTGGAGGGAGGAAGATCAGAAGTTCAAGGTCATCCTCTTCTACTTAGCAAATTGAAGATCAGTTTAGCATGAAGGGCAGCATTCCATAACACACACACAGTGTCATGTACCCAGTGTCGTGGAAACATATGACTCACTGAATCTGCAGTGTTGCTGTCTGCCGATGGCAGAGCATAGCACTCGGGATGGGCCTTCCACACATCTCTCTCCTCCAGGCAGCTTCCCCATGCCCCTGAGCACCCTGTGGCAACACTCAGCACCGTGGAGAGGCGCGCCATCAACCTGACCTGGGCCAAACCCTTCGATGGCAACAGTCCCCTGATGCGCTACATCTTGGAGATGTCAGAAAACAGTAAGGTTCCCCAATATCACCTTCCCATGCCCCCCACAACCTGGGCAAAGGGGCACATGAGCTCAAAGATCACGTGTGCAAGTCAGCCAGCTCCCATCATACACTTCTTGGGTCTCTGAGATTTCCCCCCTGGGCAGCCATCTCTTCCTCACATGTAAAAGGAGCAATGAATGGTCTTACTTCCAGGACCATAAGTGACCCCCAAACAGCTGGTGGGTTATTATACAAGACTTGCACAGGTGAGCCTAGCATGGGACTATAGCCTGTAGCCCCAGCACTTGGAAGGCCAAGGTGGGAGAATCATGAGTTCAAAGCCAACCTGGGCTTTGCGCAGTGTCGGAAGAAGGTCTTGTGTAAGACCTGGCCCAGGGGCAGCCTCAAAGACAGCAGCTGTTGTTCTCACAAGTCTCCCACTGTGAACTTCAGTGTTAGCTGGTGCAATCTGAACGATATCCTTGGTGCAGCTTTTCTGGAGCTCGTGAATTCAAGGGGAAGAAGCATCTCAATTCCCATGAACCCCTGCTTCCACTTCCCCCCAGCTCCCACCAACCCCTGAGTCACATGGGCTAATGGGACCCAAAAGAGCTGACATGGTGACCTATACTGGACCAAGTTAGGGAGACACTCACTCTCCTGCCAACCCAAAAGAGAGGACTGGGAGTGAAGAGTAAAATCTATCGCATCACTGGCTGACGAGATGGCTCAGCCAGTAAAAGCATCTGCTGCCAAACCTGATGACCTGAGTTGAGTCCTTGGGATCCACATGGTGGGAGAGAACCCATGCCCTCAAGTTGCCCTCTGACCTCCAAATGACACCATGGCACATGCATACCCATAGACATACACATGTATACACAAAAGGAAATAAATTTGAAAATTAATGTTTTTAAAAAGGAGCATATCTCATAGCCCACCTGCACAATGCCCCCTTCTACCCCAACCCCATGTGTCTGCAGATGCTCCGTGGACCATTCTCCTTGCCAGTGTGGATCCAGAAGCTACCTCAGTGATGGTCAAAGGGCTGGTTCCTGCTCGTTCCTACCAGTTCCGCCTCTGTGCTGTCAATGATGTGGGCAAAGGACAGTTCAGCAAGGACACAGAGAGGTGAGGGGCACAAGTGTCCCCCTGAGTGAGACTCCACCTGCCTGCCACCAAACCAGGGCACATGGGGCAAGCCACAGGGTGGGTCTGGTTCAGTGTCTCTGCCTACTCTGTAGAATTGGGGAATGATATGTCTGACTTGTTTCCCAGGAGGGGCGTGAGGCTTAAAGGAGATGAAGAGTATTGTGGGTACAGTGTGGTCCATAATAAGCATGAACAAGCCAGGGTCATTCCTGTGACCATGAGCTTGGCAAGTTCAAAGACTTCCCTGATTCTGCCCAGTCTCACGAGCTTCCATCATGGTTCAAGAGACAAGAAGGTCCACAGAAAAGAGGGGCTCTTCAGTGTCCATGTCCAATTCCAAACCTGATGCCAGACCCTGTGGGCATCCTAGCAAAGCTCTTACAAGATGATAGACACCGGGAACCAATAGGCAATCCACATCAAAGCCTCCCACAGTTAGCACCGTTATATAGAGGCTAGACCCCACCTGGCTTGCCTTTTATAAGAAGCAGCTGCTTCTAATGGGAAAGCAGTTGTCATTTAAGAAGTCAGAATGACTGGGACACAGTATATGCACCAAAACTGTACACTTGGCTCTTCAGAAGATGCCTTCCAAGTCGGATGAAGTGGCATGGGTCTGTAATCCTCGTGTTTGGGAGGTGAAGAAGAATCATGAGTTCAAGCTCAGCTTGGGCCATAAATCAAGTTCCAGGCCATCTAAGCTATAGAGTAAGACCCCTGTCTTAAAAAAAAAAAAACAGCAATGCAGCTTGGAGGATGACTCAGTGGGTGAAGTATTTGCTGCATAGGTGTGAGGACCTGAGCTGTGATCCTCAGGAACTGTAGGCAATCTGGGCATGGTAGCACGTGCCTGTAATCCTAATGCTGAAGAGGCAGAGATGGGCAGATCCTGGGCCTCTCTGGCCAGCCAGTCGAGCTGGAAGAGCAAACTGGAAGTCAGTGAGAGACCAGGTCTCAAAAAAAAAGTGAAGGAAGGCCAGGCATGGTGGCGCATGCCTTTAATCCTAGTACTCCAGAGGAAGAGGCAGGAGGATCTCTGAGTTCGAGGCCAGCCTGGTCTACAGAGTGAGTTCCAGGACAGCCAGGGCTACACAGCGAAACCCTGTCTCCATAAACAAACAAAGTGGGCTGGTGAGATAGCTCAGCAGGTAAAGGTATCTGCTGCCAAACCTGATGGCCTGAGAGTTCACCCCCAGGGCTCATGTGTCCTCTGACCTCCATGGGTGTGCTATGGCGCTTGCGCACACACACACACACACACACACACACACACACACACACACACACACACAGCTACTTACTGAGCATTTACTATGTGCCAGGCTGGATTCGGCCCCCGGGTGGTACACTGAACAGGCAGTGGCTCCGCCCCTGAGAAGTCTCACAGTCACAGCAAGGAGGACTCAGAGTGCCGGGAGCCCCTCCCCACTTCTGCTCTGCCTGTGGCTGTACTATACACCCATTCGTACTCGTCAGGAACTTCTGTGCTAATAGCCTGAGTCACCATGGGAAAGGTTAAACCACCCTCCCTTTAAAAGCTGGAAGCAGACAGGACTGTTTGGGAAGCTATCCATCAGAGAACGAAAACATAAAAAATAAACAAAAGGGGAAAGACATCCATCAAAAGTAATTAACTTTTGTTTTTAATGGACAAGTGTCAGTGGCGTGAAAAATATACTTGGGCGGAACACTGTGTTCCCCAACCATGCCACAGAAAGAAATGTGGTGCTTGGTTTACAGAAGGCCGGCTCCAGGCTGGGGCTCCTTCCCTGAACCATCGCCACCCACCTATCCTAGGGCTCTGCTTACCCAGCAAGGGGGGCTAGGTAAGGCCCACCACCAAAACCTGTGGGGAACTGCTGGTGCCCTATTCCTAAAACAATAGCATGTGCCTGTAATCCTACACTCACGAGGCTGAAGGAGGAGGATTACAAGTTCAAGGCCACCCTGGACTGCAAAGCAAGACCCTGTCTCAAAAAAATAAAAAAAAAAAAAAATTCACAAAGAGACGTTAACTGAGCTACCCAAAAGCACACAGCAAGGGTACAGAATTACCCCTGGACAGTAGGTAGTATGACCAGCCTCTTTGTCACCTATCACACGCCTGTGTCAATGGGGTAGAGATGGGGTAAGGGTCAACCACACTTGCTGTTTCTTTGCTCCAGGGTTTCCCTCCCTGAGGAGCCCCCCACGGCCCCTCCACAGAACGTTATTGCCAGCGGCCGGACCAACCAGTCCATCATGATCCAGTGGCAACCACCTCCCGAGAGCCACCAGAATGGAATCCTCAAGGGTTACATCATCAGGTACAGGCCCACTCTAGGGCCCGGAGGGCACCCTCCCCTGAGGGGGATGGGAGGTGAGAGTGGATTAGAAGACAGTACAAATTCATGGTCCATCCTGGCCAACGAACAAAGACCAGGTGATGAGAAATGCCCGCACTGTGACAAGAAGGTTTCACACCAAAATTGCAGATGAATGGACAACAGCGATAGCCTTGAAAGCTAGTAGGAATGGGTGAACAAGGACACAGTTTAATTCCTTCAAGGCTGCGTGGCAGCCAGTGCTGCCACAGGACAGGGCTGATGTAGGAGCAGACGGGAAGAAAGAGATAACGATGCCAGCAGCCAGCCTCCCACACGACTCATGGTGTTCTGCTGCAGGCCTGCCTTTAGAATAAGGTGTGTCCAGACCACGGGTGTGTCCAGATCACAGACGCGTGTGGCAAGGCTAGCTATGAATGGGTCTCGACATAAAATCACAAACTGATTTAAAATGTTATGAGATCTTTCTTTTTGCAATTTCTGTTTGTAATTCAATTGCATGGTTCTCAAAATGAACTTTGTAGATGACAGTGTCCTGTCACAATATCCAAAGGTTGGACACACCAGCTAGATAGAATACAAGTAGAGAAATTGATAGGGAAAAAAAATTGACTGAAAAGAGAAACTTATTTCTCTGGTTCTTGCTGAAAACAAAGGCCGGTTCTGTGGACTTTTAAGCTTTGCATTTGACTGAGAACTGTTTCACTAGTAACCTAATAGAAAGCATAGGAGCGGACCAGAGTAAAATACCCCTAAATTCAAGTAGCTCAGTGGACGGTGACACCTGCCCTCAAGCCCAAGAACTTGAGTTCAATCCCCAGGAGAAAAACAATTCCTACAGACTGTCCTCTGACCTCCACAAGTGTGCCATGGCAATGGCATGTCCCCCACACAAATAATTTTTTTTTAATTTTTGGGGGCTGAAGAAATAATAGCTCAATGGTTAAGCATGCTTGCCGACTGCTCATCGAAAGGACCCAGGTTCAATTCCCAGCACCTTCATGGCAGCTCACACCACATGTAACTCCAGTTCCAGAGGATCTGTTGTCTTCTCATGGCCTCCCTAGGCCCCAAGCACACACATGATGCACAGACAGACAGACAAGCATGCAAAAACACATATTTTTATTTTATATTTAATTTTTTAATTATCTTGGGATTTTGTAGTTACTGGAAACACCTGTCTGTATTCTGAATTTGGCTGGCTGCAAAATGCCTTTCCAAGCCTGTGCCTCCTCCGTGCACAACAATATCCCTGGGTGCTGGAGGGCCGTACAGTTAGAAGAACCCATGGCTCTCGCTGTCCCATGATTGGTTGATTTTGCTGTGGTTTGGGGCTGATCCTAAAGGTTCCCAGAGTAGGGTCCCCAACCCAACAGGGTCAGCACTACCTGAGCACTAGGCAGAGACCCTGATTGTCAAGTCTGTCCCCAAGACCTCCTCAATGGGAAGCCAAGAGGATGGCCAAGCAGTCTGTGTTTTAATGGGCTGCTGGGTTGTACTGATTCATGCTAAGGTCTAGAACATACCAGCTCTGGGGTTCTGGAATGCATGGAAACACTTTGGGGGTTCTGATTTTGCAACTGTTAGACCAAAATAGCTGAGCATTATGCTTTTCCCTAGGACTAGTCCACCATCCATGCAGAGCACCCCACATTTGCTTGCTCATCTCCCCTCCTTTGTTGTGGTTGCTTTGCACCACACCCTTGTCACATGACTATGAGGAGGTCGGTAGCCTTGGGGGTTCCCAGTCCTTCTCAGCAAAGGAGCCACTGTACCAGGGAAAGAAAGAAAATGAGCTAAACTTGGGGAGTGCTTTCCTGGCCCATGATCCCCAAAAGCTAACACCTGTAACACTTTCCCCCGGGGACTCTCAGCCTCCCTGGCTGGCCATCTTGTCCATGTCTCCCAAACCCGTTAAAAAGAATGTTGCAGAGGTTAGGGGTGTTTGTGGCTCAGCCGATTAGAATGCTTGCCTAGCACACATGGAGTCCTGTGTTTGATACCTAGTACCACATCGACTGGGCATGGCTATGCAGATCTTTAATCTCAGCACTTGGGAGGTGCAGGGAGGAGGATTAGGATTATCCTTAGCTACATAGTTAGAGGCCAGGCATCCTGGACTACATGAGTAAATGCACTCTCTAGACCTGTACTATCGAGCAAAGTGGCCAACAGTCAACTGTCATGACTCAAAACAAAATTACCTCCAAGTCAAATTCGTTCCTTGTTGGCACCAAACCCTTGTCACATGGCCAACAGTCATGGGTTCCAGTAGTGACCCTATTAGACAGTTGTGGCGTATTGATGGAGAGTTCCCAGAGTCACAGCAAGTTTTAACAGCCAGCACTGCTCTGGGCAGTTTGCTGTTGACAAGTCTGCAGACTGACTCAACCCACTTTCACCTCTGCCTTCAGATACTGCCTGGCTGGGCTACCTGTGGGATACCAGTTTAAGAACATCACGGATGCTGATGTCAACAACCTGTTGTTGGAGGACCTCATCATTTGGACCAATTATGAGATCGAGGTGGCAGCCTACAACAGCGCCGGGCTGGGCGTCTACAGCAGCAAAGTCACCGAGTGGACGCTTCAGGGAGGTGGGTGGAGAAAGGGGCCATGGGAGAGCAGGTGTGTCCCTTTCTCCAGGTCCCTGGGCCTGTTGGGCTGCATGCCTGCCGGGCCACCCAGATGTCCAGTCATGAACACCTGGCTGACTTCACCTGGCCCTTCATTATGGGGCTTGAGTGGCATCTCCACCTGGCTCCCCTGGGGCAGATGGCTGAGGAGAAAAGAAGAGCATGGTTAGGAGTCATATGGGAAGAGGTAGAGGAACCTTCTGTGATGTTTCACCTTTAACTGGATCACAAGACAGCTTGGGAGGTGGGTCAGAAAAATTTATTGAACTCAAATTAATCCAGGAAGTAGGAGAGGAAGGGGACCCTTGGTTTGGTCAAGCACTATCTATAGAGTCTGCCTGTGTCCTCTACCATGCTGGACAAGATGAACAGCTGCAACCAATCTCTTGATCTCCTCTAGTTCCCACGGTGCCCCCAGGCAATGTGCATGCAGAAGCCACCAATTCCACAACCATCCGCTTCACCTGGAATGCCCCCAGCCCCCAGTTCATCAACGGCATCAACCAGGGCTACAAGGTAGGTGAGGGTCTCTGCTGTCCTCTGAAAGGAGCCTGGAGGGACTCAAGAGGAGAGGGGAGAAATGAAGGGCTCCAGGGAAGAGCAGTGGGGTCACTGTGGGTTTCTGAAACCAGACTCCAGCAGGCAGAGGTCACAGATAGAAGCAGAGGATACCCCCCCCCATGATTTTCAAGGTCACATACAGGTTTCTATGATAGCACACGGTACCCTAGCTGTCACCAGAAAGAGACTGTCCTTGGTAAACTCCAGCCACAAACAAGGCCTGTACACCTGAACATAGCCATATTCCATCAGAACAAAGCAGTAGTCATTCCTTACCACTCTGCTGTGGCTCTCACAGGCTACCTGTCAGGCAAGCCTCCATGGGCTGTCCTTGGCCCCATACACAGTGTGGGCAGAGGCGTGGGATTAGGACTCAGGCAGACTTGGACTAAAATCCCAGCTTGCCTCTTGCTGACTGATGTCATGAATTTTGGTGCGGATGCTGTGCCCTCTCCTTATAGCCTCATGAGGGTCTGTGACCTCATCCCCTCTTCTTGCAAGAGCGCCAGTCACACTGAGTTAGGGTCTGTCCCTGATGACCTCACTTAACTTTAAGCAGCACTTTGAAGGCCCAAGTTCCAAACACAGCCACCCCTGGGGAGTTGGGCTTAGAACTTTGACATATGAACTCAACCCAGACATGATCCACCAGCCAACAACTAATAGAAGCGTCCGAATTGTAGCTATACCAATGCTATTGGGTTTTCTGGCCATTTTAACTGCTGGGCATCTGGACTTCTCAGCCATCCTGTCTGCATCCCAGGCCTGGGGTCCCCTTCTTCTCCTGCAAGGAGGCCTGCTTTCCCCTGAGAGAGCTGAGGACATACCACATAGCACAGGGCAACACCATGTTTGAAACAGGGGGTTAATAGGGGGTTGCCCTCAGCAGAGGGAGGCAGGTAGGCAGGTGCCACGTGCTCATTAATTTCCAGGGGTGAAAAAAGAAGCAGGGAATGTAAGGGGGCTGGGAAGCTGGAGGAAAGGAGAGAAAACTACAGACTCTGGGTTTGCGCTACGGTTCCCAGTGATTTCAAGATGACAGCTGCCATATCCTCGAGTCCCCTACACTGAGGCTGCGCATATACCACAGTCAAGATCATCTATAAAACAAGTGTCTACACCATTGTGACTGTGAGGTTGGGAGGCCGGAGAGGAAGGAAGGCAGATTGTTTGGCCAAAAGAATGTTCTACTTGTGCTAGGAGCAACCTAGGGACCAGAGCTGGAGCCACCAGCCCACAACAATTTCACTCCAACAAAGCCGGAGAGCACGGGCCAAGAAAGAGTCTTCCTGGGATAGGGGCTGCAGCCCAAGCTTGCAGTTGCTGACTGGCCGGAAAAGGCTGCTAATTGGGACTCAGGGGAGGGAAAGAGGTCTGCATGGCTGTGGAGCACAGAGGCCGAGCTGGGAACAATTAAGCTTCTGGCTGCCAAGTCTAAGCATAAGTTTTATTCTGCGTGTGGGAAGGGTGAGCTACCAACTTCTAAGGCAGAAAGCTCCCCGAGGGCTGGAAGGCCACCAAGTGGCCAGGACAACTAGGGCAATGGCCTGTGGTGACCCAGAACAAGAAGACAGTGCAGAAGCCCCCAAACCTGCTTGATCCCAGGCTCTTCCAATCCCTGTACTCAGGAACTGTGCCATATAAACCAATGACCACCAGCTGACCAATATTTTGAGCACAGGAGCTCATGGGACAGTAACAGGGTATCACACTTTTGGGGGCGTACCCAATACCAGCCAACCAGCTACATACTTCACTCATTCTCTCATGCAAGACCCCTAAGAATTAAGCATTATGATCATCACCCCACTTCCCAGAGGAAGAAACTGAGTCATGGGAGAGAAGTCACTGTTCACAGTCTAAAAGTAACTGAGACAGCACAGATTGAACCCAAGGCCATGCTTTTCCTTACATTAAAAAAGAAAGCATGGGGCTGGATTGGTGGCTCAGTGGTTAAGAGCATTTACCGCTCTTGCAGAGGACCCAGATTCAGTTCCCAGCTCCAATGTGGCAGCTCATAGCTGCCTGTTAACTCCAGCTCCAAGGGATCTGATACTCTCTGGCCTCTGCAAGCACCTGCATCCTGGTGGTGCACATAAACTCATATAGGTATATACACATTAAAAAAATAAAACATAATAGGTAGACAGACATACAGACAGATCAATAGATAGACAGGTAGATGGAAGCTCATGTAGCCCAGGCTGGCCTTAAATTCAGTATGCAACCAAGGGTGACTTTGAGCTTCTGATCCTCCTGACTCCACTTCCAAGCCCTAGGATTACAACATGTACACCACATCTGGTTTATGAGGTGCTCGGGATTGAACCCGGAGCTTCAAGCACTCTAGGCAAGCACTCTACCAACTGAGCTACATCCCCAATTCTGTTTTTAATTGTAAAATTATACCCACAACTTGATGTTTTGGGAGTACAAGTGAATAAAAGTGAAGATCTTTTCTCTTTGCTTCTTCAGTTTTCAGAATATCTATGGGGGCGCGGCAGGGAGGGGCTGCCCCTGAACCTCTCAGCTCCTCCCAGCCCTTAGCCTGGTGGTTCTCAACCTTCCTAATGCTATTACCTTTTAATACAGTTCCTCATGTTGTGGTGACCCCCAAACATAAAATAATTTTCATTTTCATTGCTACTTCATAACTGTAATTTTGCTACTGTTATGAATTGCAGTATAAATATCTGATATGTGAGATATCTGATATGCGACTCCCAAAGGGGTCACAACCCATAATAAGTTGAGAACAACTGCCTTAGCCCCTCCTGGGGAACTTGCCGAAGTGAATCCCAGGCAGTTGGTCACATCATCCCTAAATGTTCTTGTAGAGAAAGATTCCATACAAGGTCTCTCTATTAAAAACAAACCTTCAGCCGGGCGGTGGTGGCGCACGCCTTTAATCCCAGCACTCGGGAGGCAGAGCCAGGCGGATCTCTGTGAGTTCGAGGCCGGCCTGGGCTACCAAGTGAGTTCCAGGAGAGGCGCAAAGCTACACAGAGAAACCCTGTCTCGAAAAATCAAAAAAAAAAAAGAAAAAAAAAAACAAAAAAAAAACAAACCCTCATTGACCATATTACCATACCTAAAAATGTCAACCATCCCATCATTACATATCCCACCAGCCTTTGGATTTCTGTGATGGTCTCCCAACCAATTCCTGCTCCTGGATGGTTTATATATTTCCAGATGTAGATGAAGGCCACCCAGTTGCTGTTGGTTAAAGGTTTGAGTTTAAAGTCTCCATTGATCTTAGAGGCTCCTCTCCTCCCTCTCTCCCCCTCTCCCTCTCTCCCCCTCTCCCTCTCTCCCTCTCTCCCTCTCTCCCTCTCTCCCTCTCTCCCTCTCTCCCTCTCTCCCTCTCTCCCTCTCTCCCTCTCTCTCTGTCTCTCTCTCTCTCTCTCTCTCTCTCTCTCTCTCTCTCTCTCTCTCTCTCTCTCTCTCGATTTATTTGGCAAAGAAACTTAGTCATTCATCCAATGAATTTTCCACAGGCCTGGATTTTGCTGATTGCCTCCCTATGGGGTCATTTAACACGTTCCTCTGAGTACTACATCTGCAGTAAATTGGAATGTAGAGCTAGCGGCCAATTGGATTCAAGTTTGTTTGATTACCTTTTTGGCAGGGAGGTGGGGGGGCCCCAAATGGTGCTATGTGTTGACATCAGAAGGTGCAAAGTTTGATTGTCTCTTTAATTGTGAACTTGGTGGCCATGGACAGCCCTGGTAGGGTTTGTGATTTTAATAGGAGTTACAAAATGAGGGTGGAAAAATACTGTCATTTCTTCTTGTTTAGCTGAAATGCCTTCAGGAAGGAAGAAAGGAGAGGAGAGAGAGGGAGGGAGGGAGAGAAGTCAAGAACAGGAAGGAAGGAAGATGACATTTCCCTTTGTCAGTTTTCTACTACATTAGGAACAATTTAAAACTCCATTCTTTTCCACGGCCTCTCAAGTCTCAGCGTTATAAAGTAGTTCCCTAGCATCTTCTAAGGCAACAGTTAAATTGGGTTGGAGGAGCTGTCTTTGGCTCCATTTTGCTTTTAGTGATGTCGTTATGTACTTAAGAATTTTTAAACACATCTGCTATGCTCCAATCCACTGCGGTTATTATCCTTATTGTTGCCAAGTGATCACTGGTCCCTTCAAGTTGGCTCCTGAGTCTTTTTCAACATGGTCCCAGGAGTCTCCCATGGCTGCCTGGCTGGCTGGGATGACAAGATACTTCAAGCTATATAAATGTATATAAAATCTGCATACAAATTTTGCCAGGGTTGCAGTGCAGGCCTGTAATCCCAGCCATATGGGAGGTTGAGGCAGAAAATCCACAAGGTCCAGGACTGCCTGAGCTGTGAGTTCAAGGCTGTCCTCAGTTGTGTCTGTTGCTGTGATAAAGACCATGACCAAAAGCAACCTGGGGAGGAAAGGCTTTATGTGGCTTGCAAATATTGACCATAGTCCATCACTGAGGGAAGCCAGAGCAGAACTTGGAAGCAGAAACTGAAGCAGAGGCCATGGAGGAGTGTTGCTTACTGGATTGCTCTCCATGGCTTGCTCAGCCTGCTTCCTTATACAACTAGGACCTCCTGCCCAAGGGTGGCACTGCCCCCAGTGAACTGCAGTCAGGCCCTCCCACATCAATTATTTACGAAGAAAATGCCCCCACAGATTTTTACTGCGAGATGACTCAGCTTGTGTCAAGTGCCAAAGGGGTGGGGGGGGGGGCTAGGACAAGGTCAAACTGAGCAACTCCATGATACCCTGTCTCAAAATAAAAAGTGGAGAGAGAACTGGGGATATAGTGCAGTGGTGAGGTGCTTGCCTGGCATATGTGAGTCCCTGGGTTCAATCCCCAGCCCAGAGGAAAATAAAAATCTCTTCACTGTACCTGGGGTCAGACATTTTCCCAAGGAACTCTCGATCCCTTGAGACAGAAATAATAGATACTGTGATGTGACTACTGGAGTGTTTCCTGCACCAAAGACAGTATTGTTTCTAGATTCTGATAGTTGACAGCAAGAAGGAAATTTTTTTTTAATAAAATGCTAGAGACGTGGCTCAGTTGGTAGTGTTTGCCTGGCATGCAGGAAGCCCTGGGTTCCATCTCACATCACATAAATCAGGTATGATAACACCTGTAATGCTGCACTCGGGTTGTGGAGGTAGGAGGAGGAGGACCAGAGGTTCAAGGTCACTCTTTGAAGTATGATCCTATTTAGTCTTATCAATAAAAACCAGGAGTCAAATATTGGGGGGATAACTTGAAAGATCAGAGAAGCAAGGGAGCAGCCACAAGCGGCTTCTTACCTCTCCGGATCCTCAGACTGAAAGGGGGTCGAGATTCCTGTCTCCACCTCCTGATTGTGCTGGGATTAAAGGTGTGAGCCTCCCAAGTGCTAGGATTAAAGGTGTGCACCACCACTGCTGGCCTCTGTGGTTAACTAGTGGCTAGCTCCTCCCTCTGATCTCTAGGCAAGCTTTATTTATCAGAACACAAACAAAATATCATACAATAACTCTTGTGTACATAGCAAGTTTAAGGGTAACCTAGACTGCATAAAACTCTGTCTCCAAAAAAAAGGTGCTGGTGATTTCCATTCAGCATCAAGATTGCAAGTTTTCTCGAAAGTCGTTGGTCTTTTGTTTGCAACTTTTTTGTCCACAGTAAAAATCCAGTTCTTGCACAGCTTCCTTGGTACCAGCTCCCTCATCCCACAGACACAATAGCTTCTCAACAGCGATGGGAGTGTGAAACTACTTATCAACAGCCCCAAATTCTTGGCATCTTTTATAGTCTTGGGACATAACCCATGAAGGTTACACTTCACACAGCTCTGCTGTGATCTCTTTTGAAGAGTTTTCCTTGTTATAGTTTTCCCACAGCTCAATACCCTACTAGGTTCATCGGCTTCCTGTGGGTTTTGACTTTAAGGGATTGGTTTTTTTTATTTAATTTCATCATATAACTATGTATAGTATTTACATGGTTTCAAAGTCAAATCAACAAAACAAATTTTAAGGAAATCAGCCTTGGCCTGAGGAGATGATTGTCTTGCTATGAAAGCCCAACACCCTGAGTTTACACATGTAAAAATCTGGACATGGTCACTATTCACATCTGTAATCTCAGCATGCTCTGTCTACTAGGAGAAGGGAGGCAGAGCAAAGAGGATTACCAGAAGCTGGCAGAGTAGCCAGCCTGGCCTACACAACAGTGAACAAGAGAAACTGTCTCAGGCAAGGAGCAGGCAAGAATGGACACCTGAGGTTGTCCTCTGAACTCCACGTGTACAATGTAACATGCTCAAGTACGCACTTACATTTGTATACATGCACATCATACACACAGAAAAAAAGGAAGGGAGGGAGGGACGGAGGGATGGAGGGACGGAGGGACGGAGGGACGGAGGGAGGGAAGGAAGAAAGGGAAGGAAGAAAGAAGACAGGCAGGCAGGCTGACTCGCTTGGCCCTACACTGTGAATTCATCAATGGATTAACCCATTGATTTTATGAGAGCGTTTATTAGTAAATCACCTCCCAATGATTAGGCCCACGATCCAGGAACCAAGCCTTCAATTCATGAGCCTTTGGACAGGAGAGTTGGGGTACTTTATATCCAAACCATAACTCCCAGAAATCTGGGGAACTTTGTGATTCTACGGTTCCATAACCCCACACACACACACAAGATATGTATTTGATGAAGCAGTCTTGGGATGCCTTAGCCCTGCTGCCATTTTGGGTCTCAGGGGTGAAGCTAGAGGAAGTTAATATGGTTGGCCCTTAGAATCACACGCCCATTGCCTTGTACACGTCCCCATGGGTCATTTTTTGTGGGCAAGACCCAGAGATACTATTTTAAGACATCTGTAAAGAAACTCTTTTTTCCTTTATTTTGTTTAAAATGGTAGTGATTGTAATTAGCTTAAGCCCAATAAAATAATATTTACCCAAATTTTACACTTGCTGGGGAACACACCACACAATTAATTCCAACAGCATAATTAATTCAAATTTACATTAATTAAATTAAATTAAAACATTAAACTCATTTCTTCATCTACTCCAAGGAAGTTGGGCAATTTAATTGCTATGAAACAAGATAACTGAAATAAAGAGGATATTTAACATACTTATTAAATGCCACTTAGTATTTCTGATTAGTATTTTTAGGGTCTAATTAGTGTCTAATTAACTTGCTATAGGCTATCTTTTCACAATACCAATTAAATTTCAAAACATCCTTTATAAACATCCGGCCCTGAAAAGGAGAAGATTAAGCATTGTTACTTGTATGAGTTAATCAGGAGACATTGGCGTGGTATTGTTTTATATCTATAAATACCATGCTTATTAAAACTCTTCAAGTGTAGCTTTTCACCATTAATTGCTATTTAATCAACTTCAAATAAATGAGGAAATCTCTGGGACCAGCTGCCATTGTTGGAGACAGATGAAGGCCCAGAAACCAAGAGCAGGAGGTAAGAGTGCAGGAGAGGAGGGGCGGGTGCAGGATGAGGGAGAAGAGGCAGGCTGTGGAAGGATGAAAGGAAAACAATGAGCCTGGGAGAATGCAGAGAAAGCAAAGGGGTCCACATGGGCTCTCCTGTCATCTCCTCGCCTCTGGGTGAAATGTAAGATTGACAACCTGACCTGGAACAAATGTAAGACAATAGCAATCGACACAGCTGTAACCTATGACCTCGGAGAACCCCATGGGAAAACGAGCCAGTAGGAAAACAGGGGTAGCAATTCCGATCCTCAGCTTCCCCTAGGGGTGGCTTTGTGGATGTGTGACCATCGTGGTCACCCAGGACTCCAGGCTTAGAAGAGCTTCACCTCGGTGAAGTGCTCTGCTGTAGTCACATAAAGTTTTAGAACTAAAGGGCCTCTGGCTCAGGTTTTGTGCCCAGTGTTCATTCAGATCATGAAAATGGTTCTGGTAAATGCCTCCCTTGTAGGATAGTTGGGAGAATGGGGTGACAGGTCCCTATGGGAAGTGCCCAGTACTGTGTCTTGCCTGGAGTCAGAAGCCAAGACACCCAGAGCATCAGAATGTGCACAGGAGTAACCTGTCTTGTCTCTCTCTTCCCTGGGATGAGTGACTACAGGAACAGTGTCCCTTGACCTAACCTGTGGGAAGGAGCTTCACTTTTTCTAGAACATTCTTCTGGTTTCTCCTCAGCTGATTGCCTGGGAGCCAACACAAGAAGAGGAGGTTACCATGGTGACTGCCAGGCCTAACTTTCAAGACAGCATCCATGTGGGCTTTGTGTCCGGTCTAAAAAAATTCACAGAGTACTTCACATCGGTGCTGTGCTTCACCACACCAGGAGATGGGCCTCGAAGCAGCCCCCAGCTGGTGCGCACCCATGAGGATGGTAGGTGCCATGGCCTCAGCTCTACCCCCAGCTCCATTCCCACCCACCAACCCAGGCCCTTGGGAAGTCCCTGGGCATCCTGGAACACAGCGGCCATCCTACGTAGGGTGGCCATGCTCTGACTCTAATGGGCACTGGTGGGTGGGGGACACTTTTGGGAACAGTGCCTGGGCCCGTGGGACACCTGAGCTTCAATGACATCCTGGACACCTCACTGAAGGTCAGCTGGCAGGAGCCTGGAGAGAAGAATGGCATCCTGACAGGTAGGCATGATGACGCACCTGAGCCCAAGGGTGGGACATTTGGGACTGGGGTTATCAGCTAGTCTGTTCCCTGCCTGCAGTCAGCCCCCATCCAGACCTCCCCACTGAGCCACACTCTCAACTCTCAGTTTTGCACTTTCAATCTGCAGCACTTCTCAGGGCTCCTGCCCCAGCTCTGCAGGACCTCAGGGTTCTGAGGACCTTAAGGGTCTGTCATAATGTTGCTCTCTCTGCCTGCCATCCCTGCCCACAAAGGACATCCCACTGAGACTCTGCCTGGGCCCTAGGCATGACACCAGCAGCTCCTAGCTCCTTTAGTCCCTCTGCTCCTGGAGTAAACCAAATCACCACACTAGAGAAGGATTGAGAATTGGAACAAGGGTCAGGGTCAATGCACGATCTCAACCCAGCTCATGCTGCCTCTGTGGACTCTTGCCAGGGTACCGAATCTCCTGGGAAGAGTACAACAGAACCAATACCCGTGTGACCCACTACCTGCCCAACGTAACCCTAGAGTACAGGGTCACAGGCCTCACAGCACTTACTACCTACACTATTGAGGTGGCCGCTATGACCTCCAAGGGCCAGGGCCAGGTGTCAGCCTCCACCATCTCATCTGGTGTGCCTCCAGGTGAGTGCCTCTGATCAGAATTCTTGTCTCTGCTCTGCTAAGCAGCACTCATTCTGGGGGCGGGGGGGGGGGGGGGGGGGCATCTGTCTGTCTGGTTTGTTGGCTAGTTGGTTGGTTAGTTGGTTGCTGATAGGTTGGTTTGTTGGTTAGTTGGTTGGTTGGTGGCTGATTGGTAGGTTGGTGGTTGGTTGGTGGTTGGTTGATTGGTGAGTTGCTGGTTGGTTGGTTGGTTGGTTGGTTGATTGGTGGGTTGGTGGTTGGTTGGTTGGTGGTTGACAGGTTGATTTGTTGATTGGTTAGTTGGTTGGTGGTTGATAGGTTGGTTTATTGGTTGGTGGTTGATAGGTTGGTTGGTTGGTTGGTTGGTGGTTGATAGGTTGGTTTGTTGGCTGGTTGGTTTGTTGATTGGTGGTTGATTGGTTGGTTGGTTGGTGGTTGGATAATTGGTGGGTTGGTGGTTAGTTGGTTTGTTGGTTGGTTGGTGGTTGATAGGTTGGTTTGTTGATTGGTTGGTTGGTTGGTGGTTAATAGGTTGGTTTGTTGGTTGGTTGGTGGTTGATAGGTTGGTTTGTTGGTTGGCTGATTGTTGGCTGATAGGTTGGTTTGTTAGTGGTTACTTGATTGGTAGGTTGGTGGTTGGTTGGTGAGTTGGTTGGTGGGTTGGTGGTGGATTGGTTGGTGGGTTGATGATTGGTTGGTTGGTTGGTGGTTGGATGGTTGGTTGGTTGGTTGCTGATTGGCTGGTAGTTTGTTGGTGGTTGGTTAGTTGGTTTGTTAGTAGTTGGTTAGTTGGTTGGTTGGTGGGTTAATGGTTGGTTGGTTTGTTTTTTTTTATCCAGAGTCTCAGTCTATAGCTCAGGCCACCATTGAACTCACTATAGTCCCATTATATAATCCACATTGGACTACAGCTCGTGGAAAGACTTATTGTGGGTGGTTGAACAAGACGGGAATAATCTCAGCCCCAAACACAAACACTAAACAAGTCAGGCATCACCTCTGGGCCTCAGTTTCCCCATTTGTACACATACAAAGTTGGACCAGATCACCATGTGCTCCTATCCAGATCAGAAAGGCTGTGCCTGGATGACCCAGCCAGATTGCCTGGGCCCACCCACTGGGGTGGCCAAGGCACCTCAGACTCCTTCAACCCCAGTGACAACATCTGGTAGATATCTGTATGGGACTTCCCAGGCCTAAAGTGACAGGCTTTCTATGCCTCCTCAATGCAGTTCCCCGCTCTATGTGGTCATTACTGTCACCATTATTCTGAGACATAGAGAAGGAGGTAGATGACTGTGTCGGTAGCTCCCCTTGATACTGTGACAACATGCCTGGAAAAGCAACTTAGAGAAGGAAGGGTTTATTTTTGGCTCACAGTTCAAGGGTACAACTGTCATGGTGTGACAGTCACTTCAGGAGGAGCTCATAGCTGGTGACATTGCATCTGGAAGGGGGGAGGGGGAGGGGCACAATGCTGGTGGTCCTCAGCCTGTAGAATGATGCCACCTGCAGGTAGGGCGGGTCTTCCCACCCACCCCCACCCTACCCCCACCCCACCCCCAACCTAGAAACACCCTCACATGCTCCGAGGCTGGTCTCCATGGTGATCCTAAACCCTGTCAATTTAACTGTCAGAGTTGCTCAAAGACACAGTCTGTGGTGGAAGAGGTGGTGGAAGAGGTAGATTCAAACCGACATGTCGGATGGTTTGTTTATCTGTTTGTTTGTTTCGTTGGTTGATTGGGTTTTTGATACAGGGGCTCACTATATAGCCTAGGTTGGACTCATTATGTAGCCAAGGCTAGCTTCAAACACACTACAGAATCTGCATTCTTTCTGTCCATCTTGAGCCCCAACAACTCCTTAGTTCCTGGTTGGAAAAAGAGAAGCTGCCTCCTGTCTGCCCCAACCCCAGTCCTTCTCACCTCCCAGCCATCACTGGACGTGGAGGGCTGTAGCATCGTGTGGCTGGAGACAGTTCTGATCCAGATGCTTGCTCTGAGCCTAGCTTGATTTGTGCAGCTTTGTGGGTATTTTGCTTATCGCCAAAACTTCTGAGGGAAGCCCCCGGCATGTAGAGCTCCAGGGTGTCTCTCCCCTCAGATCTGTCCCAGCCTCCCAATACGAATGTGGTACCTGTAAGGCAGAGTGTCACCGACAGGCTTTGGCTGCGCTTCTCCGGTGATGTTGCCAAGAACAGCAAGCAGTTCAGGCTCCTTCCTGCTGCAGAGTCCTATTCCGGGGGGAGCCACCCTCTGACTTTTTCTACCCTCTTCTCCCTCCCCAGAGCTCCCAGGGGCACCCACCAACCTGGGCATTTCCAACATTGGCCCACGGTCCGTGACCTTGCAGTTCAGGCCTGGCTACGATGGGAAGACATCCATCTCCCGCTGGGTGGTGGAGGCTCAGGTAAAGCCTGCTGGAGGGGACCCAGACTCCTCCCCAGGCAGCCTCCGGCAGCCCTGTGACGATCCTGTAGAGGGTGGGGGGCTCACTGAAGCTACAGGTACCTGGTATATCAGCTGGTCTTGGAGTCAGGCCTAAAAATGGGTTTCTCTCCAGCCTGCTGTGAGGTCCTAATGCAGGAGGACTCAGAGCCACCCCGCAGTCAGCTGTGGCTTTTAGGCTAAGACCTTCCCTGGGTGGGGATGATACCTACCAGGAGTTGGGACTCAGAGCATCCCACTTGAGCACAGCAAGTTGGACAGGCCTTAGGTTCCCTTTTCCAGGTGGGCGTGATCGGGGAGGGAGAGGAATGGTTGCTGATCTACCAACTCAGCAATGAGCCTGATGCACGCTCCATGGAGGTACCGGACCTCAACCCCTTCACCTACTACAGGTGAGGCACAGGTGGAAGCGGGGGAGGGGGGCTGGCAAACCCCCTCCATACCTTGCTCATTCCTCCTCTCCCACCCCAGCTTCCGCATGCGCCAAGTAAACATTGTCGGCACCAGCCCGCCCAGTCAACCTTCTAGAAAGATCCAGACCCTCCAGGCACCCCCAGACATGGCCCCCGCCAATGTGACTCTACGCACAGCCAGTGAGACCAGCTTGTGGCTCCGATGGATGGTGAGACTCCTTAGGGGTAGTAGGATGGGATATTCACAGGACTGTTGTCACCCTGTAGCAATGTGATGACCTCAAAGAGGTCACTGATTGAATATCTATAATTCTTTCTATTTACTTTGGGGTGGGGGCTGCTGCTGCCTTGTTTGGGTTTTTAATATTTTTAAATTTCTTCCTTACTAACCTAGAAGGTGCCCAATAGTTAATTGTGGCCAAAGGAGGGAAAAGAGCTAGAAGATACTTTGTATGAGCTGGTGAGATAACCCAGTTATAAAGTACTTGCTGTACATTCATGAGGACCTGAGTTCCATCCCCAGCATCAACCTTAAAAAGCCAGGCGTGTTAGCACATGCTTAGAATCTCAGTGCTGGGGAGGCAGAAACAGGAGGATCCCTGGGGCTTGATGGCCAGCCAGCCTCTCCTAGTTGCCAAGTTGCAGGCCAGTGAGAGACTCTTGTCTCAAAAAATAATTGAACACAATGGAAGCTGGCTGTTGGTGGCACAGACCTTTAACCCAGCCTCGGGATTAAAGGTCTAGATCTTTGTGAGTTTAAGTCCAGCCTGGTCTACATAGGGAATTCCAGGCCAGCCACAGATACCCAGTGAGAACCTGTCTCAAAATAACAAAAATAAATAAATAAAAACAAACAAACTGGGTGACTCCTGAGAAATGACACCCGAGTTTGTCCTCTGGCTTCTACACACACACACACACACACGCATGTACACCTACCACCTACACACACTTGGGGTAGGAGGGGGTGAGGAATGCTGCTGACTAGAAGTATTACCAGATGCTGAGCATCCTAAACTTCCTGTCCCGTTGAACCCTCTCAGAAATGTTGAGAAGGACACAGTCCCATCCTGATTTACAGCTGAGAACACGAAGGCTCAGAGGGGTTAGGAACATGTCCATGGTTGCACAGCAGCCATGAGATGGACCCAGGATTTAGAAAGGGTCCACCTGCTGCTGTGGTGGAGGCTGGGACCAGGCCAGTCCCACAGGTTGGGGCTGTGTATTGAGGGTCTTGACAATGGTTGACCTGCAGGAAGTAGCTCACTGATACGCTGTGGCTTCCTCCCGACCCGGGTGCCGTTGGAGGTGTTTTATTCAGAGCCTGTCTTTAGATGTTCTCATTAAGCCACAGCAGCAGAGTGAGGCTAGTCCCCATTTTGCATAGAAAGGAACTAAGGCAGAAAGAGGTCACATCACCTCCCCAGGACCCCCACATTCCCTGAGTTAACGGCAAGAGACTGAGCCCCCAAATCCACAACACAGGCCACTGAGCACATTGTCCTCTCACAGCCAGGAACCAAAAAACTGTGCCCCTCAGGCCACCCTGGGACAGCGCACCTCAGCTGGAGTCCCAGGCAGCAGTCCTAGAAACCTGTGGAGTAAATGAGAATAATTCTGAGAGTCATGAATGAGAGAGGCAACTGGCATCCTGTGCTCCTTGGGACACCCAGAAACTTTGCAAAGCAAGAGCCTGCTTGATGGCGCCCCATGGCCCCTCTCAACACACAGCCCTTTGCCTCCAAGAGAGATCACTCGTGGGTTGTGTAAACTAATGCATACTCCTGCACCATGGGGTCATGCTGCCATTCACCGAGTGGGACAGTGTGGCAGAGTGTGGCAGGAGCTGGTGGCTATGGGAGGACGTGGCACCATGAGCTCCCAACAGACACTGGTTATTAGTGCTGGCTCCTCGTCAGGTGGCAAGCACTGAGTAACACTTTGGGGCCAGCCCAGTGGCCCAGGGCACTGTGAGTGTGTAAGTGGGACCTATAGCCTCTTATGACCTCAACTTCAACTCTTCACTATCCCCTACCCACTGATCACACACACACATATACACACACACACACACACACACACACACACACACACACACACACACACTACTTACTCCTTAATTGTCTCTGAAGGTTTCCAAACATAAAAGTTAGAGAGTGGGTTACTGGGGTTGTGGGGGTGTGGGGGATGGGAAGTTGGCGTCTGTGCCATGCAGCCGCTTGACTCATAATAGTACATGGCCCATTACCTCTCCTTAGCTGGTAGGGAAGTTGCGTGCCAGGCCCATCTCAGCCTCTTGTGCCCATCCATTTCTGTCTTAATGATCTCTAGCTCATGTCAGTAAGTGTCTGTAGAGGGACTTGGAGGGGAGAGAAGAGTGAGTGGGCGAGGGAGGGGCTGGAAGGAATGGGATAAAGTGGGTTGGAAAGTGATGCACTGTGGATTGTGGGCATTTGGAGCCCTGGGGAGGCAGAATGGAGGGAGGGGACTGCAGACACACAGCTTCAGAGGAGTAGAAGCCAGGTTCTCAGCTGATGTCTGCTTCAGGCCAAAGGCCCACCTCCACCACCTACCAACATTGCCAGATTTATCCAACCTTGAACCAGCAAGCAGGACCCCTCCCACTGAGCTCTATGAACTGGGAAAAGAACCTGCCTTTTCTCTTTGGTGAGACTCTAACCAGTAAGAGAAAGATGAACTCCAGCAGGAGAGACTAAGGTTTGCTGGATAGCAGGACTTCTTGGCAGTGACGTGCATCCTGTCCATATGAGGATGCCTTCACACTAGGCTCCCTCCTCCAAAGGACAGCCTGAGCAGAGACCAGGTGTTGTAGGCAATTAACCAAGTGTATGTTGACAGCCTGAGTAAGGGGGTTAAACAGGAAGACAGTCAGAGCCAAAGGGCCCTGCTAATCAGCACACTGGGCAGACAGGTTTTGAGCCTGCTGGGAAGGACCAGCCTCGGGGCAAGGTCATCAGTCAGCCATGTGTATGATGAACAAAGGTGCTGCTTCTCATGGAAGTCCAGTGGGGAGAGATGGGGAGAGAGACATGGAGACAGTGTTACTTAGGGACAGCACCTCTTTGGAGTACTGGCTGCTCAACTGGAAAGAGGGACTATAGAGTGGTCCCCCTCCTAGCCCCTCATCTCTCTGCCCCTGCTTTACCCCAGCCCCTCCCAGAAATGGAATACAATGGCAACCCTGAGTCGGTGGGCTACAAGATCAAGTACAGCCGGTCCGACGGCCACGGCAAGACCCTGAGCCACATGGTACAAGACCGTGTGGAGCGGGAATACACCATTGAGGACCTGGAGGAGTGGACAGAGTACCGCGTCCAGGTCCAGGCCTTCAACGCCATCGGGAGCGGGCCCTGGAGCCAGGCAGTGGTGGGCAGAACCAGGGAGTCAGGTACCACTGCTCTTCAGGGACCACCCAAGAGCAGGCCACGCTGTAGCCATTTCTACAGATAGCTCAAGCCGCTCTCCCGTGTTCCACCCATGGCAGAGCACCCTGCCACACCCCCAGCCCCCCAGTATTGCCCTTCCCTGGGACAGCCCCCCACTCTTGGGGAGTCCGTGGGATAATGAAGCAGGTACCAGCTGTCCAAACATCCCACCCCACCCCACTGCCCTGACACTCCACTTCAACCCCAACACCCAACAGAAGGGTCTGATCTTAGAACATTCCAGAAATCTGTTTCTCCTAGGAGCCTAGAAAGGGGTCATCATTCCTAGAATATGAGTCCTGATCCACAGGCAGCCCTCATTTATCCAATTTGTGGTTCACTGTCCTGAGGGGTTGTGTGCGTGTGCGTGTGTGTGTGTGCATGTGTGTGTGTGTGTGCATGTGTGTGTGTTCCTTGACACTTTTTAACTGGCAGGTGTATCTTCTGGCTTCCTTGATCCCCCAGTTCTGCCCTCCTTCACCTTGCTGGCTAGAAATACAAGGTCATTCAAAGTTAGTCTGGAAGCAGGATAGACTGAATTCCTGAGTTCAAGGCCAGCCAAGCTACTTAGTGATACCCTGTCTCAAAAACAGGTGAAGGTAGACAGCAAGGTGGCTCAGCCGGTAGAGTCATTTGTCATACAAGCCTGATGGCCTGAGTTCGATCAATTAACTTAAAAAGTTAATTTAATCAATTAACTCTACAGTGTTGTCCTCCAGATACACACACTAGGGCATGCACACAACGCTACACACCCACCACAGGCTAATAATAATAATAATAATAATAATAATAATAATAATAATAATAATTTTTAAAAGTTAATGAGCAGGAAAAAAATGAGGGAGGCCAGACTGAGGATGTAATTCATTTGGTAGAGTGCTTGCCTAGCATGCTCTAGATTGCATCTCCAGCATAAACTAGACATGGTAATTGAAACCAGTAATCCCAGCACTTGGGAGTTAGAGGCAGGAGGATTGGACATTCAAGATCATTCCTGACAACGTAGTGAATTCAAAGCCAGTACATGAGACCTTGTTTCATACCTTACATCCCCAGAAACGAAAGAGGGAGGAAAAGCTGACCCCAGAAATCGTATCTGCAACACCCCCAAACCATCATAGGATCATTTGTGGTCTGCATGGGCCGTCTTTTCTCCCACGGAGCTGGTGACATGGAGCTGGCTCCTTGGTTGGCCCCGCATCTTGCTCCACTTACCGCCACTGTAGAACTATTCTTGGGTCCTTATTCCTCTTCTTCACCCCTCACTCCCACAGTCCCGTCCTCGGGTCCCACCAATGTGTCAGCACTGGCCACCACCTCTAGCAGCATGCTGGTTCGCTGGAGCGAGATCCCAGAAGCAGATCGCAATGGCCTTGTGCTGGGCTACAAGGTAGGTCTCGGGATCAACATGAGTGTGTCGAGTGTGTCGCACCGTCTTCCCCAGGCCCCTCATCCAAGGTGACCTGTCCTTCTCTTCTTTCCTATGGGTCTCTGCCTCACAGAGGAAGCACAGGGTATCTGCCTAGCTTCCCATCCGGTAGTCACCATAGCAAACCAGGAAGTCCTCCCTTAGGGGTAGGGAGACATCCCGTAAGTGACAAGGTCCTTCAGAATGCTCCCTCTTCCAGGAGGCTGAGCTAGGAGCCCCAGATCTTATCCTCAGCTCTAAGGGAGCCAGTCCAGTTTCTATGATCTTCTAAAATTCCTTTCCAAACTGTTCTGGGTCATGTGACCATGTGGCCATATGGCCTAGCCCTGTCCCTGAAAGATGAGAATTGTGGGATAATGTCACATGTCTGTTACTACTCCCTTGTGGGCCTACTAGCTGTGCTAAGGCCCTGGTCTTTGTTGGCAATGGCAGGTGAGGTACAAGGAGAAGGACTCGGACTCCCAGCCCCGGTTCTGGCTGGTAGAAGGCAACTCGTCTCGCAGTGCCCAGCTCACCGGCCTGGGCAAGTATGTGCTGTACGAGGTCCAGGTTCTGGCCTTCACACGCATTGGTGACGGCAGCCCCAGCCACCCTCCCATCCTGGAGCGGACGCTAGATGACGGTAAGTCTACATACATCCCAGTGAGCCCAGAGGGCCCATCCCTCATACCCTGTCCCACGAGGATCCCCAGTCTCAGGCTCCTCCTATGGAAAACGGGGTCATCCGAGGCTACCAACGCACTGCAAGAGGATGATACTCGTAGCCAGTAAGGGAAAATGGGGGGAAAGGACCAGGCGAGGACCATTGACTGTCTCATGGCCCCTTGGTAGCACAAGTAAATAGTACAAAGATTTGGTGTTGGTTTTTATTTTGTTTTCGCCTGGGGCAGATCTTGCTTTGAGCCCAATCTGTGAGAGAGAAAGTCTTAATCCCTGGGCCTGAGCCACCTTCCTGTATGCAAGAGTGACACCAGCAGGACTCCGCATACTGCAAATCAGGCTGACAGGCCTCTACCCCTCCATCCTCCTACACACAGCAAAATGGCCTGCCCACCACAAACATTTGCAAGGCCCAGACAAGTGCGGAAGGAAGCCCCAGTACCGTATGTCTGTATATTCTCACTATAAATCAAGCTAATGAGCTGTTAAATTAAATATGTTCTATCCTCCTGCCTTGACAAATATACCCACATAATGACCTAGAAGGCCAAGTCGGAGTTTACACATCTCATCTCCTTGACATTCTGGACTGGAAGGGAGTGTCACAGGAAGAGTGTCCCCTCCCCCATCTTCCTCACTGTCCTCATCCACACTGTTCAGCTCCAGCCACCACCCCCAAATGAATTTCCCTCAGCCATCCCCAGGGCACATAGGAGATAGATCTGGGGAACAAGCCCACTCAGAGTCCGGGGGTACCCTTGGGCCCCCCTGGGCTTTTAAACGCCAGGATTCCAGAGCCCAGTGTGGAGAGAGGATTCCTGCAGGCTCATGGTAAGTGCTTTCCAATCCAAAGCACAGACCAGGCTGGGGTCTGCAATGCCCTGGGTGAATGGATGAAGCCCTGACGGAGGCCTGGGGATCATTCCAGCACAGATTTAAAAACCAGTACAACTTGGAAAACCAAGAACTCCATGCCCATTCCAAGAGCCCATGCATGGACACATGGAGCCCAAGGAAATTGGAGTCTTGGGCCCCTCACCAAATAACTAAAGCCTGTTTGAGGGGTACACATACCTCATCTCACCTTCTAGGTTCTGTAAAATGACCCTGATTTTGAGGATAGATACTGTTTTGTGATCATTTGCTCAGAGGTATACTATACATGAACTCAGTAAGCCAAGAGGCCAAGAGATTCCCCCTCCCTCACTAAGCTAATGAATTAACCCCACCCCCCCTCACCCCCGCCTCACCAGGGCTCAGCTGGGCCTGGACTGGGTTTGGGATGGAATAGCAGCCTCACCTTCTCTCGTCTGTCTCCTCCAGTCCCAGGCCCACCCATGGGCATCCTGTTTCCAGAGGTGAGAACCACGTCTGTGCGGCTCATCTGGCAGCCCCCCGCAGCCCCCAATGGTATCATCCTGGGTAAGGCTGTACCCTTTCCTGTGCCCTTCCTAGGAAGGAAAGAGGAAGTGGCATGATGGGTAAAGGAAGCAGAGATGGGACAGGCCTGAGAAGTGTCCTCAGCCCCTGAGGACTAGGATCATAAGTTCACACCTGTAACCCCAGCACTTGAGAGGCAGAGGTGAGAGGGTGGGGAGTTCAAGGCTGTCCTCTGAGGCCAGCAGACTTGAGGCCAGTCTGGGCTGCATGACACCTAATTTACTAGTTACAGAACACCATGAGCAAAAGCAGAGTTTATTTGGGCTTACAGTTCCAGAGGGGTAAGTGTCCATCAGGGAGGGGAGGGAGGCAGGGCGGCAAATGGCAGGCTTAGTGACAGAAGAGGAAGCTGAGAGATCACATCTTTAACAGGAAGCACAAAGCAGAGAGACAGAGAACCGGAGTAGAGTGAGACTCTATCATCTCCAAGTCCACCCCTAGTGATGTACCTCCTCCAGCAAGGCCATACTTCCTAAACATCCCCAAACAGTGCCACCACCTGAGGAGCAAGTGTTCAAATACCCGAGCTTGTGAGAGACCTTTCTCACTTAAACCACTAAACCACCTCAAAAATAAATAAATAAATAAAAATGAATAAAAAAAATCTGAAGAGCCAAGAGTGATGATGCGCATTGTGTAATCCCAGCTCACAAGAGGGAAAGGCAAAGGGTGTGCTGCAAATTTGAGGCCAGATTGGTCAATATAGCAAGTTATAGCTCATCAAGATGTACAGATCAGGACCCTCTCTCAAAGTGATGCTGGTGGTGCTGGTTCAGGTGCTGGTGATGAGGGTGATGTTGGGGTGGTAATGGTGATGATAGTGGTGGCAGTCATGGTGATGATAATGGTGATGATGATGGTGGTGGTGATAATATCTTGGCCTTCATCCTCACTTCTTTTCCTGTTGTTGTGATAAAATACCCTAGCAAAAGCAACTTAAGGGAGAGAGGACTCACTTGACTCACAATTCCAGGTTAGAGCCTGCCATTGCCAGGGAAGTGACAGCCTCAGGAGCTCAAGGAGCTAGTCACATCACAGTCACAGTCAAGAGCAGAGCAATGAACCAGTGCATGCTCGCACACAGCTGACTCTCCTCCACCCACAGAGTGTCTACAATCAAGATAGGTCTTCCCAAATCAGTTAATGTAATCAAGACAGCCCCTCACAGGAATTCCCGGAAACCTGCCTCCTAGGTGAAGAGTTGTCAAGTAATACTGGCCATCGGTCTTGTTTCTTCTGATAGAACTCTGAGCCCCATCACAATATCTGCAGGAGAGCAAGGTCAAGGTTTAGCTCTCTTAAGAACTATGCATTGTCTTTATCCTTCCCAGTGCCTCCAGCTGGTCCCTCACCAGCTTTCCATCTAGTAAACTTTGGCCAAGCAAGATTCCCTCAACATTCACACATACATGTATACACACACACACACACACACACACACACACACACAAAGGCTTGAGAAGTTCTAGGCCAACCTATACAGCCTAGCAAGGAGACCTTGTCTTAATAATAATAATAATAATAATAATAATAATAATAATAATAATAAATGATAACAATAATAGTTTTAAAAAGAATGAACTGGGCCTGGAGAGATGAGTCAGTGGTTAAAAGCACTGGTTGCTCTTGCAGAGGACCTAGGTTTGGCTCCCAGTGTTCACAACATCTCTAACTCCAGTTCCAGGGGATCTGATGCCTTCTTCTGACCTCCTTGGGTACCAGGCACACGCATGGTACACATATGTGTATATAGGCAAAACATTCATACAAATAAAATAATTTTTTAATTTTTAATTAAATAAACTCCTGAATATACACACCAAAGGTGCCTTGGCCTACCTGTACCTCTCTCTTGGGCTTGGGCGGCACTAGTCCTGGAGGAATGCACACTACCTGAGAAGATAACATGATGGAGGATGTCAAGTCCTTTAGACTAGAAAGCCTTGGGCTGGTGGTTTGGAGCCCCCACTAGCTAACAGGTGACTTGGCCTCTCTCCTCCTCGAGTGGACTAATCAAGGGGTCTAACACACAATGCACTGAACTCCTTATGCCCACCAAAGTCCACCTCCCTCAACCACAGCGGAAGGTGTAAAGGTGACCGGAAGAGTATCACACAGGCAAATGAGGGCCAGGGAGGCCTGATTGCACATGCTGCTGAGCTACGTAGGGATGGACCAGTCCTCTTACAGGGCGCTGGGGCTGCTTGCTCTGCTGTCCATCATGGCCCTTTGCCTTTCTTCCCCACAGCCTACCAGATCACACACCGGCTCAACGCCACGACAGCCAACACCGCCACAGTGGAGGTCCTGGCACCCAGTGCCCGCCAGTACATGGCCACAGGCCTCAAGCCAGAGTCTGTCTACCTGTTCCGGATCACAGCCCAGACCCGAAAAGGCTGGGGAGAGGCTGCTGAAGCCTTGGTGGTGACCACAGAGAAGAGAGGTAACTGCCCATGGGGCTGGGCCAGGGGGGACTGGGGAGCTGAGAAGAGGGGCTCTGTAGCCCACCCAGGGGCTTAGCATCCTTCCTAGAGGGTGACTGGGATAAGCAGTGAGGAGCCATGTTGCTTTAGTCTACAATAGAGAACAGGCTCCAATATTGGAGTCACGGTCAGTGAAAGATCATGCCATCTTACAAAGCTGAACTGGGATTTCCCAGGATCCTACTCTACTCTGGGTTTCTAAAAGACATGGAAAGAGTGCTTGCCTAGCATGCATGAAGCCCTGGGTTCAAGTCCCAGCACTGCATATACCAGATGTGGTGATGCATGCCTGTAATCCTAGCACTTGAGAGACCCAAGCAGGAAAATCGGGAGTTCAAGGTCATTCTCAACTACATAGCAAGTTTGAGGCCCACCTAGGATACATGGGACACTGTCAAAAATAAATAAATAAAAATGAATAATACTAAAGAGGTGGTTGATGACCACCCCCCACCCCCACCCAATCTCCTTCTAGCCTTGTCCCACTGGGCTAGAGCCTGGAGTCTAGGCTGCCACTACCTTACTGCCCACTACCTTACTGCCCTGAGCAGGCCCCTTGACTGAGAGTGAATTCCCTAGATATAAGCCTGAGTCCCCAAATGGTTAAAAGTGATCTGTTAGAAAATGTTCCCAAGGGGGGGAAAAAAAACAGTAAGACAGTGGATTTCCTCCAAGGACTTCTTTGCACTTAGGGTATGTGGGGTAACATCTGTATACCTCTGGGTTACCCTACTTGGAGGAAGATGCTCCTGGCATTAAGCAGGTTGAGGGGAGGGGCTCCACAAAGTGTCCTGCAGTCACAAAGCAGCCCCACCACCAGGAAGTGTCAAGGCCAAGGCCAAGAACACTGAGGCTTGGAAGCCTGCCATCTGGGGTAGGAAAATAGCTAATGAAAGAGGGAAGTGGAGCAGGGGGATGATGGGAATGAATTCCCACAGGGAAGCATGGCTCACTCCCACTCAGTCAGGCACAATGCAGGTCCCATCTCTGTCACTAGCAGAAGCAAATGTGTCAACTCCTCCGTCAGGGGCTGTCATGAGCGGCATGACTTTCCAGGCACCCAGGGCTCTGGAAACTGAGGGCAGGTCTCACCTGAGGACTCATGTGTTGACTGCTGGCAGAAACCATGCAAGGCTCACGAACGTGGAAGTGAGAGAGAGAAGAGGTGTCTGTCTCAAGTTCAGGACACCTTCTCCCTGCCCTTGAGAAAAGGCACTACCACCCTGCTCAGGCTACACTGTCTCACCTGTTCCCTGCCCTGCCTCCCAGACCGCCCGCAGCCCCCTAGCAAGCCTGTGGTACAGCAGGAAGATGTGAAGGCTCGCAGCGTGTTGCTGTCCTGGGAGCCAGGCAGCGATGGGCTCTCCCCAGTACGCTACTACACCATCCAGACGCGTGAACTGCCCAGCGGCAGGTGGGCGCTGCACTCGGCCTCTGTGAGCCACAATGCCTCTGCCTTCACTGTGGACAGGTAAGGTGGGGTCCTCACCCACTCCTCTGCCCACTTCTCTACTGGAGACAGTACCTCGAGTGATCGAGCCTTGCAGGATGGAGGGGGCGGTTTCTGAGAGCATCTTCAGCTGGTCACCCAAGCCTTCCTTCACTCACCCCAGCAGGCACACTCACCCCTTCCAGCTCTCTCCTCCTCCCTGGGAAGCCCATTAAGGGTACCTCTTAATTATCTGTGGAGCCTGCCAGGCCCCCTTAGCGAAGCGCTGCCATCCTTCATTAGCGATTCTCCCGACAGCCCGTGTCCTCCTCCTATCTCTAATAGGGGTACGAAGCTCCTCTCCAAAACTCTGGCCTCAATCTAATCCCCAGTGGTTATATTTTTTGTATTCCAGTCAACGTGACCTGGAACTTGAGCAAGCCTTTCCTCCCCGCTCCCCAAGCCCTGTAAATCAAGAAGAAAGATGTTTATTAGGAAGAAAATGAGGCTCATAGAGACAACTCGCTTTCTCTCTGGGGAATTCCACCCCCACCCCACCCCCCAAAAAATTCCTATCTTTAGGAAAGGAAGTACAGCTTGCAGGGGACCATGCATGCGATTGTGGGGAGAGGGAGGTGTGAATGTTTTTGGTTTTGGTTTTGTTTTCGAGACAAGGTTTCTCTATGTGTAGCCTTGGCTGTCCTGGAACTCACTCTGTAGATCAGGCTGGCCTCGAACTCACAGATATCCCCCTGCCTCTGCCTCCCGAATGCTGGGATTAAAGGCGTGGGCTGGTGGCTTTATTCAAACTGCCCAGCGTGAATGTTTTCATGGCCACCAAAGCCTGGGTAAACATGAGCCTGGAGATGTGTGGCTTATCATTACAATGAGAGACAGCCTAAGCAGGGACGGTGCTGGGCACTCAGCATTTCAGTGGGCCTGTCCCAGTGTGTCTCCTTCCCTGGCCTTCATGTTTCCATCTGCGTGGTGTGTCAGCACCCATGGCCCCCTTTCTCCCCTGACGCCCCTCTTCCAGCAGGGATAGATGGGACCCCACCGTGGAAGTGTGTGGGGACCGGTCTTGAGGGACACTGTGTCAGACTTGTCGTCACTGTGACGGACTCCTGGAGGAAGCAACTTGAGGGGGAAGGCTTGTTTGGGGACACAGCCTTAGAGGTTTCAGCCTGAAGCCAGCTGGGTCTGTCACTTTGGGCACAGTGAAAGGAGCATGTGACAGAAGCCCATGGTGACCAGGACACAGGACATAAGATATACCCTCTGAGGCTCTGTCCCCAGTGATGCACTTCCTCTACCAAGGCCCCACTTCCTGGAAGTTTCCACTTCTCAAAAGACAACCATACCAGTGGGAAACAAATCTTTAACACGGGGCGGGGGGGGGGGGGTCGTTCATGCTCAAATCTTAGTTGACACCTTGGTTATTGGCCCCCAATTCCCTCCACAGACTCAAGCCCTTCACATCCTACAAGTTCCGAGTGAAAGCGACCAATGACATCGGGGACAGCGAGTTCAGTGAGGAGTCAGAGTCGCTGACCACCCTGCAGGCCGGTCAGTGCCACCTCCCTGCTTGGGCCTCTGGCTCTTGACCCTGGTTGCTTCCTGGACAGGAAGTGTCCTTCCGTGGGAGGGGCCTCTGAGGGTGAGAGAGGGCTCACTAGCCCTGCTCTGCCTGTCTGCCTCCAGGCCAGAATGCCTAGAGGTTTGGAACAAAAGGGATTTTGCCTAGGGCTCAGGGTCCCAAACTTAGCCTGAAATTGAGTGCAATTCTCTGATGTTCCCCCAACTAGCAGGAAGTGGGAGTGGATGCCCACCTCCACCCTGCATCTAACAGCAACCTAAGGTCTATGGCTTTGAGGGGTTCCAAGACTCTGGGTTAGGCTAAGGTCAGGCCCCCAGTTCACCCTGGCTGTTTGCTCTGAGGAAAGTGGTAGGTGTCCGGGGAACTTACGCAGGACCTACCTAGCCATCAGTGTCTGCAGAATCGGGTCCCTGTGTGTTCCTGGGTGGGACTGACTTTCCCAACCCCCAGAGTCTACTGTTCTGCCTCTCTCCACAGCCCCAGATGAGGCACCCACCATCCTGTCGGTGACACCCCACACCACCACCTCTGTGCTAATCCGATGGCAGGTACGGCTACGTGGACAGGGCGGGTTCATTTCCAAGGACTCGAATAAGCTCTCGACTGAGACCAAAAACTCCACCAGTCCCCACCAGAGCTGCCTTTGCCTCTGTTGTATACCCCCCAGAGCACAGAGGAAGACATGAGAGATCTAGGCATGTGCACATCACAGAGCACTAGATACACGTGTGTCCACACATGCACACACCCCACCTCTGGATACACATACCAAGCAGATGAACACAGACTGGGGGGGGGGGGGGGGGGGGGCTTTGTGTGGCCCAAGATCACACAGCTCAAGTGACAGGGTTAGTTTCATGACCCCAGGTCTGCTGAACCTGTGTACGGAAAAGCACCTGGAGGCTATGAGGACCTCCCCGCCTCCCCGGCAAGGCTCCACAAAGCCCAGACACAGAGGTCAGTGACAGGCTTCCAGACAGAGACCTGTGACCTCATCATGAGTGGTGTCCCCTTGTCTAGGCAGTCTCTCTCAGCTGCCTGCTCCTTGGTTTGCACTATTGGTTCTACCAGGTCCAGAGGCAACCTCAGCGATCAGGCTGCCCATGCATTCTCTGAAGTCTAGCCTTGGGCTCAGTAGGTCACCCACAGAAGACCCTCCCCCCCAAAAAAAGGCTAGCTCCTGTCCCTACTTCTTGGGATCTGAGGAACTGGCCCCAGCAGCAATCCTTGTACAACTGAAGCCTGGGATTCTAGAGGGGACACCCCCTAAGTGGACCTGGCAGCCATACATGAGCCACAGGAGGCTGGAGCAGATGGGATACCCTGACAAAAGGGCCAGGTGATGCCCATGGCAGCCAGGGAAGCAATTAAGAAGCTAATAAAAAGCCTGAACCATTTCAACAGATTTCTTAAAGGAGGTATCATAAAGAAAATAGTTTCCACTTGGCAGAAAGCCTGTTCTCCAGCTCAGCCGAGGACGGGAGCAGAAAGCAAAAGAGGAAAGAAGGGCCGTGCACACGGGAGTGCTCATCCTTGCACAGGCTGTAGTGTAGGCAGAGGGCTCAGTTCCTGGGAAACACCAGGAAGTGCTGGCTGGGTGCTCGTCAGAGCAACAGCCCCAGGGAGGCCAGAAGTGAGTCACAGAGTTCCCGGACAAGCAATGGCTGGTGACTGCCGAGGTGTGTCTTCCGGTCTTCTCGCCGCTGTGTGACCATGGCCCGTACCTTCATGTCTCTGAGTGTGTTTCCTGCTCTGCTAAAGGGGGCTTGCATGGTGATTCCTGCCCTTCCCCACCTCAAAGGGAATGTAACAACCTCTCTGAAAATGCCCCCAAGCCATCCCAGTTTCTTTTTCTGGTTGAGATAGTCCTTGCTCTGTGGTTGCAGGAGATGTGGTGGGCAGAGAAGGTGGAGTGGGATAAACAGTCAAGGGCCCTCCCCATGTTTGACCCTCATCCCCGTAGCCTCCAGCTGAGGACAAGATCAATGGCATCCTCTTGGGCTTTCGGATCCGGTACCGGGAGCTGCTCTATGAAGGGCTGAGGGGCTTCACTCTTCGAGGCATCAACAACCCTGGGGCCAAGTGGGCTGAGCTCACCTGTAAGTAGTCACCATAGGGTCTTAGGGAGGGGAGGGGTAGGCATGCTCACCTCCCTGCTCTGAAGCTCCCAGTTTCCTTGAGTCTGCTAACCTGCAACCCTGCCTCCCTCTCCTTTGTGTTCATCCCCTTACCCCATTCACTCACTTGCTAAGCATTTATTGAGCACCTTCTGCATATTCCAAGGCACTATGGGCACACACCAGTGGTTAAGCAGACAAGGGTCCCTGACCTCTCAGATCAGTCTGATGGAAGAAGAATCAGGCATTCAGTACTTAAACCCTGAAACAGATGTCAAGGGCCATGGGCATGACAGTATGGGAGAGTGTTCCAAAAGAATTCCAAAGGACTCTCTTGACATGGAAGGATGATCCCAGGTTAGGCAGGCAACTGTGTGGAGGGAGGAGCCACCAGCTTAGAAAGACCATCAGCCTGGAGATCTAGACCCCCACCAAGGACAATAGTCAAGACCCCCACCTATTCCTCCGAAAGTCAACACCCAGCCCTAGGGCCAAAGAAGCCAGCCTTCAAGTATAGGAGAAGGAGAGAAAAGAGAGGACGTTGGGAAAGTCATGAGCAAGAGAAGGGTGTGCGTGAATGTTGGGTTTGGAGGACACACAGGGGGCATGGAGGCGATGGCCTGACTGTAGGAGGTATGGGGGGAACAGAGTCAAGGAGGCTGTTGTGTTAACAGAGTGAAAGAGCACGAGGCTGAGCCAGGGAGGCAGGCTAGGTGTGCCATGGACATGGGTTCCACAGGGCTCCACGTCTGTTCGAGGAGAGGAGAGGCAGGCAAGCAGGAAAGAGGAGATCGTATAGAGGATGAGGAGCGGGGCCCACACTGTTCACCACAAGGGAAGTCAGGCAGCCTAGGTCCCTGTGGGCTCTGGCACTACGTCCCATATCTCCTCAACTTATGGAGCCGTAGCTTCCAGGGATGTTTACAGACAACAAAATGATTGAACATGGAGTGAGAAGATATTAAAAGAAATCCATAGAAATACCCAATCCAACAGCTCCTGTTCTTTCCTTATCTTTATTTATTTATTTTGGCCAATGTCTGCCTATGGCTGTGATTTTATATGGCCTGCGTCTAATTCACTCATATTTCTTGACAATAAAATTGTTTCTGGTTCATATGAGAAAATTGACGATGCCAGTATTTCACCACAGTTTGCCGAGAGCTCCAAAGTGAAACCTGGGAGCCAGTGGGATGAGAGGGTCCCCCAGAACTGTCCCCAGGGTTGGGAGGCTCTAGGGACTTCCCCCATGGTCAGTGTAGATCAAGACAGGAACGACAATGTTTTAGGATCACCCTCTCCCCAATTCCCATCTTGGACCCCTGACTCAGCACCAGGAAATGGAAGCAGTCCCCCTGCCTGCTCCGTTGCCAACCTTGTCATCCCATCCCAGGCCTGGTTGGTTCCCAGTGGGTGGGATGCCTGTGTACACTAACCTCTGTCTGCTGTCTCCCTGGCCTCTCACCTCCTGCCCCCCAGCCTTGTACTCCATGCGGAACCTGACCCGGCCCAGCCTCACGCAGTACGAGCTGGACAGTAAGTCCCCTTGCATGGTGGTTCATCGTGGCCCAGGCCTCCTGGGATGGGCTGGGGAGGGGGCCCTCATGAACACCTAGACCCAGGCCAACTAGGTCCCCGCTGTCCTGGGTTGCTTTCTGTTGCTGTGATAAAGACGGTGACAAAAAGCAACTTGAGGCAGAAAGGGTTTGTTTGACTTACCCAATCATAGTCCATCACCAAGGGAAGCCACGCAGGAACTCAAGGCAGGAACTGAAGCAGAAGCCATGGAGGAATGTTCCTGGCTTGCTCTCCATGGCTTGCTCAGCCTGCTTTCTTATACCACCCAGGACCACCTGCCCAGGGGTGGCACCACCCACAGTGAGCTGGTCCCTCCCAAATTAACCATTGATCAGGAAATGGCCCCACAGAGTTATCTACAGGCCAATCTGATGGAGGCATTTTCTGAAATGAGGTTCCCTCTTCCCAGATGATTCTATCTGTGTCTAGCCAGCATGCCCACTTGAATTCAGTGTGCTTGAACACTAGGACCACCTATAACACATATGTGTAAGCATGGAAAGCAGGCCGTGTTCTGGAAGAGACTCCTCCGAGCCTACCCTATACGTGCTGAGTAGTAAAGTATAGACTTGAGTGGAGGAGGGGGCAGCAGGTCAACACTAGGAGATAAAGCGCACTACAGGGCAGGTAGGCGGGCGTCCATTGCTGTTACCTGACTTGACCCGGGTAAGACATGTTGGCCCTCGCTGTCTCTCTAGCCCTGTCTGAAGCTCCTGTACGTGTGTGAGTCATCTCTGCCTCTTCTCTGTTTCCAAAGCCTCAGCAGGTTCTACACACACACACACACACACACACACACACACACACACACACACATGGGCTTCTGATCAGGAAAAACCAACCTCAGAGTCTAGACTGCCCTTCTCTCCTCAGCATGAGCCTACTCCATGACAGAACTGCCACCCTGGGGGACAAGAGTGGGAGGGAGACAGGGACAGCAGAGGACAGAGGATGGGAGGACATACTGGCCACCAGGAAAAGGGATCACGTCTCCCATCCAGGATGACAGAGCCCAGATTCTTGCAGCAGAATTCTTGGGTTCACCAGGCACCCGCCTCCCCACTCTCCACCCCACCCCCAAGCACTTCAAACTTGACTAACTCTTGGAATTTCTTGACCCAGAATTCACAGTCCATAAGCACTTCCCTCTAGGACTGAGCCAGTGGGGGTGGGGGCAGTCGAGTACAACTCAGTGGTAAAGCTTGTGCTCAGCCTTGGAGAGACCCTGGATTCACTCCCTGGCCCCAAACGAGTAGGGGGGAAAAAAGGAGCTAGTGAATGGGAATAGATGTGGACACAGCAGGGACATGGATGAAATGGTTTACATCTGCCATCGTGGGAAGGTCCAGGGAGGCCAGCACTGTTAATAAGGCCTTCCTCAGTCTCAACACGATTCACTTGGAGATTCAATTGTCTTTATGACCCTAGAGCTTTATGTCACGAATTCTGTTGGCAGGGTACAGCCCAAGCATCTAAGGTACATTGACTCTTACCCACTTCCTCCCTCCATGTCACATGGGGCACTAGATGGCAGATATTCCTCCTCCCTTCCCTGTAGCTCCAGCCTCCGTGGAGAACTCCTTCCATGGGCTCTGTGACCTCTGTGTCCCTGACCCCCAACTCTTGCCCGTAGATCTGAGCAAGCACAAGCGTTATGAGATCCGGATGAGTGTGTACAATGCCGTGGGTGAGGGACCCTTGAGCCCACCACAAGAGGTCTTTGTTGGGGAGGCAGGTGAGTATGCCCTCATGAGTCCCAGGTACTCATCCAGGGTCCCTCCCCTCCCCTCCCCCACCACCGGCCCACCCTAAGCCACCTCTTCTTCCTAGCCTACACCCTTAAATACTCACTCACCAACCTTCATGCCCTCCAGTGCCCACGGCAGCACCACAGAACGTAGCCATCCACAGTGCCACAGCCACACAGCTAGATGTGACCTGGGAGCCACCCCCACTGGACAGCCAGAATGGAGACATCCAAGGATACAAGGTATGGGTGATCTGGCAGAGGAATGGGGTGCAGAGGGCCAAAGGGGTGGGGAGGGCTGGGTGAGCAGGAGGAAGTCCCAAGCCCTTCCTGCTCACAGCCAGGTGTTCGCCCTCAGGCTCCACTGCACACCTGTGGCCTTGCACAGCTGACAGAAATACTGTAGAGTTGTAGAATATTTACGTTCTGAGGCAGGCTGAGCTTGATCCAAAGAACTCAGACCACACCTCGGCTTATTCTGCTCTAAGGCACACAATGCCCAACTCCACCACCTCCAGCCCCACAGTCACTTCAGATTTCTGAGGAGCAGGGGCTGGGGATGTAGCTTAGTTAGTAGAGTGCTTGCTTCGAATGCACAAAGCCCCACCTTCAATCCATAGCCCTGCGTAAACCGGATGTGGTGGTTTATGCAACCCCAGCCCTCAGGAGGTAGACAGAGAAGGATTGGAGTTCAAGGTCAACCTGGACTTTATAGCAAGTTTGAGGCCAGCCTATGCTACATGAGACTCTGTCTCAAAAAAAAAAACAAAAAAACAAAAAAACAAAAAAACAAAACAACAAAAAAAAAACCTGTGGCTTCTTAGGCCCAGTTAGTGATTAGATGATCAATTTGCAAAGCACTGCTGGCAGTATTTGAAAATCTGCTCAAAGGTCATCTCTGATTCAGGATGCTGTGTTATGGTGGGGTTCATTTTGCAGCGCCCTCTAAACTCTTGCAGCTTGCTGAAGGCCTGGGAAGCTGCTACATTGTGGCCATTAATGTCCATTTTATATGGACGAGGAAACTGTAGCCCAGCTTGATGTAGTCTGGAGAGGTCACAAACTAGCAGGTGTCAGAATCCAGATGCCCATCTCAACCTTGCCAGGAAGCAGAAAATACAACCTGGTCCCGTGAGGAGGCAGTGTGGGGAGGATGCAGCCGGGGTCCAGGAGGAGGCAGAATTTAGAAGAATGAAGAGCTAACCGACCTCCCTTGTTGGCGCATGCAGTCCTTGGCTGTGATGGAAGCGTGCCTCCCTAGCCAGCATTTGGGGGAGACTGATTCCTGATATTTGGATGGTATTTCAGAAAATGGACCCCATGCAATGGCCCTGGGGACACTGGGTATGCAAACCACAGGACCCAGTGGTTTCCCTGGCCCAGCCTGTCAACCCATGAGTGACAACAAGTATGTGCCAAGGTGAAGCACTTTCTCTGTCACACAGTCTATGGAGACAGGCCACCCTGGTGTAAGGCAGAATCCAGTATAGGAAGCTTTTCCATCCAGGGTGGAGGAGGAGGAGAAAGAAGAGGGAGGGAGGCATCATGCCAAGGAAGCTCTGAAGATGGGTAATACCCCCTCAAGGCTTTGCCCAGGAATGCCAGCTGGGAAACCAAATATTGCACCCATAGCATATGGCTCTGGAGAGAAAAGAGGCGCCAGGTGGAGCCAGCCACAGTGTGGCAGTCACTAGACTGTTGAGGTTTAGAAGTTGTGAATTAGCATACAGATCCAGGAAATGTGTGGGTGCCCAGGTGCCATATAGAACACAGCGGATGTCTGCAGTTTCCAGAAAATACAGGCCATCCTGCAGGGATGGAATTGTTATGCCCTGGATGTAAGCTAATCAGTGCTGTGGCATCAGCACCCATCAGTTGGGCCTGATGTGTTCACATCAGCATCCAGGCTGTAGGTGGGGCTCAACTGGCAGAATGCTTACCTAGCATGTGTGAAATCCTGGACTCTATCCCCAGCACCATATATCCAGCTGTGAAAGTGCACACCTGTAACATCTGTATGTAACCCCTGTAACACCTGTGTGTAACACCTGTAACACCTGTAACCCCAGCACTCAGGAGGTAGAGGCAGAAACATCAGAAGTTCAATACCATCCGTTGCTACATAGCAAGTTCAAGGCCAGCCTAGGCTATATGAGTCCCTGGAGGAAGAAGAGGGGGAGGGGGTAGCACTGGTAGATTCTAACAGATGACTATGGCATGAGGGAAGAAGAGGAAACATGGACTGCTGTTCAAATCTTAAATGGTCTTTTAATAAAAAACCCAGAGCCGGGGCTGGAGAGATGGCTTAGCGGTTAAGAGCACTGGCTGTTCTTGCAGAGGTCCTGAGTTCAATTCCCAGCAACCACATGGTGGCTCACAACCATCTGTAATGAGATCTGGTGCCCTCTTCTGGCCTGCAAGCATGCATGTAGGCAGAACACTGTATACATAATAAATAAATAAATAAATAAATAAATAAATAAATAAATAAATAAATAAATAAATAAATAAATAAAAACCCAGAGCCATATATCAGGGTGAAAGCTGAAAGATCAGAGAAGCAGAACAGCCAGCCACTAGTTCTTACATCTACAAAATCCTCAGCCTAAAGAGAGTGAGTGAGTTCCTGTTTCCTCACGCCTTATATACCTTTCTCTGCCCTGTCATATTACTTCCTGGGATTAAAGGCATGTATGCTTCCTAAGCAACGGCATGAGATCTCAAGTGCTGAGATTAAAAGTGTGTGCCACCACTGCCTGACTTTTTCTCTCCTATACTGGATCAATCTCATATAGCCCACTGTGGCTTTGAACTCTGGATCTCTGCCTCCCGAGTAATAGGATTAAAGGTGTGTGCCACCACTGCCTGACCTCTATGTCTAATCTAGTGCCTGGCTCTGTCCTCTGATCCTCAGGCAAGTTTATTAGGGTACACAATATATCACCACAATGGACAGCTCCCATAGCCAGGGAGCATGAGGAAGATGGACCCTCAGTCACAGGGAAGGAAAAGGAGGAAGCTGGAGGGACCCGGAGTCTGGCTTCCTATGTGTCCATTTCAGAACATCTGCTAGCCACCAAAGGAGACTATGAAGCTGTAGCTACAAGGGGGGCTTAAGAGAAAGGCTCCACACCAGAAGTGTGCACTGGGGAGTGCTCAGCACATAGAAGGTGCTGGAGTGAAAGTGCCTGAACACATGCAAATGAGAAACCAAAGACCCAAACCTGAGCCCTGAGGGAAAAGCATGAGAGATGACTCAGAGCTCAAGGGAGAAAGTGCTTCTGTGGGGAGGAAATGCAGATTTTCAACTCGTATTGAACTGCTTCTGTGGGGAGGAAAGGTGGATTGTCAGCTCTATTGAAAGACAGCAAGTGAAGCCCAGGGAGCAGTTTTTTGGGGGGTGCTAAGAGAGAATTAGAGCCCAGCTGATTTGTGGATCTTTTTAAAAAATATATATATATTTTTTTGTACATGCAGTGTTCTATCTGCATATGTGCCTGCACACCAGAAGAGGGCATCAGATCCCATTATAGATGGTTGTGAGCCATCATGTGGTTGCTGGGAATTAAACTCAGAACCTCTAGAAGAGCAGTCAGTGCTCTTAACCTCTGAGCTACCTCTCCAGCCCTGGTTTGTGAATCTTGATTAGCTCTATCTAAGATGTCGGAGCGGGACTGGGGATGTAGCTAAATTGGACCCAAAGCCCTGGGTTCAGTCTGCAGATTCCATAAACCAGACGGGATGGTGCACACTGGAATGCTAGCACTAGGCGGCAAAGACAAGAGGATCAGAAGTTCTAGATCATCTTTGGCTACATAGTGAGTTTGAGGCCAGCCTGGGTTATGTGAGATAACATATCCGGGGGTGGGGGTGGGGAGCAGAGGAAGAGAGAGAGAGAAATGCTGGAACTAGGCCAGATAATTCAATTTAACAGGATTGGCCAACTATAGCCTATAGGCCAAATCTAGCCCACTGTCTTTGTATAAATAATGTTTTGTTGGGATATAGCCATGCCTGTATGTTTATAAGTTGCCATGGCTACTTTTGCACAAGAGGGCTCTGAACAGATCTGAATAGTTGCAACAGAGGCCAAGAGGTCTGCAAACCCTAAAGCCTTGATCAGCTAGTGTAGCTAGAGTTTTCCTGCCTGGCCCACAGTCAGGACAAATCTCTATCACCTGCCAGTCCCACAGTCGCTCAGACCCGACCAAGTAAACACAGAGACTTATACTGGTTACAAACTGTATGGCCGTGGCAGGCTTCTTGCTAACTGTTCTTACAGCTTAAATTAATCCATTTCCATTAATCTATACCTTGCCACATGGCTCGTGGCTTACCGGTATCTTCACATTCTGTTTCTCATCGTGGTGGCTGGCAGCGTCTCTCTGACTCAGCCTTCCACTTCCCAGCTTTATTCTCCTCCTTGTCCCGCCTACACTTCCTGCCTAGCCAATGGCCAATCAGTGTTTTATTTAATGACTAATCAGCAACACATTTGCCATACAGAACATCCCACAGCACTTCCCTTTTTTTTTTTTTTTCAAAAAGGAAGGTTTTAACCTTAACAAAGTAAAATTACATATAATTTGGGAATTTGGGCGTAGCTTCTCTTACTACTTCCTGCTGGAGGGGGACGCTGTATCTTATGGGGAAACAAAGAAAATTTTAGGATTATGGAATAGTCCATGAGGGTGTATCGTCTGAGCCAGTTGCCTTCAAACCATTCTGGATGTTGGATCATCTGGGCCATGGTGTCATCGGAGACCTTTCAGGGGGTCTTGGCTGGTCAAACCTGATGTATCTTACTCTGGAACAAATCCATAGCCTCTTGTTTTCTGTGGAAACAAAAGAGACTCTTTTCCAAAGCAACATATCCTTACATCCAAATTTTGAAGTCAAGGTACCTTTAAAGTATACATTTTGACATAACTCAACAGCTTTTACAATCAAATGTTTTTCTGCAGTTAAAAGTCCCAAAGACAACACAATCCAGATTCTCTGTGTAATACTCATCTTTACGTGGCTTATTTTTTATATTAATATTACTGTCTCTTTAAAGACTTTATTTTTAAAACTATGTATTTGTTTATATAACTTTATATATCACATTTTTTGTCTCTTTCAAGCCTATATATATTTTACACACACTTTAAACTATTACATCTGAATCTGTCTTATTGTGAATCTATTGCCTTAAACTGCAGCAGCTGTGGCTGCTGGCTCCGCCCACCTCAGCTTCCCAACATGGCTACGTTTACCACCAGCTCTGGGAGCTATGTGGGTCTATGCTTTTATCCAAACAGCGTGTAGTCCAGAAACCTCCCCTTTTGCTCTGCACCAGCAAAGGCTAAATCCACCACGCAGCTCAAAGTGCCACTTGCAAAGGCCCCACTCCCGCCATATGGCAGGTTGAGCTCGCATGCAAGGAACCCACCAGTAGCTCAAACCAGCAGCTGCCACTCATTTGAGAGAGACAATTAGGAACTGTTTTTAGCTCCGTTTTAGAATCCTTTTTCTCAGTTTTTAGGTGGAAACTCTTGCCACCACGTTGGACGCCATTTGTAGCTTAAGTTTTCCTGCCTGGCCCACAGTCAGGACAAATCTCTATCACCTGCCAGTCCCACAGCCCCTCAGACCCAACCAAGTAAACACAGAGACTTGTATTGGTTTCAAACTGTATGGCCATGGCAGGCTTCTTGCTAACTGTTCTTACAGCTTAAATTAATCCATTTCCATTAATCTATACCTTGCCACATGGCTCGTGGCTTACCGGTATCTTCACATTCTGTTTCTCATCGTGGTGGCTGGCAGCGTCTCTCTGACTCAGCCTTCCACTTCCCAGCTTTATTCTCCTCCTTGTCCTGCCTACACTTCCTGCCTAGCCAATGGCCAATCAGTGTTTTATTTAATGACTAATCAGCAACACATTTGCCATACAGAACATCCCACAGCAAGCTAGTCCTCTGCAGAAAAACAAAACAAAACAAAACATAGTCAGGGTGGCCTTAAAGAGAGCCAGCAGAGCCATGGGGACTCACGCCTTTAATCCCAGTGCTCAGGAGGCAGAGACAGGCAGATCTCTGTATGAGGCCAGCCTGCTCTACATAGTGAATTCTAGGCTATCCAGGGCTACATGATGAGCCTCAATTTTCAATTAATTAATTAAAAAGTGAACCACCATGCCTGTAATCCAAGTACAGATGGCAAGAGGGGCTGAGACAGGAAAATTTTAAGTTCAAAGCCAGCCAATGCTACATAGTCTCAAAAATGAATTGGTAGATGGATGGATGGATGGATGGATGGATAGACGGATGGAAAGATGGAAAGAGAGTCACTGGGCCAGGCATGGCAGTACATACCTATCATCAAGTACTGGAGTGGAAAATGGAGTTGAGGCAGGATAATTGTGAATTCAAGGCCAACTTGGGCTACCTATCAAGACTCTTACTCCAAAATAGCAGGAATGACGTTGGGGAGGTGGCTCGTTGGTTAAGGTTATTTCCTGCTTTTCTCAACACCCACAACTGCATCTGACTTCAGCACCAGGAGCTCTGACACCTCTTCCTCTGACCCTTACAGGCACCTGAACTCATGTGCACAGTCACACACGCATACACATGCACACATAATTAAAATTTTAAAATAAAATAAAAACAAGGGCTATAAATTGGTTGTGGTGATACAAATCCATAATCCCAGTGTTCTGAACGTGCAGGCAGGGAGATTAAAAGTTCAAAGTCCGGACTGGAGAGATGGCTCAGCAGTTAAGAGCACTGACTGCTCTTTCAAAGACCCGGGTTCAATTCCGAGCATCCACATGGCAGTTCACAACTGTCTGTAACTGCAAGATCTAATACCCTCACTCAGACATACATGCAGGCAAAACACCAATGCACATAAAAATAAAATAATTATTTTTTTAAAAGAAGAGTTCAAAGTCCTTCTCAACCATATAGCTAGTATAAGGCTATCCCGGGCTACATGAGACTGTATCAAAAAAGGGCCAAGAATGTGAGTGAATGGTAGACCAGCTGCTCCCCATGCACCAGGCCCTGGGGTCCATCCACAGCATTGCCTCCCTTCTCTGGGAGACACAACAGGTGTCACAATGATAGGAGGTAGCAAAGTCCCGCCTGGTTCCTTCAGCTTCCCATCTCAATGCTCTACTGGGAATGAAGTGAGAGAGAAAGGGCAGGGAGAGGGCAAGTATAGGAAACAGCTGGAGCCAGCTGCCTATTCCCACAGGCTCTTCTGTGCCTGTGGATTCAACCTGCTGAGGATCATCGATATCGGAGGGAAGTGTTGGGCCTGAACTGAACACGGAGACATTTTCCCTGTTGGTATTCCCTAGACAGTGTGCTGTGATGACTGTTTACACAGCCTTGACCTCGCGTGAGGTGTTCTGAGCAGTCTAGAGATGGTGTGAAACTCACAAGAGGACAATGTAGGTTTGTGTTGCCCTAAGTGGCAGGATTTCCCTACTTTTAAAGCAAAATACTATTCCATTGTGTGTGTACACAAGCACCACATTTGTCCACTTAACCCACTGACAAATGTTTAGAAGGGGTTTGGGGCTTTTGTTTGTTTTTGAGACAAGGTCTTATGTTAGCTCAGGCTAGTTTCAAACTAGCTACATATTGGAGGGTGACCTTGAACTTGCGACCCTCAGCTGCTACTTCTCAAGTGCTGGGTGACAGGTGTATAATAGGGTGCCTGGATTTCCTACATCTTGGCTAACTATGGCTCTTACTGCAGTGAACACAGGAGTGTAAATATCTTCTTCAAGATCCTGATTTTAATACTCTTGGATACATTCCCAGAAATGAGATTGCTGGATCATATGGTAATTCTATTTTTAATTTTCTTTGAAGAACTCCAGACTGTTTTACACAGTAGCTATGCCATTTCACATTCCCAGCAATGGCACAGGAGGCTTCTAATTTCTCTCCATAGGGATGATTATCTTTTGACACTTTGACAAGAGCCACCACAATTGGTGCCACAGGACAGGCCCTTGCAATTTGTTTTGTTTGAGACAGGGTCTTATGTAACCCAGGCTGGTCTTGAACTCATCATATAGCTGAGAATGACGTTTAACTTCTGACTGTCTTACCTCTACTATGCAAGTGCTGAGATTGCAGGCGTGTGTCATGGTGCACAGCTGGTCATTGTGGCATGGACTCTCATGTCCCCAGTGGTTAGTAATGCCGGATACCTTTCCAGGTTCCTGCTAGCGGTTTATTTGTCTTCTTTTTAGAAAGGTCCATTTGTTTTCTTGCCACAAAGCTATATGAACCCAGAAGACATCGTGTTAAGCGAAATAAGCTAAACACAGAAAAACTGGTCTACACTGATACATCAGAGTCCATGGGATGGTAATAACAAAATAGAATAGTTCAAGTCATGCAGTCAAGAAGTAGAAGGTTGTAGTGGTATTTGCTCTGTCCATGACCTTGGGCTATAGGGCCTGAAGGAGGCGGTGCTTCTTGCTGTTGTACTTGATTTCTTAAAAGGAAAGGGAGGCTGGGCGGCCGGTGGCGCACACCTTTAATCCCAACTCTGTGAGTTCAAGGCCAACCTGGTCTCCAGAGCAAGATCTAGGATAGCCAGGGCTACAGAGAAACTCTGTCTCGAAAAAAACAAAAAACAAAACAAAACAAAAAACGGAAAGGGAGAAGCGTCACGAGCCCCTTCTCCCTGCTGCCTGGTTCCTGGTGTGATCAAATCCAGGTGGATTCACTCCTGGTCAAATCAGAGGATGAGTTCAGCTATCTACTCTGTTCTGTATTTGTGAGTGTATTTCCTCAATTTACCCTAATAAATTTCCCTACTACTCCTTAAGCAGACTCCCGTGGATCTATCGCATTAAAAGGTGTTTGCCACAGTAGGGAGGGACTGGAGAGATACTGGTCAAAGGATAAACATTTTAAGCCAGGCATGGTGGTGCATACCTTTAATCCCAGCACTCAGGAGACAGGGACAGGCTGGTCTCTGTGAGTTCAAAGCTAACCAGAGCTACATAGAGAGACCCTGAGTCTAGATAGATAGATAGATAGATAGATAGATAGATAGATAGATAGATAGATGAGAAGATATGAGCATTCAGGTCTAATTAAAGCATGGTGGTGCACACCTTTAATCCCAGCCCTTAGAATGCTGAGGCAGAGGATCACTACAAGTTCCAGGCCAGGCTGGACTACATAGTAAGTTCTAGGCCTTCCTGAGTTAGAGTGAGACTATCTCAAAAAAAATCAAAAACAACCCCCACCCAAAAGAGCTTCAGGCATGTAAGTTCTTGGGTCTAACCTGCAGTACTCTAGCCATGACTAATACAACTGTAGTGTGTACCTAAAGTACACTGAGAAGCTCGCTCTTGAAGGTTCTCACTATGTAGCAAAAAAAGGTAATCGTGTGAGCCAATGGATGCCAGTCAGCTTGGTGTAAAGATATTCCACAGAGTCTGGAGATATCAAAACGTTGGGGGGCAGGGGTTTGGCTCAGCTGGTAGAGCATGCTTGATTCCCAGGGTTCAACCCCCAGCAGGCATAAAACAGGTGTGGGGGTGTACACCTATAATCCCAGCACTTAGAAGGTAGAGGCAGGAGGATCAGAGGCTCAAGGCCACATAGAAAGTTCAAGAACAGGGCTGGAGAGATGGCTCAGCAGTTAAGAGCACTGGCTATTCTTCCAGAGGTCCTGAGTTCAATTCCCAGCAACCACATGGTGGCTCACAACCATCTGTAATGAGATCTGGTGCCTTCTTCTGGTATGCAGGCATACATGCAGGCAGAATGCTGTATACATAATAAATAAATCTTTTAAAAAAAAGAAAGAAGGAAAGAAAGAAAGAAAGAAAGAAAGAAAGAAAGAAAGAAAGAAAGAAAGAAAGAAAGAAAGTTAGTTCAAGAGCATCCTGGGCTACAGAATTCCCTGCCCCCAAAAACAATGGGCTAGGGGTGTAACAATGATACAATGATGCATGCTTGCCTAGCATGCACAAAGCCCTGGCTTCTGTTCCTAGCACTATAAACAACAATAATAAATAAGAACATTAACTATATATCTTAATTGTATTAAAATTTGTCAACTATGCCTCAGAAAAGTCTTTTAAAAGGAAATGAACTAGGAATCAAAACCAGTAGATGAGAAATAGAGATCAGAGTCACTCACCGCCACCCCAGCCCCTGTCTGGATCAGGCATTTCCTCGTGTGACATAGGTCTGTTGAGCATCAACCATGTGTCAGTGTGGTTCTAGGTACCTGGGACACAAAGGAGCCAGATGGACTGGGGTTCCTGCCCCCTGGAGCCCACAGCCTGCTATATACCCACTTCCCATGAAGTAGAGTACTTTGGGTACACTACTAATCAACCATGTCACCTTGGGGACCAGGATCCAGACTCAGCCCCCTTATCCCTTCTTACTGTGTATCATCATCTAACAAAGGTCTACTGGCAGCAAGCAGGCGCCTATTCCTGTATGTCCTACACCCTGACACTGCCCTGCCCAAGCTCATGGTCTCCCCAGCAGCACCGTGTGTCTCCCTCTGGGGCCTGTCACAGGCAGGCCATAAAGGCATTGTGAAATTTGTTTCCTCTCTTGTTCATTATTTAGTAGTTTTATATTTTTATTTGTATATGTGTTTGCATGAGTTTGTGTGTACCACGTGCATTCAGGAACCCAAGGAAGCCAGAAGAGGGCTTCAAATCTTTCCAAACAGGAGTTATAGGAGGTTGTAAGCCACTAGATGGGTGCTGGGAACCGAACCTAGGTCCTCTGCAAGAGGACTAAGTGCTCTTAACCACTGAGCCCTCTTTTCTGCCCCTTATTTCCTCTTTGAATGCCCTTTCGTAACCTCATGTTTTTGCTCACATCTCATTATTTCCTCTCTTGGTCCATTGACTGGAGAATTCCAGACCATCTTCCACAGGAGAGGGATGTAGCCCAACTGTAAAGTGCCTGACAACAGTTCACTGTGCCTGGTAATACACAGGCGTGACACAGTATACATGACGCTTGGGCTCAATCTTCCACAGAGGGAGAAAGAAATCAAAGACAGTCTTCCAGACTCACTGCCCCCTCTTTCTGCCATCTATCCTCTTTTCCAAACCTCACTCCAAGTAGGTTCTCATCCTCACCATCCCTCCAAACCTCACCCTGCTAAGACTGCTGATAAATATGCCCTGTTCTTCAACCCGCCACAGGCTTCACCCTTCCTGTCTCTGCAGCACTGTGCCTTGAAAGTTGAGCCACGGCATTTTCTTGCCCATTTCTCCTCACACTGCTCACCACCCCTCCTCAATCTCCTTTGCCGTTCCGGCTCCCCCTGCATTTCAGCACAGAGGTCCCAGCAATCCGTCTATTCCTCTTCTCTGGCTAGAAGAATCCAGCGGTTCTCTGGGTGTGCTCACCAAACTGTTGGTGCTCAGGGAGTGTGAAGATCCATAAAGCTAGCCTTGAGCTTCCCAAACTCTGACTCCAGCAGAAGCTGTGTGGCTGCTGTTCTGTCAATGGATGAGTGAGTGGATGAGTGATTTTATGAATGAAGACCTCAACTCCCCATATAAAAATAATCAAAACAGAGGCAAGGTTGTAGAAAAGCAAGGCTTTCGTCGTAACAATATGTCCTAACTGCCGTTTGCACATGCTGGGGGTGGACACTTTTATTAGCTCTTTCTCACTTTTATTAGTATAGAGAAAATGAAAGGCCCATAGCATACAGAAACCTCTTTGGCCAGCAGGTGGCACCAAATGATTTCTAATCTTGTGCAAGGTTTGGGACTCCAGGCTTTATGGAGGGTCCCAACTCAACATTTGTAATGTAGTTTGAGAATCTTCTCTGTATATTTAAAGGCACCAATCTATGCTGATTACAGAATGCCTGGAGGCTCCATTGGGAGCTCCTGATGCATCGAGGGCCTAAAATCTTCCAGGAGCATGCAATACCTTTAGAAGCTGACCGATTCCCCCCAGGGAAGCGCTGGCCCCTCTTCTTCTGTCCTTACAGCCTGCAGCTCTCATAGTCACCCTGGAAAATGGGTGTCCTTAACCCCTCTGGAGCTGAGAGAAACCATGCCTGACCAAGTCACATGGCTAGCAAATGGTGCCATCAGAATTCGGCCATGAACCAAATGCCAACTTAGTCCAGCCTTCCCCTGCATCAGACTTTGCCAACTGGCGTATCCACATGTATCAGAATTGGATTGTACACATTCACCACCATCCACCACACAACTGTAGTGTGTGTGTGTGTGTGTGTGTGTGTGTGTGAGAGAGAGAGAGAGAGAGAGAGAGAGAGAGAGAGAGAGAGAGAGAGAGAGCACATGCACATGATCAGAGATCTTAGCAGCCTACAGCTGCTAATGTGGCAGGTGGGTCAGGACTGAGGCTCTCTGCTCCTCACCAATCCCTGGCATTCCCAGGCACTTGTGCCCCACACATGGAGCAGAGGCCCTGTTTGCTTTCACCTCCCCAGCTCAGGTTCATGAGTGACAGATTCCTGTTCTAATGTTGACATGTACCAACCACAGTGAACCAAGATACACGGGGTATGAGCTTACAGTCTAGCAGAGGATTGGTTTTGGCTATCAAAAGGAAAGTTCTGGAACCTTTCTCAAATAGCTCTTAGCTACTTCCTGGTTGAAAGCAAAGGTGCCTTTGAACTCCGAGATGGGCAGAGGCAGAGGGGAACCCTAATGTCTTCTTCCCTCTCACTCCCACAATCATTGGTTCCCACAGATTTATTTCTGGGAAGTCCAGCGGAGGAACCTCACGGAGAGGGTGAAGACACTTTTCCTGGCAGAGAACAGCGTGAAACTCAAGAACCTGACTGGCTACACAGCCTACATGGTCAGCGTAGCAGCCTTCAACGCTGCAGGAGATGGGCCACGGAGCACCCCCACCCGAGGCCAGACTCAGCAAGCAGGTAGGGAGACGTCTTGGGGAGGTCAGTTTGTGGGGACAAGAGAGGACCACACCTGTATCAGAGCTGTCTCGTGCAGTCAGAAAGCTGGGTTTGGTACCCAGGCCCCACTTCCAAATGTCCTGCAGAGAGAGAACCCAGCTTGCAAAGAAGCCTCTAGATATGAGTCCAGAATAAAAAAAGAACCTCTCACCACGAACCTTGAGAACGCCCTCAGATCTCACCTCGCCTGTTCTGCCCCCCTTGTCTCAGCTTTGGGACTAGCCTCGGCTCCCACTCCCTTCCTGGCTTTCTCTTTCCTTTTGTCTTCTTGCCTTTGTTCATCCCACCAATGTTTATTATCCTCTATGAGCCCACACTTCTGTTTCACGCTGGTGATGCAACACTAAGAGAAAAAACAACAACAATAAGTCTGCGTCCTAGTGAGGGCCGCGGATCATAAATAAGCACAGCTGAGCTGGCTGAGACGGTGCTGAGGATGGGTGATGGAGGGGAGCGGTGTGGTGGGGAGCTCTGGACAGGCCCGCCCACAAAGGCCTGGCCAAGATGGCTGCGTCCAAACTGGGATGTGAGTGAGAGGAGACCCGCCATGGGAAGTCCTGGAGACAGAGCAGGAAGCCAGGTTCCTGTGAGAGGGACCAGCAGGTGCAGAGGCTTGGGGGCTGGAGGGGATTAGAGGAACAGAACCGGGTGCTGATAGGGAAGTGGGGTTGAGTTTCTAAGGGTCCGGAGGATGGGGTTTGTATTAGGTGTAATAGGAAGACATGGGAGGGTCTGAGCTGTTGAGAATTAGATCTTTTTGTTTGGAAACACTGGCTCTGCCTTCTGGGCTGAGAGACTGGGGGGAAAAGAGGAGAGAGGCAGAGAGACCAGATGGGGACTAGACATAAGACAGGATGGAGGAAGGAGAGAGGGTGCTGATGCTCTCGTCCTGAGGTGTCCAAAACCACTTCTGGTTAGTGTCACACTGGTTCCCCCATAAGTCCCAGGGGCGAGCAGATCAGTGCCACTTCTTTTCACAATGGGCAAACATCACCCCAGAAAACATGCTTTTTTCTCAGGTTCCCCTGGTAAGTCACAGGGCAAAGGACAGCTGCTGGAACCAAGGACAGCCAAGGGGAGTCAGGGGGTTTTATTTGTCTGTTTGCAATGTGGAGTTGAATAGGCAGCCCTCCGAATCCAGGAGTTCCGGATCTGCAGATTCAACCAACCAAGAAAGGAAAATATTTCCCAAAATTGCTTCTGCCTGGGCGTGGTGGCCCAGACCTGTAATCTGAGCACTGAGAGGTGAAGCCAGAGGATCAAGAGCTCAAAGTCAGGGCTGGCGAGATGGCTCAGCAGTTGAGAGCACTGGCTGCTCCTCCAGGAGACCAAGTTCAGTTTCCAGCGCCCACATCGGGTGTCTCACAACCACCTTATAGCCTCAATCCAGGGATCCTATGCCTTTTTCTGACCTCTATGGGCCCCTGTGCTCATGTGACATACACACAGACACATATACGCATAAATGAAAATAAAAAATAAACCTTTAAAATGAGATTTTACAGATCAGAATCGCCACCAGCTACACAGCAAGTTCAAGGCCTCCCTGAGCTACGTGAGAACATCTTAAAAAGCAAACAAAAAAAAAAATGTGTCTATACTGAACATGTACAGACAACACCAAATAACAACTATTTAGCAACATTGCATAGTATCAAGACTCATAAGTAACCTGGAGATAAGTTAAAGTATATGAAAAGGGCTAGTATATCTCTGTGGTTATAGCACTTGCCTAGCCTAAGAGACGCCCTGGCTTTAATTGCCAACACCACAAAAAGGGAGAGATACACAGAAGATAGTATGTCACTTATATGCCAAAGTGACACCATTTTATATACAACAGGCATCCTCAGATTTTTGTTAGAACCAATTGCCTATGGATACAGAAGGCAAAAGGACAGCCTTCTGCCCTAGCCACCGGAAAGCAGCTTTTTCCGGCCTGATGCATCCCTTAAGGAGCTGTAGAAAACAAGCTACCAAAGACAGTTCCTAACCTGGATCCTCTCCAGGGGAGCCTTTCCCTCTACTGGCTCTCCCGGGTCAGCCAGAGGCTGAGCTTGGGTGTGCTAGCCTGCATCTGTCTGCCTGCCTGTCTCGACGACGATGCTCCATCAGTGTCACTGGTCGGATATGAGCCCCTGGGAGCCTAGAAGCTTCCGGCGCTGTAGCAGTAGGACAGAATGTCCTGTCCCACGTCCTTCTACCCCCAAGTGTGTTGGGGGAGGAGGGCAGGAAGGGCCCTGAGTTCACCTCCCTCCTTCAAAGACAGCAGGGGAGATGGAGCAGGAAGCTGTCAAGATTAGTTCTGGCTTGGTGGGAGGTAGCCCTGGACAATAATAGCTGGCCATGCACCCGACCACCTCTGGATGCTGTGAGGGAGGAAATGCTTTCTGTCTTGCCCCTTTGCCTCTCGCCTCGTCCGCCCCCCTCCCCGCCCCCGCCACTGCCACACACCAGAATCTTCCATCTCCTGTTTTCAGAGTTACCCCCCAGGGGTCTCAGTACAAGAAAACATCTCTTGCAGAGGATCTGACTGTCCTTGGCCTGGCTCCTCCTGACAGCGTGATGTCTCTATGACAAGCCTTGCAGCCCGGGGATGAAAGGAAGAGCATGCCTCCGGAGGAGTTCTGACATCTTGTTTAGCACCCACTCAGAGGCAGAGACACCCCCACTTTCTCTAGCAGGAGAGCTGAAAGACACACCCCATGGTGCCAGGAAATGGTCTTGCCCCACAGTGACCCTTGGGGATGCAGTGGCTGCTCCCATGCTACTCGCCAGGGCTCAGGGCCACATAGGAGAGAGTCCAGCTTCTCCATCTGTAAGGAGGGCTTTTCTCCCAGTGCCAGGGCCTCTGATGCTAAACAACTGAGTGCTAATGACGTCAAGGGAGGAAGAGAGAGGGTTCAGGGGCCTCAAGTGACCCTTCCCGTCTTCTTTTGGTGCCTAGCCTCACTCTCTCTTTTTTCTGGGCACAGACCCAAACTCTCCTGGTAGTTGCTTGGAGCCCAACCTGAGGCTTTGAACTTCCACAGAAAGAGGAAAAACACAAACCCTTGGCTGTCTCTCCACAGCCCCCAGCGCCCCAGGCTCCGTCAAGTTCAGCGAGCTGACCACGACCTCAGTGAATGTGTCCTGGGAAGCCCCACAGTTCCCCAACGGGCCTCTGGAGGGCTACAGGCTGGTGTATGAGCCCTGCACCCCAGTGGATGGTGAGTGGGGATCTCCCACACGGCCTGAACTCAACCCCTATCAAGGACTGGTTTGCCTTGAAACTGCATCATGATCACCACTCGGCAGTTAGATGTGATGAGAGTCTTCCCGCCTTATAAATGGGGAGGCTGAGGCTTGACCCAGGAAAGGGGCGGTTCCCAGACAAAAGCCTCTGAGGGTAAAGTCAAAACAGCAACATAAGGCTGCCACCTCCTGTGTGGGTAGGGGACGGCTAACACAGTCTTCCTGTTCCATAAACTGAATTGGGAAAAGAGGGAGGGAATCCAGGCAAAATATAGTTGCCCCAAGATGGGACAGGACCCCGGAAGAGAAGTCCTCTGATGTTCTTCTCATACTCTCCTGGCCCCCTTCCAAACATCCGAGTTCTCAGCATACCCCCTTTGGAGGGTCAGGGACCCCTTTAGAAATCTAGTCAAAGCCTGGGGCGCTTCCCCCGAGAGGATGTGTGAGAGTGAGCGGTCACTCAGCCCTGCTCTGCAAGTGACTGTCCTAGCCCAGGACATCTGCACTGTCTTCAGACCGTTCCCTCTCAACCACTGCCCTTCCCAGTCCCCAAACAAGACCGTGGGCTCTCAGGGCGGTTAGACTGACAGCCCTGGCAGCTGGCATCCGGTACCTGCCAGCTTTCTCACATAGTATAGCCCAATGCCAGCTGGTAGGAATGAGGCAGGGCTGAGCAGAAGTCCCCAGAAGTCACTGATTTATTCTGCACAGCTATCTTAAAAGAACAAGGGACTTACAAGAGAGAAGGGGACTAGGCTCCTCAATGCCTGGGTCTGCTTACAGCAAGGCATAGGGATGGGACTGCCCTAGAAGTGACACCCCGGTGACAGGAAGTGACCACTTCTGTGGTCACCTCCCCCTCACTCTCACCCCCTCCCTCCTCCCAGCACTGGAGCCTGGCAAGAACAAGGGGCGGAGCCTGGGAACATCAGGATGCAGGCAGTTCTGGGTCAGTGGTGGGAACAATGGCCCTCAGTCTTTCTGCCACCACCTGGGTGCCAGCAGCCTGTCCTGCAGAGCAGAGCTGTCAGACCAAGGGGGAGGCAGGTCCTGGGAAGAAGTGCGGTCAGGAGCAGGGCTAGGTCAGAGGTCAAGAAGACAAAATGCAGGGAACCTAGACAGGCTCCTGTCCCAGTGGCTTCTACCTGGCCTATCGGGAGACCTCCCACCAAGAAATGGAGTACTTGGCCTCTTGTGATCTTATTCCATCATAGACCACATGGCTAAATTCCATGTCCCTATAGGTTCCTACCTAGTAAAGGGTTTGCTCAGTACTGTCCAAAGTACTCGTTCAATAAATAAATAGGGGTTAGAGGTGTGGCTCCATTGGTAGAGTGCTTGCCTGGCATGCGCAAAGCCCTGGGTTCCATTCACAGCACCACATAGACCAGCCGTGGTGGCTCATGCCTATAATTTCAGCACTCAGGAGGTGGAGTCAGCAAGATCGGGAGTTCAGGGTCATCCTTAGCTATATAGCAAGTATGAGATGAGTTTGCACTACTAGAGACTACTGTCTCAAAAATAAATAGGGCCAACCTGGCAGTGGTGGCGCACGCCTTTAATCCCAGCACTCAGGAGGCAGAGGCAGGAGGATCTCTGTGAGTTCAAAGCCAGCCTGGTCTACAATGTAAGTTCCAGGATAGATAGATAGATAGATAGATAGATAGATAGATAGATAGATAGATAGATAGATAGATAGATAGATAGATAAAATAGGGCCTAGAGATATGGTTTAGAAGTTTAGGATACTATCTGCTGTTCCAGAGAACCACATCCCAAGCACCCACATGGCAGCTCACAACCGTCTGTAACTCCAGTTTCAGGGAATTCAGTGCCCTCTTTTGGCCTCCTCAGACACCAGGCATGCAAGTGGTATGCAGACATACATGCAGGCAAAACATTCATACACGTAAGATTAAAAAAATGTATAAATTAAATAAAGTACCTACTATGTGTCCGGTGCTCTTTCCCTGTATCTAAAACTCCATATCCCTGTTGGGGATGCTCCTGACACTCCAGCTGAGTGGACAAATAAAGTGGAGGCAGCTGGAGACATATCTGAAGCCACTAGGGCCAGCTCAAGGGTGCAAAGCCTGTCCTCTGTGTGGTGGCACCCTACACAAGGAATCCTGGTCCTGACTCAGGGAGACTTTGGGATGGGAAGCACAGAGCACACAGTACCACCCTGTGAAAGCCCCCGTCCCGCCCCTGACTGCCATGACCCAAGGTGCTGAAGCATCCCTACTTCTGCCCTAAAAGCCAACTAGTACAGATGATGGGGCTCCTGAAGCTAGGCTCTCAATGGCCAACAGCAAAGAGGAGCACAGGGCTAGGACTGGGGCTGGGGCTGGCATCGGGGCTGGGGGAGGGGCTAGAGTAGTCACGAGGTGCCATCCAGCTCCACTTCCAGGGGTGGTTTCTTCACAGAACTTTCCCATGAGGGTGCCTGGATTTCAAGTTCTATGGGATGTCGGGGTGGGCTGATGTGGGGCACAGCGGTGAGACAGGATGGAGATTTTGTGGCTGTTCTGGGTTGGACAGCCAGGACATAGCTCTCCTCCTGGTACTTTAACCATGGAGCCCTGTTTTTCTGAGCTCACGTACAGAGCCCTGCTCCTGACACAGCATTAGCAGCACGTGGGCTGGAGTGACAGACAGCTCAGCTGGTTTCAGGGGCTAGAGGCCACCACTGTCACCTCTCCCCAGTAGGTGCCAGTGGCCTTGGTGGCCCTCTTCCCACCAGCCGCTGCAGCCCCTGCTCACAGCCCTTCCCCCACAGGGGTCAGCAAGATTGTGACAGTGGACGTGAAGGGGAACAGCCCACTGTGGCTGAAGGTGAAGGACCTGGCTGAGGGCATGACCTATCGTTTCCGCATCAAAGCCAAGACCTTCACCTACGGGCCTGAGATCGAAGCCAACATCACCACAGGCCCTGGAGAAGGTAGGAGAGACGCCACACTCACTGCCCTATGCACCGCATCCTCAGCCCTCCAAGTAGGAGGGGACCCCAGGGGGTCCAGAGCTGGACAGGAAGACAGTGGGAAGCACAGAGCTTACTCTTCTACCTCCTGTCCCCGCCCCTCCTTCTCCCCCCCCCTCCCTTTTTCTCCCTTCTCCTGGCTCCTCCTTCCTCCTTGTCCCTCCTCCTCTCAACTCCACTCTCCTCCCCCATCCTGGGCTTGGTTATTAGCATCTAAATCCTCGGGCTATTCCAGTCCCGAGCCAGGAGTGACCCAGACCCTCTCATCACACAGGCCCGTACACACAGCCCAGGCTGCCACACAGCCTCAGCCTGGCTAGAGAGCCCAGGTTGGCCTGGTACTTACGGTCCTTCTGCTGGGTCGCCCAAGTGCTGGGTTTATGAGAGTGAGCCGCCACACCCACCCTGCTTTCCATGCGTTCCTTCTCTCCTTCCTCTCTAACCCTCAGCCTCTGTCACCTCAGGCCCTGTCACCTCTGCCCAGGAAGGATGTGGCCTGGCAGGTGTCCAAGCCTCCCGGCTGGCCAGAACCACCTCCCCATGCCTCCCCCTCCCCCCCACCCCAGCAGCGGCTCCCAGAGCAGGGTACAGAAGAATTTCCCTCCGCTTTTGTCCAAATGCACGCTCCCTGTGGCCATCTCCTCTAGTCGCAAGAACCCCTGGAGGCAATGATGACATTGGCACTTCATTGGCACCTCTGATGGGCAGGCAACCTCCTCACAGTCAGGCCTGCCTTCCCCAAGACTCAAGACCCCCTTTCCAAGCGGCTTTTACACACAGAAGCCCACTTTGTATTTCCACATCAGTGCCCAACCCTTGGCTCCTTCCCTGATCATCTCTTTCACTTCCCCTGGTCTCTGTCACTTCCCACCTCCCACCCAGGACCCTGGGGCAGGCAGGGTTGAGTCTCCACAGGCCCTGTCTTGGGTTCAGGTTTTCCCCGTTCTAAACATGAGAACCACCTCCCAAGCAACCCTGCTGTCCCCACCCCTATCTTTGAGGAAGCCCAGGCTGCCCAACTTCCTTCAGAAAGCCACCCACCTCCTTCCCCTCCCTGCCCCACAGCCAGCAGCACACAATGATCTTTCTCTGGAGACCAGGTGAGTCTGGGCCCTGGAAAAACAAGGCTGAAGAGCCCTTGTCCACTTGCCCTCTACCCGCTAGTGGCTCGTCACCCCTTGGTGGCCCTCCCTGTCACATTCTACTCCCCGGGTCTCACTCAGAAAGTGATTTGCAGGAATATGGAAGGCTGCTGTCCCAGCTGCCCCAGCTCAGCTCCTCACCTGAAGCTTCCTGGGACATAAAAGCCAGAAGAGAGCTGGCAAATAAAGGGAAGGCCTCTCCGTACCTCAAGGACAGGAACAGGCCACCCGAGAAGAGCCATTGTAGGGTTTAAAGAGTTCCAGCTTGGAGTTAGCGGTGCAGGATGGGGAAGATATTGGACAGGAAGTGGGGAGGGGTAGAGGGTACAGAAAAGAAAATGAACCTCACTCAGCTAGTGTGGGGGAGAAGGGACCTATGAGGGACAGCACCCAGGCCAGCCGTTTTTGGCTTAGCAGAAAAGCCAGTGGCCACCCGTCCCTCAGCCCTGTCCTATACAGAGTGAAAAGCAAGGACTCTGAAGGCCACCCCAGCCTGAACCCCACTTTCAGGTCATGTCCCCCCTCCATGGGCTGCAGGCAGGATGCTCCTTAGAAAATGAGGTCCTCCAAAACTGTGCCTGCTGTCAGGACTGGATATAGAGACCTGGCAATGGAATATCCCGCTGTGGGAGGAGTCTCTGGCCTCCTGTCTGAGTTGAGCAGCTCTCCTGGGCCCCAGAGGGCTTCAGTGAGATGTTGGACCCATGCTCTCTTCCCATTGGGAAGCCAGAGGCCCCTAGCCTGCCCTCATACACACAGTGCTGCCTCAAGGGACTAGGAGCATGCTGGGCTCTAGGGATGGTGAACTCCACGTCTAGTGGGAAACAGGCTTGGTGGGGACCACACATGGTAGAAGGTGCCAGATTCGTACTGGCACACTCCCAGTGAGGTGTTTGGGATGCTGTATAGACAGATACCCAGTCCTGTGTCAACACCACCTGTCTCCTGTATCCTATTCTACCTTCCCCCTCCAGTATCTCAGTATGCTAGACACATCTTCTTCCAAGTTCTCTTTAGGCTTCCTAGGCCCTGAGCCTACTCTCTCCACACCTAGCCTAACAGTGCATGCATGGAGGGGTAGGAGATTTCAAGTAAGAGAGGGAGAGCATTATCCCATGCCAGGGAAGGAAATGTTGGAGGGGCTTTCAGCCCCCTCAGCCAGATCTTCATCCCTGGGCATGTCCCCCATCAGTCCATTCACCTCTGCTGCCCACCATGACATCACCTTTCAGGATTTCTTCCCCATGGCCCCTGCAGATGGGCATCCTGAGGCACCCCTGAGGATTCCATGAATGGATCACATAATAAGTTCTGGCTGGACTTAACTTTTGTCTTAGCCCTCTGACTTCCAGGATCACCACCTACATCCTGCCTTGTCCTGAGATTCAGAATGTGGGGTGTGAGGAAACAGGAAGAGACGGTAGTCACAGCCTGGCAGACCTGGCCCGAGATACACCCTTCAGACAGAGTATTTGCAGGGGTCCTGGAGACTCTATGGGCTAGAGCTGATCTGGTTGTCCAGCCCCCCATCACCAGTACAGGTTGTTGGAAAGGGTGGCTATTCTTAGCTCCACAGATGCCCTTACCCACTGTGGGATGTTTGCAGGTGCCCCAGGACCACCAGGAGTGCCAATCATCGTTCGGTACAGCTCAGCCATTGCTATCCACTGGTCCAGCGGAGATCCTGGCAAAGGACCCATCACACGCTACGTAATAGAGGCCAGGCCTTCAGGTATGCCCTGCCCAGGCTGGGCTGTCCTCCCTCCATGGTCCACTTCCTGCCCTCCTCCTGTCCTTAACCCTTGGGCTTGTGTCTGTCCTCCATCCGTGAAGACACGCGTACTATTGCAAGTGAAGCCAGAGGTAGTCCTGTTGGGGAGCAGAAGACAAGGTTTCTCCTTGGAGCTGGACTCTTGCTTAGGGAATTCCTGGGAAGCCCCCCCAAAGAACAGTTCTTAGCACCATCTATGGACCAACTAATGTTCAAGATAGTTCAAGAAGCCAAAAGGGGCTTAGTCAATCAAGTATACACGCATGAGGATCTGCGTTTGGATCCCCAACACCCACATAAAAAAGCCATACATGTAATTCCAGCGCCGGTCAGATGAAAATGAGAGAGCTGCTAGAGTTTGCTTGCCAGAATTGGCAAACTCTAGTTTCACTCTGTCTCAAAACAAAACACCAAACAAACAAAAAACCAATAGAGAGCAATTAACAAAGACACTCAACACTCATCTTTGACCTCTACACACAAGTGCGCACACTTGTGCACACACAGACACAGAGAAACTAGGGGAGCAGGGTTTGGCTCCCGTTGGTTAAACACGCATGTCCTACTTGTGACTAGCTCTTGTCATCCACCCTACCAACGTCTCCTGTCAAGCCTGAAATCGAATCACAAGGCCTTCCAAAGCCATCAGGACAAGAGCGGCTGATAAGTGACTCCTGGGGGGGGGGGGGGGGGGGGGGGGACTGCTCTCCGCTCCTGTTTCACTGTGTCTCTGCACCTGCTTCCCAGGCTCTAGCTCCCTCTGTTGCTAGGTTTCCAAGCTAATCAGAGGTGCCCAAGTCAGCCAAGAGCTGCGGGCTTGCTCTTTGTATTCAGAGGATCTGTGTCTTGGCGATAGAAGTTAAGAAAGATAAGTCTTTGCTACTCAAATGAGAATTATAGTCAGAGGAAGGGACGTGTGTGTGTGTGTGTGTGTGTGTGTGTGTGTGTGTGTGTGTGTGTGTGCCTGCCTGTTATGTGCCTGTTGGTGTAGGTACAGATGTACAGCACATGGAGGCTGGAGGTCAGCCTCAGGTGTAATTCCTCGGGTGTTATCCACCTTGTTTTATGAGGCAGGTTCTCTCACTGGCCTGGAACTCACAAAATTAAGCTAGGTTGGCTGGCCAGTAAGCCCCAGAGATCCTCCTGTCCCTGCCTCTCCAGCCCTGAGATCCCAAATGCTTACCACTGTGCCCATGTCCAGCTTTAAAAAATTAAAACCTGAGCTGGACGGTGGTGGTGCACGCCTTTAATCCAGCACTCGGGAGGCAGAGGCAGACAGATCTCTGTGAGTTCGAGGCCAGCCTGGGCTACAGAGTGAGTTCCAGGACAGGCTCCAAAGCTACACAGAGAAACCCTGTCTCGAAAAACCAAAATAAATAAATAAGTAAAAACCTGAGTTCTAGGGATTGAACTCTGATCTTTATGCTTGAAGGGCAGGCGGTTTGCTGGCTGAACCATCTCCCCATCACCCTTCTTATGGAGATTTGAACCATCCCAATCACAGGCTATACATTCCTCAGGGTGGCTAGGTGCTCATCACCCCAATAACAAAGAGTTAATTATTCTGGGAGGTACTGGAAGCTGCCACTACCCACCACTGCCCTTATCTTACTAGCCTAGTAGCTAAATATCTAGCCAACTCAGATCCACCACATCACCCACGCCACAGGTGGTGCTGGCTCTCCCCCAACTCCAGATGGCTCCTCCCTGGACCTCCAGTGCCGGCTGTTGAGTTGGCCTGGAGGCCTCCACGTGCATCTCCTCACCATAGGCCTGTGCCTGTTATTCCACCCGAGTTGGCCGACCTTGTGCCAGGCTGTGGAATGTTGGCCCTGGACCCCAGCCTGTTGATTTTCCAGTGTTCCCTGGGAAGCCCAGCGTGAGCCACTGCCCTTCCAAGTTTGGGGGCTGTGACTTGATGCACACTGGTGGAACGGAGGGTAAACTGAGCCAGCGCTCAATAACAAGCCAAGAAGGGCCAAAGCCAACAGCTCCAGGGAGGGCAGAATGGTGGAAAAGAGGGGGAAGTGAGCCAGGAGGATGCTAGGACAACCCCTGAAACTGTTGGAAAGTGGACTGCTTTTTAGAGATGGGTGTCTCCCCTCCTCTAGGCTGTCTGCCCCCTCTTTCATCCTCCCTCCATGATAACAAGCTCTCCACAATGAACTAGCCCTGGAGGTAACACTGTGTAGCCCTGGCTGGCCTAGAACTTGCTTTGTAGACCAGGCTGGCCTCGAACTCACAGAGATCTGCCTGCCTCTGCCTCCCGAGTGCTGATTGATATTAAAGGCATGCACCACCACTGCCCAGCTGCTATGCTTCATTCTACATGGACTAAGCTAAACATACCAATTTCTTCAAGCCAGAGAGCTGTCAGAGCCAGGGAGGGATCCACTCTGGGACTGATGAGCCTGTGAGCTGGCCCCCCACAGCTGCTGACTAGAGGGCTAGAGGCCAAGGCCACTGAGGGACATTCCAGCAGCTTCTCTCACTGCCCATACAGTTTATGCAGAGGCGAGGGATACAGTGGAGGGGGAGTGGGTACAAACAGCAGGCAGGAGGTCTCAACTTCTAGAAGGCAGCAACAGGATTCTCCATAAGCTGTTAGCAAATGCCAGTTACACCCAGCACTTTCCCGGTTACCAGGAGGAAATTCCATGCCAAGAGTCAGGTAACTCAGTAAAAAATGCCAGACTGCTACCTATGGCAGTGTGACCTTGGGAAGATGAATTAAGCTCTCTGAGTCTTGATTGTCGTATCTGTCAATATGAGAGCAGCAGTTTCTACCTCCTGCCATTGCTGTAAGCTTGAAAACATAAAACTCACACACACCCCCAGTTGGGTTGCCTAACATAGGAGTGTCAGCTTGGGTAGGGGGGCAGTCATGTGAGGATCTGAACCTCAATACATCTCAAGGAATGAAGTGTTGAACTATGCATTCAGCTACATGATACTACTATGAAAAACCCAGGGGAAAGCCTGTGTTCCTTGATTGAATACACGCTGGGAAGGTATCTGAGCAAAGTGCCGATTTATAAAGAAACAAAGATGACCCAGATGTGATCCTGCCCTTAAGGATTTCATAGCCTCAAAGCAGGGAGAGAGCTGGGAGATTAAACAGAAAGACTATTGGGTAGCTGGATGTGCTAGCACAAGGGAGGAGGCTGAGGCAGGGGGATTGTAAGTGCCAGGTCAGCTTGAGCTACAAAATGAGACCCTGTCTCAAATAATAACTAAAATAATAATGTCGGTAATGATCAAGTAGATACTCAAAAATACCGATGATGGCGTGGGAAAGATGGCCCAGTAGGCCAGGTGCTTATTGTCCAAGCCTGAGGACCTGAGTTTGGATCCCCAGCACCCATGGAAAAGCTGAGCCTGAATCTATAACCCCAGTACTGGGAGAGGGAGGCAGGCAGGGATGCTCATGGTCCATGCCAGCCAGTCTAGCCAATTGCTGAGCTCAAGATTTGATGACAGATCCTGTCTCAAAAAATAAGATGGAGAGTAATAAAGAAAGAAACCCAGACTTCCACACGTTCAGGCTCACACATGCATGCACAGACACACAGACACACACACACACACACACACACACACACACACACACACACACACACACACACACACACTACCAACTATGGCTCTAGACCCAGGGCCTTCTGGGAGGATCTCTGAACACAGACAGACCTCATGCAGGCTTCTGTAAGTTGGCAAGATCTAGAAAAGAGCAAGCTGCCCCCCACTGGGCCTGCCCCACACTTGGTCCAAAATGGTTTTAAAATGATGCTTGGGCAGTGGTGGCTACTTATGTCCTGGATTCCCCTGCTGGATCTGATGGAAAGCTTCGTAGGAGCAACAGATTCCTTTGATATAGGAAAGAACGTTCTAACACTGGGGAGCCAGCTGTGGTGTACAGGATCAGCTCAGAAGTCCACAGAAGAATGAGCTCACTGAGGGTGAAGACATGGGTGCTGCAGTCGGGGGAGAACCAAGAGAATTAGAGGCCCTCCTCCCTGACACAACCCGTATAACCCAGGAATGCACGGCAGCCAGAGTGTGAGGTGGCTGGTGGTCACATGTGTCCACAGTCAGGAAGCAGAAAGAGATGGATGCTGGTGCTCAGCTCACTTTCTCCTTTTTCCCTTTTTATTCAGTCTGGGAGGATGCTGCCCATATTGGAGATGGGTCTTCCCTGCTCAATTAAACCTCACAGGAAACACTCCCAGAGGTGTGTCTCCTAGGTGATTCCACATCCACAGAAGTGTGTCTCCTAGGTGATTCCACATCCAGTCAGCCTGACAAAGAAGATTAAATATCACAAAGCAGGGGTGGGGGACAGGTTCTAGCTAGGAGCTCAGCCTGCACTGTGGCCGAACACTGAGTCTATTCCTCTGGATGCTGGTAGAGATTGAGTGTCCCTTATGAAATGTTTGGGACCCATAGTTTTTCCAGTTTGGGATACTTTCCAGTTTAAGTGTGTGTGTGTGTGTGTGTGTGTGTGTGTGTGTGTGTGTGTGTGTGTGTGTGTGTGTGTGTGTGTATTTGGAATGGACCCATATCTAAACGTAAATTTCCTTATATGATATACCATATACACCTAGCCTAAAATTATTTTTGACACTATTTTAGTATTTTGTATGTCAAGTAAGTTTTATGGTGTGTGGTCTTTCCACTTAAGGTGTTATAGGCCTCAAAATGTTTCTGTTTGGGAAAACTTGGGATTTTATTTTTTTATTCTTTTAGGTCTCACTATACAGCTCAGGCTGGCCTCAAACTTGGAATCCTCTTTCCTTGACCTCTAGAGTGCCAGACCTCTAGACCTCCACTGGCATGTCGATTTTAGAATTTAGGTTCTCAGATTAGGGTGTTCAGTCTGTATTGGTTTGGTTGTTAGAGAATTTATTGCACAATACATTTTTTAAATGTTTTACAGATGTTTTAGTTTTAAAGAAAAGATTAAGAGACACCCCTTCCCAGAAGGTATCTATCTCTGAGACTTCCACAAGACCTTCCTAAGAGCCATGCTCAGACACAGTGTTGAGCCACTGACCAGATGGGACCCAACCTCAGGGAGGTGCAGCTAGAACCAGATGAGGTGGGAGGATCTGAGTCTCCTCCATCTCACAGTGCCTCTTCTCTATTTCCCTACAGATGAGGGACTCTGGGACATCCTCATCAAGGACATCCCCAAGGAGGTAACGTCCTACACCTTCAGCATGGACATCCTGAAGCCAGGCGTGAGCTACGACTTCCGGGTCATCGCAGTCAATGACTATGGCTTTGGCACTCCCAGCAGCCCCTCTCAGTCTGTGCCAGGTACCAGCCTTAGGGTGACAGAGCAGAGAGTCCATGGAAGAGCCTGATGACATGCTTGGCAGTGGGGGAGGAAGACAGACATTGGGCGGCAGAAGCATCAAGGTGGTCATCCAAACGCACTGTCCCTCAGTTCCTCTAACTGTGAACTCTGGGTCCCAAGGCTGCATCAGCTCACAGCCCCAAGGGAAGTTGCCAGTCAGGCCATGAACTATGTTTCCAGGGAAGCCACCTCACCCCACTCCCAAAAGACAGCACCCAGGCGGGCCACGGGCTAACCCTGGTGCCCTCTAAGACCTCACTGAGTAGCACCCAGGTGGGCCATGTTCACTGCCTCCCCTCCCCCTCTCTTTCGTCCCTCCCATCCAGCTCATCTCTGGGTTCACACAGGACACTAGGCCTACACCTGTGACCCTGGTCAGTCACTGAGTACTTTGAAAATGAAGGTAGAAATCCAACTCAAAATTGCACTTCCACTCTCTGGCGTCAGCAACCCAGCTCCTCTTTCCACCCATACTTACTCCTGTGCCCAGATGGGCAGCACCAAATTATAGAAAACAAGGAGTCTGAGACAAGAATAGAGAAACCATTCCCTTATTGGAAGTAACATGGATTAGGAGTTTCTGGGTGCAGGAAGCAAAATACGGGGGGGCGGGGGCTTGGAGAGAAGATGAGCCCTACCTGGCAGAGGCATTTTAAAAACCAACCCATGACCTCTCTACAACTTCCCTGGCTTTCTGCCATCATCAAAAAAAAAAAAAATTACTACAATTTTGAGGAGAGTTCTCCCAGACTTCCTAAAAGCCAGAGAAGCACAATTCTTCCCCATGCAAATTAGAGTCGGTCTCAAAGTCCTTTTTCCCAAGACAAGAGAGTAAAAAAGAAAAGCAGCTAACACACTGCTACTCTCCATTCTTGATCCCCTGGCAGACATCATTAATCAATCCCAGCACTATTTCTTAATAAATCCAGAGGATTCTTAATCAGTTAAACCATAAAACTCTTCTCAAAACAGTCCTCCAGGCAAACCTTTGCCTACAGATCAAAGCCAGAACTTTTAGAGTGCACAGGCCCACCTACCCATAACACCCATGAGCAGTTGGTGAAATCCCAGATGGAATAGGAAGATTTGTGGGCAGGAGAGTATTGAGTACCCTTGGTCCTGACACTGCACCCCCTGTTGCAGCCCAGAAAGCTAGCCCCTTCTACGAGGAATGGTGGTTCCTGGTGGTCATTGCCCTCGTGGGCCTCATCTTCATCCTGCTTCTTGTCTTTGTACTCATCATCCGAGGTCAGAGCAAGAAGTACTCCAAGAAGACAGACGCAGGTGAGTGAGTCTACACCCCTTGATGGCAGGCTTGACTCTTGAGGGTCTCCTTTCCACTGGGGGTGCGGGGCAGGTCTCTTTCCTGGCAATGCACCTTCTCAGGTACGGCAGCCAGAAATTCCTCCACACAACCTCAAGCTCTGATCTGGGTCTTGATGCTAACAAGCCTGAAAAAAGGAGCATCCAGGCTAAGTGAGAATATGGAGCTAGAAAGGAATGACCATGTGGTCTGATGGGTACCAACCCCCACCTCCCATCCTCAGGAGGCAATACCAAGTCAGGAGCCCTCGGCCATGGGGAGATGCTGAGCCTGGATGAAAGCAGTTTTCCCGCTCTGGAGCTCAACAACCGGCGACTCTCTGTGAAGAACTCTTTCTGCAGGAAGAATGGCTTGTACACCAGGTACTGTCCGTGCATGTGGGGGCAGAGGACAGAGGCTTGAGGGCCATGCCCCAGTGCCCAGCAGTGCCCGCTGGGGAGAAGCATGGAACATGCAATGCCCACTTGGCCTTCCACTTCCGGGGAAATAGCATCCAAGTTTCAGGGCTGCCAATGGTCAACAGAAGGTCATGAAGGACCCCAGCAGGACACCCAGGGATCTGTGTTAGTCCCACCAAACCCAGCTGCAGCTTAGGGAATGTTAGAAAATCCACGAGGAGGTGGGTACGAAGAGTTTCTGAGAGCGCCTGCAAAGTGCAGAAACATACAGCATTGTGGGTGCCAGCCTACAGTTGTTCAGAGTCAGTTGCACTAGTAACCGGCCTTAGAGATGGCCATACACCCCAGAGGTGAGCTGGACCCAGCCGAAGCACCTCAGGGAGAGGCACCAGGGACTAGCCCATCGTTGCTCATGCCTTCCTTAGCAAGGGGAGAGTGAAAACCTTCCTCCCTTGGGCTTGACTTGTTTCTGTTTGAGGATGTCCTCCTGCCACCATCTCTCAGCCTCTGGAAGCAGTTGGTGTGGAAAGGCCTCAGGGTATGGCTCAGCTGGCAGAGAGCTTGCCTACCATGCATGAAGCCCTGGCTTTGGTCCCTAAAACTGTGAAAACTAGATGTGGTGGCGCATACCTGCAATCCTGGCAGGTACTTGGGAGGCAGAGCCAGGAGGGTCAGGACTTGAAGGTCATCCCTGAAATCCATGAAGTTTGAGGCCAGCCTGCATCACATATGGCCCCTTCTCAAAAGCCCAAAGCAATGGAAAAAGCAGAGGCTGTTGGTAGCACCCAACTCCCATCCCCGACTTCTTTAAGACTCCGGTCCCTCCTGGACTTTCTTCCCTGGAGCCATCAGGCTGCCCATCTGCAAGGGCAGGGGATGCTCCTGGAGCCCACCTGATCCTCCTCTGATAGGATTCAGGCAGTTTTATGCTTCCAGAAGCTCAAGGGAGATTGGAGCCACAGCCAGAGGGACTCCTGTTTCCAGCCTCAGCCATATTGACATTCACGGCTCACTGGAGGCAGCAGGCTGGGGGAGGCGGGGCAGCTTCTCTAAGGGAATTCACAAAGCGTCTCTCTGTCTCCTCTTGAAGGGATAAGCCATGTGTACTTCTCCAAGGGGGTGGAGGGGAAGGCTGAGGGCAGAGCAGCGGGCAGGCTCTCATCCCTCGCCAATCCAGCCTTTCCAAAGAAAGAGGCGTTTGAAGCTGTGGTTAAACTCACCCAGGCTCTGCATGGCTACCACAGCCCCGCTGAGCAGGCTCCTGGGCCTGCCACAGGGAACAAGGGGGCATTTCACCCATGGCCACACCTCCCCTTGTCCTCTTGCCTCTCCTACTCATGGGACACACACATAGAGGCCCACACGTTCCTATGCCCCCGTGGGAATGAGAAGAATCTTGTTTTCACCAAACCAGATCTGAACCTGAACTGCTCACAGTGATGTCTGTACACGGACGCATGTGCCCAGGCACACAGACACACATACCATTTGCCCTAGATGTTCAAGAGCGTTAGTGTGGCATCCTCCCCCCCCCCCCCATCCCTCTTCTTCCAAGCCTCTCTCTCCAAGGCCTGGGCTGACACAGTGTGGTCACAAGAAGAAGCAGCCCAGGATGGAGGGAGGGGCTTATAGCTTGTGTTCCTCCTGACCTGTCTGAGGCCACCTCTCAGCCTCACTCCCTTCTCTCCCTAGGTCCCCTCCCAGGCCCAGCCCGGGCAGCCTACACTACTCTGATGAAGACGTCACCAAGTACAATGACCTCATCCCTGCGGAGAGCAGCAGCCTGACCGAGAAACCCTCGGAAATCTCCGACTCCCAGGTGAGGGCACAAGGGCCAGCGCCTGGACAGGTGGTGGCTGCTACCAAATGGGGGTGAAGGGGTGAACAGTGTCCCATCACACAGCCAGCCTTCCTCCTACCATCCCTCTTTTCCTCCTTCCTTCCCTCCCTCCTTCCTTCCCTCCCTCCCTTCCTCCCTCCTTCCCTCCCTCTCTTCCTTCTTTGACTAGTGCTATAAAGATGAAGGGCCTGCAGAAGCTCTCCAGAAGTCATTCATGGATCAGCCACCCACCACCACTTCCCAGCCCTGCTCAGAGTTTGCCCCAGGGTGATCACACAAGGTCTCCATGAGAGCCTGGTCCCCTACACTTACAGACTCAGCCCATTGCCTGGGTTCTCAGGAACTCTGACTCATGGAGGAACTTGGGCACTGAAGGTGTCCAGTGGCTCAAGGAGGGCCTAGGGATGCTGCTCATTGGCTAAGAGTACTTACCCAACATGCTGGAATCCCCGGTTCAAACTCCTGCAGCAGGTAAACCAGCAACACGCATAATCCAGCACTTGGGAGATAGAGGCAGGAAATGCAAGATCATCCTGGAGTTCACTCAGGTGCAACAGCGTAAGATTCTAGCTCCATAGTGTTAGGGCCAGATGCCACACTGCCTACCAGTGGAGTTGGGTCTGGACCTTGTGTCTACCCTATCCCAAAGTCCCGCCTATGGAACATTTTAGAAAAGTCTTCCAGTCTGTCCAATGAGACATCTAAGAGAACCAAACATTCATTCCACTCCTCTAGATTGTGTTTGACAAATAACTTGTGGAGTTTCTTTTAAAAAACAGTAATAATCGGGGGTGGAGAGGTGGCTCAGTGGTTAAGAGCACCAGCTGCTCTTCCAGAGGTCATGAGTTCAATTCCCAGTAACCACATGGTGGCTCACAACCATCTGTAATGAGATCTGGTGCCCTCTTATGGCCTACCGGCATTCATGTAGGCAGAACACTGTATACATAATAAACAAATCTTAAAATAATAATAATGATAATCAAGCCCACCTTTAAAGATTAAATGCAAAAAGTGTTCTAGGCACTAAAGTTATTCCCACACCCCTCGACACTCCTACCCACTGCATAACCCTCCCACAACCCCACACAGCTCTGGTTGCACACATTCGGATGATAGTTCCACCTCCCCAGAGGGCTGCTGTGGAAGACATGTTCATTTGAAAGATAGCACTTGGCTGTGGTATGATGCCTAAGACCTACATGGAGTCCACTATGTCTCTTAGTGACCCTGTGACTGGAAGGGTCCTTAGTAACCCTTCATACACACAGTGCAGGTAGTATGGTACACTGAGCAGGAGAAAGTTGACCCGTGTGGTGCCTGGCTCCTCACAGTTTCTGGAAAAGGCACAAAGCAAGAGTCAGGTCTTTCGGCTTTAACAGTGTTCTTGAAAACAAGACATTTGGCTTTAGGGCCACTGCAGAGAACCCAGGTTCTAGGAGGCTGTGCTAGAACCCTAGCATCTCAGAGATGGGGATGCCTGGGAAGACACTGAGAACATGGTGTGAGAAGATACCTAGCCCCTGTGTAGTCCTTCCATCCTTTAAAATATTAAACTGTTTGCCTAGCTGTTGGTGAATAGCCATATCCCTGAGCTCTTAAGTGTCATCAAAGGGACCCCAGGCAGACAGCTTTACCACTCTGTAATTACCAGGAACACAGGACCCTAATTCATCTAGATGGCTTTCTTCTATACTTCTAGGACGGACAGCCATGGGAACTGTGTTTCTGTGTTATCCTAGAGCTTGGAGCAGCTCCAGCAGATTCACAGAGGGAGGGGCCGTCTCTGATTTCTCTCCAACTTTCTTGTCTCTCCCTCTCCATCTCTCTAGTCCTGGGAATGGAACCCAGGGTCCCCCACATGCTAGGTGAGAATTTTACCCCTAAACTACATCACTGTCCTCTGGCTCATTTCCTGAGCCTACTCTCAGGACATGGAGGTGATGGAGACATGGTTGTGACCCCCCAGGTTCTCCTTCGGGTCTTCAGGGTTAGACCTGGAGGTACAGCAGCTGACCTTGTCCCTCTGACACCCTTGTTACACACATCTAGGAATCCTCCTTGTCAGAGCTCTCTGGGTTATCAGTCAGGGTCTGGAGTGTAGCATATCCACCCTCATGGCTGTCCTGGGCAGATGACAGATACAGGTCCCTGAGGATCAGCAACCATTCCCTCTCAGTGTCAGTGGCTCTTGAGAGAGTCACTGCCTCTTTGGGCTGTCCCATCCCCCAGGTCTTCTGTGTATGAGTGTGCATGTGCAGCCTGGTTTACATTGTGAGCCAGGCCACCCAAATCTCCTTCTCTAACACTAGTGCAAACGTGTCCAGCCTCTCTCCTGTGAGACAGTCATAAAGAAAATGTCAGTTTGACTTCAAAATAAACGTACATGATGAGATGCAGTGTGAGAGGCCTCCAAGAGTAATGTGGGTGAAGGGCTAGAGGAAGAGACTGACTCGTGCAAAGGACCCAGGGCCATGCCTCTAGAGATGCTAGGGAAAGGGGCCCCGAGCACAGGAAAGGCACACCCAAAGAGATTTGCCTGTGGCTTGTTTGAGGGAATGTCTAAAAATGCAGCCTGGCTGCATTCCAACTCCATTTTCAAAATAACAGTTGAAAAAAAAAAAAACAACAACAACATGTATTTAGCACACAAATACATCTCAATGGAAAAGAAACACTGAGCCCACAGTGTATGTCTTCTGATCTTGGATCCAGTTGCTAGCAGTTTCAGGGTCAGCCAGCTTCAGGCTCATTTATAAGAATTACATCTATGTGAAAAAGTATAAAGAAAACGTGTAGGACCAATCACATCTCATAGGATATTTATTGAGTGTGTGGAGCACTTACTAGGCGTCAGGATGGGCTCCAAGAATTGTGGGTAAATGACATTACTTGGTCCTCAGAGTTCCTGGAAGGTACTGGTGGCATTATGACCACGTCTAGATTAATACAATAAGAAGGAGTGAGTAGGGGTGGGAGTGTCGCACATACCCCCCTCAACAAGTCCAGAACCCCCAATTCCCTGTTACACCTTTCCTAGTACAACTTTCTGTAGGTCAGGCACATGGAGGGAGTAAGTGCTGAGTCAGAGGGACTTTGTGACAGCCTATTATGGTCTGTCGGGGAAGGCTACCTGTACCTAAATAATCACCTTTCAATTCTCACTCAAATATCACGGGACCATAATGACTAACTGTAAGAAGAAAGCGATGTCCAAACTTCTGTTTCCTCTGGTTTGAGGAAGTTGAAGCAGGGAAAAGAGACCGGGGGAAAGGTCGCTGCCCAAAGGCATGCAGAGGAGGAATGCAGGGTTGGAAGCAGGGGTCCCAGAAGAAGCTGGCATTCATTTGGTGTGTGGGTCTGAGCCAGGTACTTGGTCCCCTTCCCACATGGCTTCTGCCTGTGAATGTCTCAGATCTTTTTGTCTGTTTTGTTTCTTGTCCATTGGTTTGGGCCATTCCTGGTATAGAATCATGTCTCCCCTTCTCCTTAGCCCAAAGAGAGAGGTCCTGCAGGGCAGGAGAGCTCGTGGATACCTTTTCCATGCCAAGCCCACGTCCTGTGCATCTCATTTAGCACCCAGCAGCCCCACCGTGGTAGTGGATTGATCTCCCACATAGCACTTGGAAATACGGAGACTCGGAGATAGAGATGTCAAACACCAAGTTCTTGGGCACAGAGCTCATGAAGGCAGGTCACTGGGATTCAGTCTACATCCTGCTGACTCTGAAGACAACATCCACCCCAAACCTATCTCAGGAACCTCCCTCAAGGCCACTGGCCACAGACATCCCTGACAGCTAGGCAGCATAGGCTGTCACTTTACCTGCAAGGGCACAGGTTAGGAATACACATGACATTGTCTGAGCTAACATTTTTCAAGCTGTTTTCACACAGGGAGCTCAGAGCTCTGACAAATGATCCCTCAAGGGGATATCAGTGAAGTCCTCTGAAGATTCTCAGGAGCCCCTTAGCATGTCATCAGCCTATCTGACTCGAATCCCCAAGGCTGCAGCCCCTGCAGAAGGTAGCAACTCTGCCTCAAAGGTTAGCATATCCAAGGGGCGGGGCCAGAGTACTGTGCCCAGAATGATGTGGTCAGGCAGGACAGAGCCCCTGGGACCCCAGATGAGGGAGGGGATCTCTTCCAGTCTCTTAGTCTCTGAAGGGCCTACCTGTGTCTTCAAAATAGACACACACAGAGACACAGAGACACAGACACACACACACACACACACACACACACACACACACACACACACACACACAGTCTGCCTGGTCCCAGATCTCAAACATCTCAAAGCCCTGGGCAGCTCCTCATCTTCCACCTTTGGAGATAAGCAAAGGGCTTTGCCTCCACTTCGGGGTTTCAGCTTTTTCTCTGGATTTGGCCCCTCCCCCACTCCTGTCCCCCAGCCTGGCATCTGCCCTCCCGCTCAGGAGACCGGGTAATTGCTGATTGAGTGGCTTTGAAGAGCTGTTAAGAGGCCAGGGAACTAAAGCCGTCGCTTGATGGCCTGGCAGGATGGGCCCTGAAAGCCCCCTTTGTGCTGGCCCGCTCCTGGGAAGCTGCATTCAGTTACTGAGAGAGGCTGGAAGCTGCAATCGGAGCCCCTGGTCCCCCTCACACTCTTTCTTCTCACCCCACCCCCACCCTGAAAAGAAACAGATGTTCGAGGAGGTGGAAGCGGGAACTGCTCTGTTTGTCTGAGGCAAAGACCCCCCCCTTCCTCCTTGGCCTTGGGGAGCTGGAGGAGGGGCTGGCCAACAGCTCTGACCCCACCTCGTAGGCACCCTCTCTTCTAGCCTTCCCATCTGTCAGGGCTGCTGTACCAGACGGCCAGGCATCCAGTAAGTGCTCAACAGATAGCAGCCGCTGGTTTGTGGTCTGAGGTGATGTAGATGAATGAATGGGCTTTCAGATTTGGCCCCAGAAGAGCCAGAGAGGACCCACCCCATCCCCAAACCAGGCCCATTCACTGTTGGTTAGCAGGGGCAGGACAGCTGCCCCATTCCAGTGACATCACTGTCACCATTCCAGTGACATCACTGAAGCAGCCTCCAATCCCCGGCCCCTTCTGATCTCTCCCAAGGGGGCTCTGAGTCCCCCCACAGAAGCTAAGTCCCTGCCCCAGGCTTTCTCCCCAGTAATACAGTTTACTTTACCTCTCTTGCTTTGACTCCCTTTGCCTGATAGGTAACAAGCTACATGTTACAGGCCAGTCCACCAGGCTGAAAGCCCAAGAGTGGTAGTTACAAACATGCTTCACTAGTAAGGGCCGGATCACCACCCGCCCACCCCAGAGCCTCCTGCATTATAGGAGTGGCACACAGTGATCTGGGGCTCCTCCCCAGTGAGTGGGCTATGTCATCAGCCTTTCCAACTTGGAATGCCCAAGGCTGCAGCCCCTGCAGAAGGTAGCAACTCTGCCTCAAAGGTTAGCACACCCAAGGGGCGGGGCCAGAGTACTGTGCCCAGAATGATGTGGTCAGGCAGGACAGAGCCCCTGGGACCCCAGATGAGGGAGGGGATCTCTTCCAGTCTCTTAGTCTCTGAAGGATCCACTTGTGTCCTCAAAATACACACACACACACACACACACACACACACACAATGTGTGAGCTGGGGCTAGCCAAAGTTCTAGAAGCCTTGGAGATGTTGGCAAACTCTTCAGGACAGGAAGCTAGTGGAGAGACCTAACCTGGTACTCTATACCCCCAGACCCTTCTGGAGGAGAGATGCCTTACCGACTGCTCACACTCCACCTCCACGACCACCGCCATCACCCCCAGCCTCTCACCTCAGGCCATTAGCCTGGCCTCAGCATATGGAATCCTCCTGTCTATGTCTTTTGTTCTGGGTAGGCAGCTGGTCAGACACACACACACACACACACACACACACACACACCAAAAAAAAAAAAAAAAACACAGCTCACATTGTGCTGCCTTGAATCCATGGAGAATTGACTGAGGGGCTGTCCATTATGGGCTCTACCCTCCTGCTAAGGGGAGAAGCTGGGACTGCAGGGGGTGGGTAGGAGAGGAGGGATGGAAAGGAGGGGTGAGCTGGAGAAGTAAATTAGCAAATGCCTGGGGAGCATTTGTCTCCCTGGAAGGAGGGGAGGGCCTCTCATTCCCTCTAGGGGCTCCAGATAGGAGTAAGGGCAAGTCAAGAGCAAGTGTGGCTTTCCGAAAATCAGCTTGATCTGAGCTGAGGTCCAGCCAGGCCCACCTCCCAGCAGAACCCTCACTCTCTCCCTGCATTTGCTTGTCTTTAGCACTCAGCAACAGCCCATAAAGCACCCATGCCCATGCAGCATTAGTATGAACATAGCTTCAGCCAGCTCTCAGTCAGTACATAGTACCAGTACCTGTACATCAGTAGTACTCAGTGTCAGCACTCCCTTTCACATAGCATCAGTACTCACACAGAATAGAACAGGTACTTACATAGTATCAGTACCCATGTAACATTAGTAGAATTCACACAGTGCCATTAGTATTCACAGAATCGGTACTCAGTCACATAGCATGAGCACTCACTCAGCAACAGTACCCCTGAAGCGTTAGCACTCTCATAGCACCAGTACCCATGCAGCAGTAGTACTCACACAACCTCAGTACTCACATAGCATTCATATGTAGGATCAGTACTCACACAACACCAAAATCCATAGAATCAGTGCTTGCACAGCATGGGCGCACACACAGTGACAGTTCCCACGCAAGGTTAGTGCTCACAAATACCAGCATTTGCATAGTGTTAGTACTCTGGCAACACGCACACTGAGCAGCCTTAGCATTCGCATAGTGACAGAACAGAGGTGTGAAAACTCATTACAGAAATGCCAAGTCGGCAGCTCCTGCCTCCCCAGGAGCATCTGCCTCAGAAGTCACCATAGCTTTGCCTCTCTTGAGGGTCAGGATGTCACAAAGGACTTTGTCCCTGGAACGCTTTGTGCATCCCATCCCCCCGTGACTCAGGCCTGGGAATAAAGTCACCTCCAGTTTCTCCAGCTGTCAAACAGGGCACAGTGGGTCACCCCAAACTCACTGGTGTTAGCCGAGCTGGGTTTTGTTGATAGCACTCTCCCTGACAAGCATGTTTCCCTTAGGTTTACATAAGTCGTGAACTGGCCAGCTAGGGACCCTGGTGGGTAGAAGCGAGAGGAAGCCAGAGCGTTAGCTGGGTTGGAGCCAGGCAGCCTTGGTGGCATCCTCCGGGCTGCATGTCGCTAAGTGTGCCTTTCACCATCCGAGCTGGCCTCTTCCCCGACTCTCCATCTGTTGTCTTCTCAAGACGTTGCTGGAAGCTTGGGGTGGGGGAGGGGGGCTGATAATTTTAGCTTCACAATTCAGTTTACAATTCAGATTGACTTGTCTCCTGCAGAAGAGGCATGTGCATGGAGCTGCAGAATGTCATAACAGAGTTAAGAATAATTGAATGTTTTATGTTGGGGGCCGGGGGGGGGGGGGACCTCCAAAGCCATCGTAAGAGAATTTGGAGCTTTCATTGGCATTTAAAACTTTTTTTCACGTGTTTTCTGTGATTCGTGTACAAATGAGTGTAGGAGCCCAGAGATGCCAAAAGAGGGCATCAGAGTCCTTGGAGCTGGAATTACAGGCTGTTGTGAACTGTACAATGTGGGTGCTGAGACTCAAACCCAGGTCCTGTGGAAGAGCAGTAGGCTCTGACTGCCGAGCCATGTCTCCAGCCCCTGTCGACATTCCTGTCATGATGATTTCCTGACTTCCCCTTGCTTTTACCCTGAATCCCATGAGTGGGCACCTGCATTTTCACTGCCCACAGTTTCCATCTTAATCCAGCTCACATTTCATCTCTTGCCACAGAGTACAGGGGTGGCCCAGGGTAGAAGGTTTCTTGGGGCTAGAGGGATGACTCGGTGGTTAAGAGCACTTGTTCTTGCTGAGAACCTAGGCTCAATTCCCAACACCCACGTCGTGGCTCACAACTGTTCATAACTCCAAATTCCTGGGTCCAGTGTCCTCTTCTGACCTCTAGACACCGGGCACACACATAGTACACAGCCATACATTCAAGCAAAACACTCATACACATTAAACAAATCTTTAAAAAAAATTGATAGCATCTTGCCATGGATGATCAGGGTTTAGAAATGCAAACTGTCCTTAAAATCACTGTGCTAAGTCAAGGACACCAGAAGCAGCTTGAACATGGTATTTGTAATTCCAGAACTCAGGAGGCTGAGGCATGAGGATTGTCACACACTTGAGGCTAGCCTGGGCTGTATAGTATGTTCTAGGCCGTCTTGGGCTAAAGAATGAGACCTTGTCTCAAAAACCAACGAACTAAAAGAAGACACTAGTCATAAAAATATATAATGTGGACCCATCTGTATGGAGATCCACAACAGGTGTTCCTGAAGAGATATGTGGTTGTGTTGGGAGAAGAGGGGATAGGGAGAGAGGGCTCAGTGGCTTCAGGGTTGTACTTTTGGGTGACCAAAATATTTGGAGCTGGATAGACCTAATGGCTCACAGTGTCACCGACTGAACAGTGATGAATTACTCACTTTAAAATGGTTGACATTATATTAAGTGAATTTTATTTCAACTGGGAAGAATAAAGGTCAGGATTTGAGTGTGCAGGTCTGGCTGGCTCAGTGGTGTGGGTCTGAGATCCTAGCTATCGTGAGGCTAAGCAGGAAGAATGCAAGTTGAAGTCCAGCATAGTGAGTTCAAGGACAGCCTAGGGAAGCCCTGTCTCAAAATTAAAAATTAGGAAGGGGGTTCGGGTGTAGCCCAGTGGTAGAACACTTGCCTAGCATGAGTGAGGCCTTAGTTTTCAAGCTTCAGTACCACAAAGGAAAGAGAATGGCCTTCTTGCCCTGGACAGCTCATACCGGTTCTCCCTGAAGGGAGAGGAAAGGGGACATGAAAGGACACGGTGGTGTGAGGGCTTGAGATATTCAAGATCCAGGGCTTGAAAGAGGCAGAATGTCCTGTGCCTTTGAGCCCTGACCTCACAAGGACACTGACACCCCGATTCTCTGTCCTCCCAGGGAAGTGACAGCGAGTATGAAGTGGACACAAACCCTCAGAAAGCCCACTCCTTCGTCAACCATTACATCAGTGACCCCACGTATTACAACTCTTGGCGGCGTCAGCAGAAAGGCATCTCTCGGGCCCAGGCCTACAGCTACACAGAGAGCGATTCTGGCGAACCTGACCATGTCACTGTCCCCAATAGCAACAGCACCCAGCAGGGCAGCCTTTTTCGGCCCAAGACCAGCCGGACTCCAACGCCCCAAAATCCCCCAAATCCCCCAAGTCAGCAGAGCACCCTCTACCGTCCCCCCAGCAGCCTCGCCCCTGGTTCCCGGGCACCCATAGCAGGGTTCTCATCCTTCGTTTGACATCAGAAGAGGAAAAAGAATGAAAAAAAAATGACACCAAAATCCTCCTTTGCCACTTCCCAGAACGCCTGCCAGAAAACACACAAGAAAACCCCACCAAGACATCGGATCAACTTTTCACCTCTCCAGTTTGTTTTTCCAGAGATTCCAGGGCCAGCAGAGCCGGGGTAGAGGAGGAGGAGGACGGGGAAGAAACCCCTGGGACTTAGACATGTGTGACCTGCAACAGCTTCTCACATCCTTGGGGTCCATTGTGCAGTGTGGAGGGTGGAGACCAGATAGTCTCACTTCTGCCCAAGATAGAGGGGCTTGGGACTCTGGAGAGGAGGGAGGAGGGGGGCTGTAGGCAGGTGGGGCTGAGGAATGGAGACGCTTCTAGACATGCAGCCAACTTCACCCTTCCCACGTGGGCTAGATCTTGCTATCCTTGCTCCTCTGCAAAAAGGATGGGTGTCCTCAGAGGCGAAGCCTGACTGTTGTCTCTGGCTCTCGCTGGCAGGTGTTCCCTGGCCTTGCCAGCCCCCTGCCCTGCCTCAGCACCCTCCCAGGGCTCTTTACCCTTGTTCATCTTCTCCACCAAGCATTTGGCTTATTTGGGAAAAAAAGAAGAAGAAAAATCAAAGGGTGAGAATCCACTTAGCAACTTCCTCATTCCTGAAAAAAAATTTTTTTTTTTTTTAAATTGTGAATTCAAGGAAGAGGGCCTGAGGGCTGGGAGAGAGCCCTCAGCTGCATAACTGAGCCCTGCCTCCTGTTGCTTGGATTCACTTCCCTGAATGCAGATAAGGAGGGGTGACATCTGGGAATGGAGACCTAAGGTGCTGGCTGCACATTGGGGCATGCTTCAGGGAGATGTCCTGCAGGAAGTCAGAGGTGCAAGGACGAAGCCCTGACTGTCGTCTTCTCCTCTACCTGCCCAACACTGAGAAAAGGGAAACGGGGTGGGGGGAGCTTAGGATGGGAAGCTCAGCTCAGCCCACCTAGCTGTGGAGGAAAGTTGTATGCACAGATGTACCACTTCCTCTGAATGTACACCTTCCTGCTAACCCATGCACCTGCCCTTGTGAACTGTAAAAAAAAAAGGGGGGGGGGTACAGAAGCCCCTCCCTGGAACTTCTTTGCCCAACAACATTTTCACATGTCTCTACCCACAACACACGGGTGCCCAAAGGGGCGGCCCAATGCCTGGTCTTGAGGCTTTACAAAGAATCAAAGATCACTTGAACCCCTTCTAACATCTCCCAGGTTAGGTTCCGTGAAGTTGGGAAGGACCAAGGAGGGGACAGCCAGGAAGTTCTGTCCAAACTGAACATGGCATGGTTAGTCAGGAGAGGTGGGTCAGGTGGGGTCGAGGGACAAGAATAGCTGATGGGAGAGAAACTGGTACCCCAGGAATGTTCTGTAAAAAGCTGTGGGGGGCCTGAACTTCACATCAGCTTTGAGCTTCCAATGCAAGTGTTTGGGGAGGAGGTTTTCTAATGTTCTGGGTTGTCTGAGGTCCTTGGGGACACCAACCAGCCCTTTAAGGCTCAGCCTACTGCTGGGAATGCATGGCTACCTCTATCAGAGGCTGCATTGGGGCAAGCAGTTCAATATCCAGTTCAATAAAGGACCAGCCTTGCTGGGAGCATGCACTATTTTACTGCTGGCCTTATTGAGAGGCCCAAGTGGGGAGCCTGCAGCTGTCCTCAGCAATCCCTCGTTAGTCACTGCTAATTCTCACTGGTCAGGGACATCTGAGTCAAAGGCTTGAGTAAAGGACACACTCAGATTACTAAGTATGTGGGCTCCTCCCTACACACCTGCCCCCTGGAATATGTGAATGAGGAAATGTTGGAAGCCAGATCAGTAGGCAGGTGACCCAACTGCTGTGTGTGAACCAAGGCTTTTCACAGTGACCTCTCCTAAGCAGGTCCTAAAGCACAGTCTTGTCTCCAAAGGACAATAAAGGGCTGAAGTCTCGCCCCTCTGGGAGTCAGTTTCCCAGGGCTACCTTGGACTTTGTCAGTCAGCTGGACCCGAATCCCTGCAGCATCTGGCCTCTCCAGAGCCACACATATGCAGATGCTGCATGAGCTCACACTGCCACGCTTACTTTGCACCCCTCATTACTTTTTTAAACAACTTCATCTTTTTTCCTGTCTTTAGAGGCTTTAACCTTTTGAGGATGTTCCCTGTTTACATTAGGGAATTATTAGCCTAGCCCAGCCGAGTGAGGGAGCTTTATAGAGGAAGCAGGAATTGTTTAAAAAAAAAAAAAAAAGCATTGTGTGTGTGTGTACGTGTGTGTGTGTTACACATGAGGACAATTTTCCTTTGCCTTTAATGAATCACCTGGTGCACTGAAAGCCCCCTCCCCCTTCTGTGTGCTCATTGGAACCCTTGCTGACGTCCATGTGCACATGCAAACGTGTGTTCATGTACAAGCATGCAAAGATATGCACAGAACATACACATCGATATGTGTTAGCAAAGGGCCTCTTGCCATGCCCTATGATGGCCCCTGGCTGTCTCTCATCCCCATGAGGCACGGGTCACTTACTTTGGGGGTATCACTGGGACCTATTGCCCAAGCAGCTGGGCACATCACAAACTATAAGTCCTGGATGAGCCTAGGGTGAAAGTCCCTATTGGGTCACTACTTGCCCAGGGGGTGATTATTGCCTCCACAGCCCCAGTTACATCTGGACACCCTGTAGCTTTTCTGCTGTGGAACTCTAGGTGGTTTTATGCCATCTCCTGGTCCATGTTTACATTTCTGCTGGGCAGTGGAGGGTCCCAAGAACTCCACCCAGACACCTGACCACGTGCTAACAGTGTGGTGGGTACCAACCCTGAGTAAGGAGGAGCTTTCAATTTCCTGAGCCGCTGAGGCCAGGGCTGCTCTCTTGTGACTCTATGGGAAACAGGTTCACAGAAGGACATGCCTAGCATGTCCTTTTGGTGGTGCCTCTCTGTGCCCTGAGGAAATGTTGGATGTATTCAGAAGCCCACGTATGCTGGGGCTACTCTTTCCTCTCCTGGGAATGCCTCCTGCATTCTTGCAGGCTCTGCACCCAGATTGCCAAGACTAACCAAATAGCTGCTCTGGGTTCCAGAAGCATCTTCCTCCAGACAGCTGCAAGGAGTTTACAAACTCACGCCGCCTCGCCCAGCCCCCCTCCACCCCAAACCTCACACTGCCATGATCAGAGGGAGCAAGAAAACAGCCAGGCTGCCTCGAGAGCCCATGCTTCTGGAGGCCTTCTGTCTTCGTTGTCCATGCCTGCCCTGGACAGCGTACCTAAAGGTGCCAGAGGCTGCCCTAGGCAGGGGCTCCCCTTGCCTTCTCACATGGCACAGTGAAGAGGTCACATTGTGCAGCCTGCCAGATGCACCATCAGCAGGGGAAGGAGGGGACCCATGAACAGCCACCACCAGCTTCTGAGTGCCTCTGTGGTCCCATACAGGGACACCAACCCTAACCAACTCCTTGAGCACAGGTGCCCCACCCTCTTGGGACAACCCCCTCTTCTCTGTTTCCATAAAAACAAATCCAAAGCATTTAAATGTGTTACCTTTCTTCACCCATATAGACTCCCAAAACAAAACTCGGTACAAATCTTTATTTTTGATTTAAAAGCTATAATGAAAAATTATGGGGAGAGTATTCATTGTGGCAGGTGTCTATCTGTAAGAAAAAAATATATATCTATATGTCATATAGCTTGTTAGCAAGTTTATTTTTTAAATGAAAGGTAAGAAAGAAGTTGATTTGAAATATATACCATGAGAAGTCCCATGTCCTGTCAAACTGTCCGTATTTTATAAATAAACTTTTTTTTTTTTTTTTTGGAGTTCTGAAGCAGCAGTTCTTTTCCTCACTACAAATTCTGTTCCTCAAACGTTTGTTTCTGTTTCTAGCCATGTGGGGATTGTACAGAGCGAGCCAAGGGCAGGACTGGGCCTCCTCTTGATTCGTCAGCAGGGAGTATCTATACCTTTAAACAAAAGTTCCTACTTTACCCTGGGAGTATAACTCAGGGGTAGGATGGCAGTCTGGCATGCAGATTTATCCCAACTTCAGTCTCTAGCACCAAAAAGAGAAAAAGGAAAGAATGTGTTATTTTAAGTTTGGGGGACAAGAGCCCCTCAGATGTGTGATGCAACTGATAATGGTCCATAACGATAGAAGCGAGGGTGGGGTGGGGAGGGTGTCTCCGTGGTTTCCAGTGGTTGTAGCTATTGCTCAGGACCCAAGTTCAGTTCCCAGCATCCACAACACTGGATGCCCACAACTGCCTGTAACTCCAGTTCTAGGGGATCCAGCTCCCTTTGCTGACCTCCACAGCCACACGTGTACACACACACACACACACACACACACACACACACACACACACACACACACACATACACACCCAAAATTAATGATAAATATTAAAGTATAATGACAGCAAGAGGTGACACATACATGCCACACTCCATGCCCAGCATGGGTCAAATGATCACTTGATATGTGATAACTGATGAAGCCTTGTGACAGCCAAGGAGGGTGACAGAGCATTTTAAGCTTGCTTTCTGGAAGCGGCAGAACCAGGATTGGTCTATACTGAAGGAGTCTGACTCTGGGGGTACACACTCTCACAGATCTGGTGAGGCAACCCCTTTTTAGGTTTTGTTTTGTTTTGTTTTTGGAGACAGTGTTTCTCTGTGTAGCTTTGTGCCTTTCCTGGAACTCACTCTGTAGCCCAGGCTGGCCTCGAACTCACAGAAATCCGCCTGCCTCTGCCTCCCGAGTGCTGGAATTAAAGGCGTGCACCACCACCACCACCGGGCCTTTTTTAGTTTTTAATCTCTACAAATCTAGCACCCTGGGCCACTGAAGGTTGTTTTTAATGTTTGTGGTAGGACTTTTTGTTGTGCATTTGTTTACTTTTTACTTTTTACTTTTTTTTTTTTTTTTTTTTTTTAGGAGTCTTACTTCCCAGACTGGCCTGGAAGTCACAACAATCCTCCTGCCTCAGCATCCCAAATTCTGGGATTGCATTACTGTTGAGCTCATCAGATTCAATTAACAGCACTTGGGAGACAGAGGCAGGCAGATCTTTGTGAGTTCAAGACCAGCTTGGTCTATACAGTGAGTTCAAGGCCAGTCATGGCTACAGAGTGAAACCTTGTCTCAAAAAGAAAAGTAAAGAAAATGGAGAAATATATGTAGGTTAAATAGTTTTTACTTAAAATGCACAAATGTAAATTCATTCACCAATGTGTTGGTGTTGAGCCGTGACATCCTTTTTCTGCACATTGGCAACTCTCTGTGATCCTCTACTTTGCATAAGCCACATCTATTTTACATAAATCACATTTGTAATCCAACATTAGTGATTTCCTCTTTTTCTTCTTTTCTTTCTTCCTCCTTTCACTCTTCTTTTTTTGTTTGTTTGTTTCTTTCTTTTTAAAGTCGTTTTTGAAAAAAAAAATATGTGTATGGGTGTTTTCGCCTGCATGTGAGTGTGCACAGTGTATGTGCAATGCCCTTGGAGGGCAATAGAGGGCGTTGGATTCCCTGGAACTGGAGTTACAGATGGTGGTGTGCTACCGTGTGAGTGCAAAAAAAATCCAAAATGAGTCCTCTGGAAGAGCAGCTGGTGCTTTTAACCACCGAGGCACCTCTGTACCCCTTTTGTGTTCCCAGACGGCCTTGAACTTGAAGCAAGTCCTGATTCAGCTTCTGAGTGAGGAGATTACAGACATATACCATGTCTAAGCTTTGTTTGTTTGAAGCAAGATCTCTGTAGCCCTGGCTGGCCCAGAATTCACTGTGTAGTCCAGACTAGCTTGAAGCTCATAGCAATTCTCCTGCCTCAGTCTTCTGAGTACCTGGATTACAGACATGAACCATCATTCCTAGTTTAAGTTTCTATTTAACTGGGCATGGTAGCACGTGCATTTAATCCCAGCAGTTGGGAGGCAGAAGCAGACGGATCACTGTGAGTTCGAGGCCAGCCTGGTCTACATAGTAAGTTCCAGGCTGGCCAAGATTACATAATAAGATGGGGTCTCAACACCACCACCACCACCCCAAAAAAGAAGAAACTGAAAAATAAAAAAGTAAAGGGTGTGTGTATGTTTGTGTGTGTGTATGTTTGTGTGTGTGTGTATGTCTGTGTGTGTGTGCGCGTGTCTGTGTGTGTGTGTGTGTGTGTGTGTGTGTGTGTGTGTGCAAGGGTCAGAGAATGACAGTTCGGGTCCAGGGGATTGCACTCAGGTCATCAGGCTTGGCAGCAAGCTTCTTTTCCCCCAGAGCCATCTAGCCAACTTTTGTTTGTTTCTTTCTTGGAGTCTGGGTCTTTTATTTCTTCCTGTTCCTCTATTATGCCATGAGGTCGTAGTGAGCAGGCTTCAGCTGCATAGGCTCCTTCCAGCGAGTTCTCACACAGCCTGCTTCTCCAGGTGGCACAGGCCAGCGTTGCAGGTAAACTCAGGTGCCTTTCTCTTTGGTTTCCTTTTTCCTTTGATCAGTTCCTTGCCTGTGTCAGGAGATGACCTCAACTCCTAGAGAGTTTACTATGCTTAGCGCACACCTTAATCTCTCGGCAAGACTCCTGCCCCCCCCCCCCTTACTTGTTTACAGCGATGCAAACAGCAGGCTGAGTGACACTCTGGTCACAGTGACATTTGCAGGGCATTCCATTTGGAGCAGTGCTCATTCCTCTGATGTCTGCAACATCACCCTTGCAGATACATGTACCCAAAGGACTGTTGGAGCCCATTTGGGTTTCCTAGTGGCTTTACCCAGCAGGTCTGCATAAAGGGGATGATTGGGCCACAGGCCTGAGTACCAGGTGTCTGAGCTGGTCTGCACTGGGCTGTGCTGGGGGAG